GGGGGGGGGGGAAAGAAGCGCGTCTCTTGATCGGCGGAAATTAAATTTAAAGCCGATGGACACGATTGCCACGGGGCGCGAGATATCGGCGGGGTGTTTCCACGCGCCGGGTGGTTCTTCGTCCGTCGCGCTTCTAATCCGGCCGGCTTGCGAATGTTCGGGGGAAGGTGATCCCCGTGAGGAACAACGGTGTTAGAAACGATTCGCTTGTTTCGCTGTAGGTGGTACACCGACCTCTATGAACCAGACCGGCGAGCAGTGGGACTATCCGAACGCGTGGCCGCCATTGCAGTCCTTCCTGATTAAAGGTCTCCATCAAACATCGGAGAAAGAAGCGATCGACTACGCCTTCGATCTCGCCACTAGATGGCTCAGATCGAATTACATCGGTTACGACGAGTACGGCAAGATGTTCGAGAAGGTGAGTCCGTTCTTGCGCTCAAACTGACCTTATTCAACCGCGAACCGCTCCATTGTCCGGAGTAATGAAAAACTTAAGAGGAGTCGTTTCGTGCGAAATGGCGACAGCTGCCTTACACACACACACACACTGCTGCTGTAACTGCCAGTTCTGCCTCTGGTAGTAAATAATACCGTTCGATACAATTGGAGAACCAGTTAAAGGAAAGTTTTATATAATAATAATAATATCCGGCGCACAACCGAAGTGTTATTATGAAGAATTGCTCTAAGTATGCGGACATCGCGGGCTCTTCTCCGTGATTTATTGAAGGACTGATATTTCTTCGTCGACTAAACCGGAAGAAAGTGACTCAGTCGGTATTGTTCGAATGTTGCGAGTGAATTTCATATTTTCCTCAAGTTGCATCCATACAAATTCAATCAAACGAAGACTAAAATATTCTAAGAAAATTACAATATTTTTGCTTATATATGAGAATATCCATCCTTGATTTTTATAAGACTAATTTTCTTCCGTGTGTGCGAGAAGAAGTTTTTAGCTTCATGTAAAATTATAGATTTCTACGTGAGAAAATCGGAGTCTCGAATTGATACTAATTTTTCTCTCTGCAGTTAATTAACTATTATAATTAACGAACTGTCGTAAAATGGCTTTAGACACGTTCGAAGGTAACCAGAGCTAAATTGAGGGAAGGAAGGAAGCTTTGAATACTAATTTAACATTTTCTTTCTCGCGGCTTTTCCTTATTCATTTATTCATTAGCGAGTATCGACGTTCGCGGTTGACATCGGAACTGAAGTTCCCGATGCCAGAAGTAGTCAGTATCGCGGAGAAGAGTATCGATACTACCACCAGGAGTAAACATCCTCGCATTCGCGACGCTCGCAATGTCTTCTCGCATTCTCTCTTGACACGGAAACTCGATGAGATATGTATGTCAGAGGAGGCTCTCGGATTTCCAGTGATACGAGGGAAGAGATGGCCGCTTGGACGCGCTTAATGCGCGCACGAGGGTAAAATCCCTCGAACCTTTCCTCCCTCTGCGTGCCTTTCTGAATCCTGTCAGAACGCAGGCAGGGAGACACGAGGGGGTGGGCCTCCGAGAAATACATCCAGCGTGGGACTCCCGTTAATCCGTCTTGTTTTGTTTCGCGCGCCCTTCGCGCTTTCGAAGAGGCTGAAGACGCGTTTTCGCGCACGAGTGTATTTCCACGAGGCACCTGTGTGTATGTGTGTGTGTGAACGGGGAAAGAGGAAAAGGAAAAGCGCAATACCTCATGCATGCAGACTTTTTATCAATCCCGTGAGAAAGATGGGGGGCGAATGAAATTCACGGCACGCTTTGAGAGTCCGCATGAATCATGCTCGCGCTGATATAGCCGGAATGTTGCTAACGAGCTCTCGCAGGAAATAGCCGGTCCATCTTGCTGAACAAACGAATGCTCGATCGATTCAATGAAGGTTCCTTTCGCCCGCCTCCCCCTGAAAATGAGAAGGGGCGCCCGAGTCGGAGGTATGTTTTTTTCCTCGCGTCAGGAAATCTTACGCCCCGGCAAATTGGAATTGTGTCCTCCGTGTTTATAGATCGACTTGTTACTTGCGGATATATATTGGAATCCGGGTGTGAGGATATCACTTCGTTAAAAAATTCAATACTTATCGTATTCTCCTTTCCGCTCCGTCGGAGGAATCGCCGGGGGTTTGTCATTTGTTTCGTTTAGTTCTCGAGACATTTCTCTGAGTCCGATTGACGGCACGCAGCGATGGGGCGACTTCGCGACGACGCGTAACGTGAGTCGCGCGCCTCCGGTTCTCGTGGCCTGATGAATAATTGTAATATTTAATGAGAGCTCGCGGGGCCTATTTTCGTCGGGAACATTTAGATTACATCGCACTTCCACTTACTAATGAAAGAGAACCGGAAAGGGAGAAAAACCGCGCGCACGTGAAGGAACGCCGGTTTATTCGGAGGGGTTAGAGAGGAAGAATTATACACCCGCTTTCTCGCTTCTGACGTCATAATCCAATACGGTCGCGATTCCTCCGTCCAGAACGTTAAGTGCTGTATTTCAGGAAATCGTGCTTCTTCGTTTGAGTAAATAAGAACAATTTATTTCAGTTAATTTCCGGTCTCCCGTAGGAATAGCTGTTTTATTATGAATGAGTGCGCGGTATGTCGTGAGAATGCGAATATAGATTGTGTGTAGCAGAGCAGAAAGTAACGTAGTTTTTTAGTTTTTTTATTTTTTAATTAGCGAGGAGCGGCAGAAGCTCGGCCGCGTATCTCTACATCTTGAGGACGAGACAGCCCCAACGTGCGCTTTTTGTTTGTTTGCTTTTTCTTGTTAATCATAGAAGCCTCGGAGGAAATTTGTGAAAACGCTTAAACGCCCGAAAATTCCTTCACCTCAACTCGTGCTCGATCGTTCAATCGCCGAAACAACGAATCGGCGTTACGACTACGCAGGAATGCCCTTCGCGATACAGGCAATATAATCTGTGCCATGGATCTGGCGCGGCAATGTTTTCCGGTCCTCTGTAAAGTGTGCGATAAGCGCAGAAACCATTTGAAAGTCGTACTGTCGCAGACAAAGGGAAGGAATTGTGACACGTACTATCGTTTATTGTGCCGTTCGGTGTCCCACATCCGGGGAGTTATAGAAGTTCGGGAGGAAGGTGGGGAAATAACGAAGCCGCCCTCCCCCCCCTCCCCCTTACCTCTTCTGATTTATGACATATCGCTTTCGGGCCGAAAATTATTACACGTAATAACGTCGATCACGCGCCGTTGGCGCGATGATTTATCGCCGGCGTGACAGTAATGAATATAAATATGTCGATACTACTTTTCCACTCGCGTTCCGCTGTGGTCAATCGGGATGCCTCATTAGAACTCCGGATCTGTCACAATTAATTCTTATGAATTTTGATATTCTCTTCCATGATAAAACACGCGCGCACTCTTCTATGCCTTTGTGCGCTTTGAGAGCGAAATAGACGGAAGACCGAGCAGGGGTTGATTTTTATGAAAAATAGACGCACGAAGTATTTCATAATATCATATATATTTTAATATAACTGCATCCTTTAAGCATTGCTTTTAGCAAAAAATATTAGTCCCCTTTATATTTATTACAAGAAGGTTATTTAGCTCTAAGCAAAATTGTACACAAGTGATTCCATATACAGAATCAGTTATCACGTGCCTTTCGTACGAAGGAAACGAGACATGTAGTTCCTGTTTTTCAACGTTTCGTTAATATTTTGTTAAGGTTAGTGATGTCGCATCAAGCCAAGCTGGAGTTTTACCTCTACTTGTTCTTCGTTCGTGCCTTCGAGCCGTGGCAACCGAAGCAAACGACTAAAGTCCACCTAAAACTTTCATATCGAACTTCTTAATCTAATCAGATAACTTAACTGTAACAAGATTCCGACAATCCATGCGTAAGTTTCCGTTTGCGCACGCGTGAACCACATCACAGCCGCTTTGTCCGAGTCAATTTATCCCGAACGGTCACTTTGGATAAAAGAATGCATCATTCTAAACAATGTTGGCTAAACGCAGGAAGAATTAGCTGAAACAATATTTCTTATGACTGGGAGAAATTGCGATCGACAACTCCAAAATCGACGGAACGATAAAAAATAAAGACGGGAGACGAATTTCGCCACGTCTTATTTCTCACAAGTGTCTGTAATCCGAGTCGAAGTTTCGTATCCTACATTAAGTCTTTAAGGGGAAAGGACGGAAATAAGTTCCCAATATACATCAAAGGAGCACCATAAATGTCCCTTTAACGCTGCGGATGGATATTGAGACCTCCAGAGAATCTGAATTTTAATTTTATATTAAAACTTCAAGTCTAGAAAATGCCAATCACTTCCCCATTTACAGCATTAAAGGAGTACAATAGAGGAGCTTTGTACACTGATAAAAGTAAGACTAATGTTTCGACTCGGCAAGTGTCGCATGCGTTAGCCGTGAGCTATTTCGTAGCCAGCCAACTAACACGACACTAGGAACCTACATTATGAAGAGGAAAATGCTCCTTTATTAAGCGAGACACAAGTTTAATGACAATTAACTCGTGTGACTTCTAATCTCTCGCACCTGACTCGGAAGATATTTCGTATATTCGGCTATGAGAAAATAACGCGGCGACGAGCCGTCGCTGAAACGACGTCGCGCGTGCTGTAACTAACTAACTGACAGACTGACGAAAATTCATCCAAGTTGCCGCGATCGGACGAAATTGGATTTCCTCGCAGGATAAGCATTCCGCGTAGGAATTAACTCGCCGTCGCGGAAGGAGACCGCGTTGCAAAGCGCCGCGTTCTTGATTACTTTCGCGCGACGGTTTGTCCCTTCTGATTATCCGTGCTAATTACTTTCTTTTCCTTCCACTTTTATGTATTCAGTACAACGCGGAGGTTCCCGGCAGCAGCGGCGGCGGCGGCGAGTACAACGTTCAGGAGGGCTTCGGCTGGACGAACGGGGTTGTCTTCGAGTTCCTCCGTCTCTATCCGAACGCCACGTCCTCGGACGACGTCGAGTTCGACTACGGTAACAGTGTTAGCAGATAATGCAGGTGGCCGAATAAGTAATCAATTGGTCGCGCTCGAACGAGCGTGAACGTGTGAACAACGCAGATTACTGAGAGCGTTTGCACAGATAACGGAGCAACTTTACAACGAATCTAGTCGCAATTCCGGGGCAGCCTAAGAAAAGGAAAGAGATCAGTGAAGGGAAGACAGAAAGATAGGAAAGAAAAGTAGACGATCTCGCCGATTGTAATGCCAAACTGAGTTACGCCGAAATTCGTACGCACAGAGAAAAAGATCTCTTTGGTTTTAATACAATTTTTTTCTTAATCGAAACAAATTCGCCCCGAAATGGAGTAAATAAACGGACGCCGATTCGACAAACAGAATTGTTTGCTTTCCCAAACAATAAATATCTTTGTAACATATTTCTTTATATTTGCAATTCAAACGTTACAATGGTTGCCACAAATAATAAACTATTCGAAAGAAGTGACGCTATGTGGAAAAATGTTAAAGGACTTTTTCGTTTCAGTAGAATGATATCTAATGAAATCAATTTTGTTCCTGTTGAAAACTAAATATTACTTCCTCTAAATAATATCGCTTTTTCTATCAAACAATACGGTTTACTCTAACGAAACGTTTTCGTTCGAGCGAAACGATGCCTGATTAAAGCGTGTTGTTCATATTAAACAGCATATTATTATATTAAATATATTATTATATTATTTATTATTATATTATATAATCATATATTTTATATTAAACCAATCCAAACACACGTGTATTAAATTCAAAGGAACCTTCCTCTCTGTAAAATTATCGCAATGCGTGCCTTAACGCGTCTTCGACGCGAGGTTGCAGAGTGAGAAAAAAGCGAAAAAAAAGCAACAATGCAAAACAATGAATTTTTATCCCATCACTGTCAGAAGATAGGATATATCGAGTTACCGAAGCGACTGATGCATGTCGACTGTTCACCGGTGCGTCATCGTAACCACTTGTACAGATATTGAATTAACACGAGTTGAGGGTGTCCTCCGTGACGTTACCGTTGCGTTACGGGGGTTGTAACTATTTCGATCTATTTTGTTTAACGCGCACCGTGCTGTGTATCTGAAAAAGCCTTCCTCCCCAGGAACAGCTGGCACTGTCACGCGATATATGGACGTTCCATTTATGCGTGTAAAATTCGCCAGAAAAACCTCTAACGGCTATGAAACTCGATATTTTTTAAGTTATTACTCTTCCGTGACGCTTATATCTCTGATACGCAATATCGTGCGCCATTATATCCGTTAAATTCCGGACGGGGTTGCTGATCGTTGTGCAGGTTTCACGTATGAATATAACAATTCGCTCGCCGTGGTTAAACAATCGATCTATTTGTCGTGGTCGTTTGCTTTCCTCCCACTAATTTGGCTAATGCGGCTAATCGTCAGAATAAATGTGCACGATACAAGCGTGCGATAATTCCGCCCCGGATGTTTCCTCTTATCCTCTTCTCCCCCGGCGTGTTCGCGGATGGGCTTGCGGGGGAGAACGCTTCACGCTTCCATTTGACCGGGAAGCCGAAAGAAGAGCCGTATATACCCCGGACGAAAATAATCACTTATTTTCACGCGGCGGCCGAGCAAAAAATCGCTCTTATTCTCGCGTGAGAAGAGCCGGGAATAACAGAGTAGCGTCCTGTCATCGGACGGGACCGTTACTCTCTCATTTCGCGACTTATACGTTTACGACATGGCTCATATAGTTTGCGGCCGCTCTCATTCCGGCTACCTTTAACGCGCCCCGTCGCTCGTAAAACGTGCGACGACGTCATCTTCAGGCACTCCGGCTGACATCCGGCCGGTGGATATAATCGTAAGTGGCGCGCGGTATGCTTAGATTAAAAGCCGCGTCTCGATTTTACCGCCGGGACGTTATTGAATCCTTCCCGTCGCTCTCGGCCATTGCGAATGCGTGTTATTGCGCCTCGAAGCGCAAGGGGGTAAGTCCATGAGCGCAGCTCCCGACGTATCGTCGCAGCCAGCGACCACTGTGTCATCCTCTAATTCGCCGTTTCAATATTAACGCGCGCGTCCGAAGCAGAAAAGAAATTCTTTCAATTTTTCCACCAACGCGTTAAATCCTTCGCGCAAAATGTCGCCCCGGTTTATCCTCCCCCGTCTCGACCGGCGAACCTCCCCCCTCCCCGGCAGCATGTTTATTTTATTGATTTGTACATTTAACGCGTGAAATCCATCGCACGGTTCGTGCTGAAATTTCCATTTCAGCTTTCATTTCACGTGTCAAGAGCCAGCACAGCTCGCGCATTCGCGAGTATATTTATCACAATCGCGTTACATTTGCTTACTTACCGTTGTGACGCGCGCGCGCGCGCGTGCGTTTTTACGCGTCGACGCATAATCAATCGGGCGGCCGCGCGATAACCGGAGAGCCGCGTGCAACTTTTGCGCGCCCGTCTTTCCCGGCGGCAAGTGCAACGCACTCTCCGAGACTCGTTCGATGAAAATCTCCGACGTGAAATATTCAGCGATATGTAAAACGGCTGCTTCGGTCAGCCGTAATCACGCGGAAAATCGAAGGCTGCTGTGGACAGCTCCCCGCGCGCGAACGACATTTTTAATCCCCCTTTCTCCCCCTCTCTCACCCCTTTTGAAAGCTCGGTCGACACTGTTATCTATCCCACTGCACTTATCGCAGTCACGTCGCAGCCGACGAAGTGAAGCATCCGGAATCATCTGGCGGATTAAAGCCGCGTAAAAATTTAATAAGTCTCTCGCGAAGGATTAGCCTGCTTCCTCGTCCTGCTTTCCTTCCCTTNTCCCTTTTTCCTTTTTTTTTTTTTTTTTTTTTTTTTTTTTTTACATAGGACGGCCATTAGCATGGAAATATGTTCTTAATATACTTCCGTATTTTTGCTCTAATGAGGTTGACATCAAGCGTAATGGAAAAGGCGGATCCGGCCGGGGAAACGCGTCTTGATTATTTATAAAAGCGTCACTTACAAAATGCATATTGTAATCTTTCGTTTGGATAATCCCCCGGCAAAGATAATGCTCGCTCCCCCGAGGGCTGGGAGGATTTACGGTTGCGTTATCGCGTCTTTCGTTTCTCGCCATTGTCGTAGCCCAGCTTGAACAAGTCCTTCAAAACGACGTTGAACGTTACGGTGACGATTCCCTCGACTCTCATGCGTGTGACTGTAATATCGCGAAACATACAACTTGAAGACAGAGGCAGCGGCGAAAATCTTCCGACACGCGGTGGAAAATCGACGGAGAGAGGAGAATACCGAGAGAATTTCGCGAATTTTAATATCAAAACCGTCAATAAACTTTTCCAAACATTCGACGTTTATGAGTGTAGAAATATCGAGGTATTTCGAAAACCTCGACGTGCCTATGGTTACAAACTTTCTGTTATCAATGCGTAAAACAAAAAAATATTACCGACACAAAGATTATGCAAAAAGCAATTCGGAGAGTTGATTGATATTCCTCCTGGAAAAATTTGCGAAAAATTAACGAACTCGACACTTTCTCTACTTTCCCACTTCTGACGTGTCCAGAGATTGTTCAATCGTGAGGTATAGTAGCGTGATCTCACTTGATCGACTTGCGCGAATACGCCGTCACTGATGATTATACTTTATTACCGTCCCGGTCGGTTGGATGCAATTAATGTAACACCGTAACATTAACGAGAAATGTCTCACTGGATTTCCTTACGTTCTCTGCCGCTCCCGGATGCCAATATGGCGGGATCAATTAATTCTGGCCTCCTGCCGGTTAACCATGCCACGAGATGCTGCAGCGTAGATGACGACTCCGGTACGTAGACTGACACCCTGAGATTTCAAACGACTTTAGTGAAGCGTATCCGGAGCGATGCGATCAAAGCTTGATGCGCTATCTCAAAAGGAATTGGATACATACGAATTGATACAGATGAGGGGGTGTAGTTATAATCTAATATCAAATATCGGCAAGTTAGCCCTTAAGGCAATCATCAAGGGTAAAGGTAAAAGGTAAAGGTTTGGTGGTTCATTTTGGATGCGTCAAAGGAATTACTTCTTCGAGTTCATGCCGGGCACTGGCACGAATATTTTCAAGAACATTATTACGAGATTTCCGGACTGGGTGAGCTTCGGTTTAAAGCGGATTTCGAGAAGTTATGCCTTCTAAATGCTTATTACATGCTTATTAATTTGGAAAATTAATAAAAATAATAAAGTATGATTTCTAATTACCGGCTGCCCACTAATCGATGAAAAAGATATGCCGGCGAAGAAGGAATATCGAGGAAAATTCCTGCCACGTACGTCATACACGGAGGGAAAATATCTTATAATTGTAGGATTTCCCCAAAATTCAATTCAATTTCAATATTATGTATTTTTGTGCGCACCTTATTTTTCTCTGCTCGCCAGAAGATTAAACGGTGATTTTTAATATTTCTATTAAATACACATAATGTAAATTGATATATACTTATATATATTTTTTTTAAATGAACCTTAAAATCCAACCATTCCGCTTAAGGTAACATGTTCTTTCCTCTCACTATTTTTTTTCGCAATACCATACATTTCTTATTCGAATACGTCGCGTGGATCGGAAAGATCGTTTCCCCAGAAATCCTAATCGGATCTGCGAAAAGCCGAGGCGCACGACGCAAACTAGTGAATAATGTCACACATCGAATAACGTGGAAAATATTTTTCTCCAATGTACGCGATATCTGCGATGCATGCAACGTGGACGATTAAACATTTATATCAACCGTACTAGAATTTGAAATTTTGCAAAATATAATGGTTAAAGTATGTGGTGGAAGCGTAATTGGATGTAAAAGGAAATTACATATCGTTTGAGACTAACTTTAAAGAAGAATATAAGTTCTTTCGCTATTACAGTTAATAATGGCGGTCATTTGAGTAATAATAACATTTATAAGCATCTACAAGGGAAATGTGACGTTTCTAGGCCACCGGGAATTTGGAATTTATTTTCGCATACTGATCGATGATCAGACTCGAAGGAGTTTAACGAAAGGTCAGCACAACGAGAAATAGAAATATTCTATAAATCAATGAATAATGTAACATACACGCCCGACCTTTTCTCAGCTGCGACACGATTCTCACTTACAGAGAACGCAAAATAAATATTAAATATTTTCTGAATTGACACTGAGATCGAAATTGCCATTGGCAATCCGTTTGTGTGTGTGTGTGTGTATGCAAGACTGATATGGATTTTTCGTCTATTACGGTTTTAATTATTCTGTACAATTGAATATCTCGAATTAAATGGTAGTTATATTCATTTGCTCCACACACTTTCACTATTTACCTTATCGTACGAATAATACCTCTTTTCATGATGTCCCGTTTCGAACGGCAAATGACACACTCCGTATCCCCTGATGACGTCATGGCCGAAAAAATCCAATCCGTAAATCGACATGATAAGCTGCGGCCCTAAAGTGAAGCTTACATTACATTCTCTACTCAAAAACTTAGCATATTAAGTAAAAAGCTGAATATCTCGAGAACGATTAATTTGCAAATTTCTATTTATTCAGAACTTTTTGTTATCCGTGAATTCTGTTAGTTAATTAAACTTGTGCATGTAACTCTAAAACCGCTTTGCATATATAAGACGTGAAAATACGGTAAAAATGGTCGGGGGTTTTCATGTTTTTCATCATTCGTCTCTCCCCGCCTGTGTACACTCACATCCGTGTGGATTTGTGCTCCTGAATGTAATATCCAGGGGAAAATTCCAAACGGCGAGATTCCTCGGATCGTCACTGCATTTGCACATCTGTGTCAGACCCTCCTCGATTCCCTACGAGGGGAAAATTCCACCATTCTCATAAGACATACGAAATAACACCTTCAACGAATAACAAAACATTTCGATGATTGGCTGACATGACTGACATATCCGAAGTTTAATTCCGCGTCATTTACATTATCTCATTTAATCGAAACTGAAAGTCTCAAGAAACTGGTGTATTTGCGTCTTGGGAATGGTACATTGAAACGAACCTTCTAAAAGATTCCCGCTTGAGTGCTTTCAGTGCGAATTATTCATTTGCGTCTCTTATTGTGATATTTGAATGGGAAAGCGTGTAACAAAAGAATCGTGTGTCCTGATTTCTTGAAAATATCGTGAGCTTTCGTCGTTTCTGACGTCGCAATTTAATACCACAAAGAACGATCCTCAAACCGCTAAGATTTTTTTGTGACAAACTTAATGCAATTTTATTGCTTCTTTCGACTGTCTCTTATTGTTATGATCTTACCGCGATTACGCTCCATTCCGGTCCGAAGTGGAAGCCGTACTTGCAGTACGCATTGTTGACGTCGTAGAACTCAGCGTGCTCGATGGAGCCGGTAACGGATAGGAAAAATTCACCTTCCACCGACATGTTCGCCAATAGAAACAACGTTGCTTATTCAGACCTTTGACAAGCGAAACTAAGGTAAACCGAGGAATTCCGAAAAGAACCGTTCTTTCGCTCTTTGTGTACCGAATCAAACCACATGGTGTTGCCGTGGCAACGACGCGTGTGCATTGGAGCGTTGCGTTGTACAGTGTCGTAAGTGCTCTGATTTTCTTAATATTTTTTTCCACTGATTTCTCGGTAATAAATTTTCACTTTGGAGATACCTGGAAAATTAACACTTCGCGCACTGAGTGAGCATCCTTTGCTTTTTCTAATTCTTGTATAAGTCATGCAGACGTCATACATGTATCCAATACAATAAACGAGTAATCTTTGACATTTACTTATATTATTGTTATTATTAAAATATAATTTACTCAGCGTTCTGGGGAAGATTCTGCCGAGAACAGGCCGATATAAGTAGAAATTTATTAGTGGCTCTTACGATCTCCAAATTTACACATTATGTACAGGTAATTCTAAAAATATATCATATCTCTAATATATATATATATACATACTTTCAATTAGCTTGCCCATTACGACCCGAGAGCTTATCTTTGACTTCTTCCTATATATATCTACGGTACCTCCGTCTGAAATCAATTCTTTATTTCGCTATGTTAAATTTTACATTGTATTGCATCATCCTCAAGCGACATTGCGCCTTTCTATAAGGACACTTTAATTAATAAGGATAAACTTATACGCAATTAAGAATGTATTGTTCGCTGCCTAATAGTTTATTTGTCCTCGTCTGAAAGACGAGAAAGTACATTGTTCTAAAATCAGTCGATAACTGAGAAACTACGGCGGTTAGAACATGCTAGTGACAAATATGTACATATAATAAACACGTTGAGCTGTACATGAACGCATCGGATCGTTCGAGGTGCCGATACGATCGATCTATGAACTACGCTGGCATACCATAGAATGAGATTGTGTCTATCAGAGTTTCTGAACTCGAGAGTCACCCTTTCTGCACCATAAAAGAGAATAGTATTGTCAAATAGCGGCAAGGCTCTGGTCCAAGATAAAAGTCAAGATCCCCCGCCAAACAACCGTATCCGAAAGGCTCATAAAGGCGTCTATCAGATACCTTCGTGATATACATTTTTTAAATGTGTCTAGGCGGGTTACGACGGCCAGGCCGTCGTGGTATCATTCGTTTACCCGAAACGCGATGACGACTTCAGACACTCTAATCAAATTCGCCCCATTCCGTGGCACATGCTTTTTCCATTTCCACGAATGCGTTACGCGTTACGACTATTGTCTAATTCTCACAAATATGAGTAGCTTCAGCTGTGTCGGCTTATCGTCCGGTGGTAATTTCCTTCATGCGATTCAGCGCGGAACCAGCTTTGAACCAGTCGATCTGTTGTTCGTTCATCGTGTGGTTCAGACTGATGTTCTCGACCTTGCCGTCCTTGTGCTTGATTTGCGCTTGCACGGACTGCAAGAATCATATCGGGTGAAGAAATGTACGAGGCGGAAACTAAGAACTGAATGTTGAGGAAAAACCACGGCCTAGTATAAGGTTGAATTGTTCAATTCTCCGATTCCCTCGTTCTTGGAGTCTTGCAAATAGATTTTACAAACCTTGCCAGGTGCTAGGTCCTTCAGTCCCAGAAGGCTGATTTTGTCGGTAGGCTGGATTTTATCGTAGTCCCCAGGGTTCGAGAAGGTCAAGGGTAACAGGCCCTGTTTCTTCAAGTTGGTCTCGTGAATCCGAGCGAAACTCTTGACGATAATGGCGCGGCCGCCCAGATGACGGGGTTCCAAAGCAGCGTGCTCCCTGGAGGAACCCTCGCCGTAGTTCTCGTCACCCACCGCCACCCACTTGACGCCGTTCTTCTTGTAATCGCGAGCGACGTCGGGAACGGCGCCCCAATCGTTCGACAACTGATTCTTGACCTTGTTCATCTCGCCGTTCTCGGAATTGACAGCGCTGGAAAACCATGCGATCGTACAGCGCATCTCGTGAGGGCTGTATCTAGACTTTTTCCTCAGCTTAATCTCTCGTTATCATCGTGCCGATGACTGCGATTTCACTCGGCTAAATTTAGACTGAATCTTTCTTACCCGATAAACATGTTGTTGGAAATGTTATCGAGGTGTCCGCGATACTTGAGCCACGGACCGGCCGCAGAGATGTGATCCGTGGTGCACTTGCCTTTGACCTTAATCAGGACCGTGAGATCCTCTAAGTCCTTGCCGTTCCACTTATCGAAGGGTTCCAGCAGCTGTAATCTTTGGCTCTTCGAGTCCACGTCAACCCTCACTTTGGTACCGTCCGCCGGTGGCGCGTCGTAAGTGTCCATACCGGGATCGAAGCCACGGTTGGGTAGTTCGTCACCTTTATACACGTGAATATACTCGTTTAATAACGTACGCTACATGTGCGAGTATTGCGCACGCATTTAATGCCAACCGCACGAGTAATCATCGCGATATCCAAATTACTATTGACTAACCGTACGGGTTTTCTAGGAGGAATTCCTTCCCGTCCTTGCCCTTTAGCTTGTCGGTCACCGGGTTGAAGTCGAGCCGGCCGGCAATGGACAGAGCAGTGACGAGCTCGGGGCTGGTGACGAACGCGTGCGTCGCCGGATTAGCGTCATTTCGTCCTGTGAAGTTTCGATTGTACGACGTGACGATCGTGTTCTTGTCCCCCTTCTTGATGTCCTGGCGATCCCACTGACCGATGCAGGGTCCGCAGGCATTGGCCAGCACAGTACCTCCGAATTCACGGAGCGTTTGGGCCTGAAACAATTCGAAACGTCCGCTTAATCAGTGGAGGAAAGTCGTAAACTACAAGAATTCTCCGATATAGCTTCTTCGTTACGATATCTGCAATGAACACAAACCTGATGCCCCCGAAAAATATATATATACATATTAAACAAGAATATAATTATCTCGCAATATGCAGCAAAATAGCATTGAGCTTGCGAACTGAAAGCGCATCCTTGCGAATAACAAGAATGGAGAACTTGCAATTCCGTCGCGTTCGATTGTCGCGCGAATCTGCTCGGATCCGGGAGTGACGTTGAACGCAGACGTCGCTTTCAGGCCGTGCTTCAGAGCTTGCTTAGCGATGTTCGCGCACCGGCCCATGTCCTCGTAGGAGCTGTTGGTGCAGGAACCGATCAAGCCGACCTTGATCTCATTCGGCCAGCCGTTCTTCTTGGCATTGTCACCTAACGAAAATATACACCTTCATAGAGAGGCTCAGGCGAAACAGGCGAAGGTTTTCTCTCAGTTCGAGTGCTCCAGTTACCAAGTTTCGAGATCGGATGGGCCAAGTCCGGGGTGAAGGGTCCGTTCACGTGCGGCTCCAAAGTCGACAGGTCCAACTCGATGATCTGGTCGTACTTGGCGTTGGCGTCGGCCGTCAACAGGCTCTTGTTCTGATCGGCGGCCTCGGCGATACTCCCGCGGCTGGTCGCCTTCAGGTAATCCTGCATTCTGTAGTTGTACGGGAAGATCGAGGTGGTGGCGCCGATCTCAGCGCCCATGTTGCAAATAGTCGCCATTCCGGTGCAGCTGATGCTGTCGACACCCGGGCCGAAGTACTCGACGATGGCGCCGGTGCCACCCTTGACGGTGAGAATTCCGGCCACCTTCAAGATGATGTCCTTGGGGCTGGTCCAGCCCTTGAGCTCCCCGGTGAGCTTCACGCCGATTACTTTCGGGCACTTCAGCTCCCACGGGATGTTCGCCATTACGTCGACGGCGTCAGCACCGCCAACGCCGATGCACAGGCAACCTAAGCCGCCTCCGTTCGGGGTGTGCGAGTCGGTACCGATCATCAGCAGGCCCGGGAAGGCGTAGTTCTCAAGGATGATCTGATGGATGATACCAGAGCCCGGGTTCCAAAAGCCCACGCCGTATTTGGCGCCCGCGGTCTTCAGGAAGTTGTACACCTCTTTGTTGATATCTTTGGCACGCTTCAAATCCTGGTCACCGCCGATCTGAGCCTCGATCAAGTGATCGCAGTGTATGGTGGAGGGCACCGCGACCTTCGGCAAGCCTGGCAAAGCGAGAGGAATCATTTGTTATTTAATGCCGCGAAAATGAGGATTTTTCTATGACTGTGGATTGAAAGTGGCGACTCTACCGGAGCTGATGAACTGCAACATGGCCATTTGTGCGGTTGCGTCCTGCATGGCGACTCGGTCAGGTCGCAACCGGAGGTAGCTGGTACCACGGACGATATCTTGCTTGCTGGGATCATCGAGATGGGAATAGAGCACTTTCTCGGATAGAGTCAGTGGCCGGTTCAACCTGAAAAAGCGTCGCCATCGATTAGACCCGTCATTGGCCTATTTGACCGGTGTATTTATTTCACGTTGAAACGCATAAGTTTCTTTTCCGGTTTCACTTTCCTCACAAATGACGCGATATCTGGTAGATGCATAAGAACAACCCAAGAATATTTCAGGTTTTTACGCTTGTATTTAGATATTAGTATCGATGCTGCCAGTTACCGAATACGTTTGAACGCACAAGCGTCTAGAAAGAAAAGTTTCAATAGAGTAATTAAGGTAGCCTCACCTTTTCCTAACTACCTTAAGGTTTTCTTGCAGCTTGTCGTAGGGAAGATAGCTGGTTGAGTCGAATTTGGACATCGCAACTTTCGCAGCAGCGAAGCTCAACGGGCTTACGCTGAAGCATCTTTGCTGAATATCCGCCGCAAAAGCGGACAGTTTCTGCAAATCAAATATTCCTTTCAAGCACAGTTTAAAGTAGTATCTGTTGTTCAGAAATCAATATATCGTCGATATACAGCCAGTCGATCTGTCATATGTAGGACAATGTTATTTAAAATAAAACGTATTTAAGATGACACGAAACGTCACGTTGGGTGTCATCATCCATCCTTATCATTAAACGGCATTATCAAGTGTTATCAACCAGACGTGCGGTCTTTATCTGGATACCTTTATCGCAGCCACGCCACAATTTAAATTTAAATTCTTCGTTTTTCCCCCGCACCTGCGCTCTAGCGATCCAACGACCTTGAAAAATGACCGATACACGCGTAATTTAGCTCACGATTACGTAACGTTTCTCTCATTTTTATCTCGCGATGCTCTTCACCTCGGAGCCCGTTCAAATCGTCATCGCGTTTTATCCGCGGGTCTCGTCATGCTCATTTGCAACAATATCGAACATCGACACAGGTATGCTCCGCATCCCTCGATGACTGATCCCCCTCGCTCCGAAAAGCCACGAGCTCAAACGTAAGATCTCGCAAGAAATGCCTCCGTCCTGGGCGCTTCGGCAAATTTTCAACATCCACAGTACAATTACGAGCCGTTGCAACACACGGAGGCTGTCTCAGTTCATCAGAGGTCAGTCGGTATTGACCTCTGCACGGTGAAGTGGGAGGTCGATGGGACGAGGAAAATTCGGAGCACACTTGCGTCTCATATGCGGTGCACACCGTATCAGTTTCCCTTTTCTTTACCTGTGCGCGAAGAACCCGCGTGCAATATGACATGGTGGGTGAATTTCCGATGCGGTCGCTCGAAGGTTCTCTCGTGAAGGGCGCAGGCGCTTATTGGAAGGCAAGACAAATTTTCCCTTCGTGGCAGTTCTTCTCGAACCGGCCACTACACGGGAACTAAGGACACTCTGTTCCTTCTTCGTGTCGTCGTTGCTTGATTGCTGCGCTTGCGCACGAACCAGTTTCGTATCGAACAACACGAAGAATTGCGTGCGTATCGCAATGGTCAAGGCCGGTGAACTCTTTGTCCAAAGTTTCACCGGTGAAACGTCGACGTACCGTGAGGAACAAACGAATGATCCGTGCGAGGTCCTCTGTTATAAATATACTTGCGATATCAATCAGAAACTCGCTATAATTAACTATGATTATTTCACACGTGATAAATCGAACAGATGCAGGGCTGGCTCGTCGAGCGTTCGAAGTGACGTCATCACGCAGGGTGCCGAAAAATGAAAGGCACGAAATCGGAGATTTCGAGCTGCAGCAATTAAAAATAAATCCCTTGCATTTTTAGCGATCAGCAATATTTGCCACTGCAAGATATACATCAGGGCCGAAGTCGAATATTTATCTACGATAAAGTTCGATCTATCAACCGTTTCTGTTTTGTTAGGAGCTATTATAATTTGTATAAGTTGAGGACAAAGTAAAAAGAGAACTGTATTATCGTTTGAATTTTTACCATTTGAATTATATGGGTTTCTTCATATTACCCAACTTCCCGTATAATTTCATGTTATTGTTAGACCCGATACTTAAAGATATTATTTGCCTAGAGAATTTACACGGAGCAGAGTCTCGAAGATATTGGCTATCCTGAGGAGAAGGAAATTAATGTTGCTTCTGAGAGCACTCTCTCGTCGTGGTGAATGATCACGTTGATATTGGTGTCGGGTTACCAGCAATCGATAGGAAACAGAAACGCCGAGAATATCTCCTGTATAAAACGACCATATATATTATCTCATATTAGGTCACAATCTTATCCATATATCTATCGTTGTTATATAAGATAACTGAATTGTAGCGCCAGTGTTATCAATCTGATTAAATGTAGTAGCTAACAAGTAGGAATATTACATCATGTATCTCAACATCGAATAAAATTTTATTATTCACTTATATATAACGCTTTTTTAATTTTCATGTATTTTTTAATGTTATATCATTGTATTCTACAGTTGGAACAAGTCCGCTTTGAAGAATCGTTGAATCTGAGTCTGAACCTGAATCTACGAAAATTGAACGTTGAGTTTTTGTGTTTAACTCATTATGTTAATGATATATCTTCATTAGAAAATAATGACAGATCTTTCAAACGCGGATTCGTGAAATATTGATTAAGATAACTGAATAGTGAATCACGAATACAAATTTATAATTAATCGCGCTCTCGATCGGAGATTGAAAATTATTTACGACCATTAATACCTATTCCAGTCGAACCATTAATATTGTACTTTAATTCATTGTGGATTATCTTCCAGGATAATTGTTCCTAGAACGTTCCTAGTTCGCGAATTGAACGCCACATACGGAAAGTATTACATCCTTGAGCAATTAATTGTATTAGTGTCCGGCAATCGATGGTGGGCAGCGATCGATTTTCGTCACTTTGATCTTCGATCGAGGCGCCGAACTGAAAATTGCTCTGCTCTGCGGGGTTAAAAAGATATTACTTGAGGTTAAAAAAGGCATTATAGGCGCAATGGGTCCTTGACACGATTAATCCGTTGTAGGTGGACCAGGGCAAGTTTCGACACATACATTCTCGCCAATCTCTTTGCGCGTTTACTAACGATCCGTTTGTCGATTAACTACGTATCGGGACGGATACCCTAAACGGATTTACTGTCATCCTTTGTTAAAAGTGTCGTCGCGATCTGATGCAGGACGCCCTCGCAAGGCAGATCGTACGGGAAGGTCGGCGACATTTTTCACCGGATTATGTATAAAGTAGTTTATGACACACGTAACGACACGAGCTGACAATGATCGCCATTGCAAAAGAGAAACTCCGGAGAGCGGGATCCTAATTGAAATCTTGGAGCGATCGTATCCTGTCAGATTAGACGGCGTGGATAACGGTGAAACCATATATTACGTCGGCATTGTGTCGCGGTTGAAAAAAATTCGGAGACCATCTGGGGACTGCGCGGACATTAACCCTTCCCTAAAATTAAACGAATAAAAAAGAGCGGTAGGAAGTGTCTACTTTCGCGGGAGAAAGAAATTCCAGCCGAGAAATCCGCGCGATATATATAGAGTGTCCTAATTTTCACGCACTCCCTTCATTTAGGGCTCTCTTCGCAATACCCGAGCTACTATTTCTCTTAACGATTATTGATATCTGAATAATAAATGTCTTGCACGTAACATTTCTCATGAAATGAATTTCGTTTAAAACACCGAGAATTTCTCATTTTGTTGTTCAAAAACTGTCGGCTTTTCAACAATTTTATTAAGAAGGGAGAAAAAGAGAGAGAGGGGAAGAGAGGGAGAGAGAGAGAGAGATAAATAAATTTCAAATTGTTTGAAGAATCCTTTAAAGAAAGAAAGTGCAGTAGTTCGAGACACCCCGTGTAAAATGTTCTAGAACTATCACCAAACCTTTCACTTACAGGTTCTTTGACCAGTTTGGAGTCAATTTTCTCACGAGAAAATTGTTGATTGTGTTAGAGAGAAGCGTAAATAATTTCTTTCATCATTTAATTATTAATTTCACTTATTTCAACCACTTATTACCACTTTTACTTGTCACTTGTTTTCGTTTCTGCCCCGAAGGCCTCGAAATATATCGATGCGATCTTATTTCTTCTATTTATTTAACTTTTAACACACATGGCACTTAATATCTGTATATTTGTATACTCACGCACGTATGGATTTATTGCACATTTGAGTTATATTTCGAAGGTCGTCTACGACGGCGAAGAGGATGACCTTGCCGATTTGACAAACTCGGCCTAAAGAGCGATCGACCAGGTTAGCGAAACGAGGGCATGTACGGCAAAATCTGGCGCCAGGGCGCATTGCGTCACGAATTTACATCATTCGCTGCCATCTCTTACCCTCGATCGCAACCTAGAGTCTTCCCGGCCGAGCTAAATCGTGAAATTGCATATTCCGTTGACAGCTGTACAAAAGCGATCCTTAATGGCACGACTCTGCAGTGAATTAGAAATTCAAAGTGTTACAAAAGACATGGGATTTAAATTGTGGCGATTAAACGGCCCGAATAAATGTACATTTCGCAAACTATTATTGGAATACGAGACGAAAGAAATAGGACGGTTGTATCGTAATTACTTTTTATTCAGTTGACGCGCTTTATATTTATATAATATTGGTTCATTTTTTATAATAACACTACTGCGTAGACTTGAATGACCCAACCAACTCGATCGACCGACGTGCCGCGGGCGATGATGGCGAAAGTAATGGTTCGCTCTAATTTCCTCGAGGCTATATCAAGTGTTACACCCCCGCCTTTTAGAGACGCGCAAACGTTCTCATTCCGGAGTCTCTAGGGCTGCTGATTCTTAAATTGCTAAATTAACGGATCGTATTTCCACAGCAGCATCTATGTTTCCTCGACTCCAATTCGTCTCTCTTCTTCGCCTCGACTTCCTCGTCAAAAGAAGACGCGAGAATGTTCGATGTAGAAAATTGTACTTTCAATCCTTCATCTTTCGTAACGTGTTGTTAAATAATAAAGTATCTTTAAAACATCTTTTCCTACATTTCGCCAAAATACGGACTACCGTTTGACCGTGTTTGATGCGTTCTCTGCGAACAATTTTGGCGATACCGCTCTTCATGCTTTATGCTTTATGAAATCAACGGGAGGGAATATCCTTTCGACAAAATCTACGTAACATGACAGTTTTACGAGAAAAATGTATTATCTCGTTCTTTCTATTCTCAGCGTGGTCTTTCTCGATCCGCTGCAGTGACAGCAATTACGTACGAGCGACTTCCTTCAGGCGCAGCCCCAACGTGCCGGTACCGATACGTAAACGTCGCCCCAGGCTTGGTTTCGATATCGGCCGAAAAATCGAACTCATAGCTCGAATTGACGTGCGAAAGGAAAAGGCCGTACGAGACCTCGAAAGCAGTCTGGCCAGCCGTTCGCAAATCATTATCATGACGGTGTTTCCCGAACACGACGGCTCGACGTAAAAGAGGACGATAAATACTTTTCATGAAATATTGCAATGCCGGCGCGACCTCAATGAACACTGGCATAATTGCAGAAATATACATGCTAATAGAATATGCATGTCCCATTAGTGTTGTTAGTTTAGTATAGAGCGAATGCGGCCCATCGAGGGATTAGTACGTCGAATGCGGCGATGAACACCGGCGTGATATCGACGCGTCTCATTAATTTACATATAGAACGTGATTAATTAATCTCACATGACAAATTGGATGTACGGCTAATAGCGAGCCAACGGTGCGACGGTGAAGAGATGTACGCGCCAAGGATTTATTTACAGCTATTAAACGATGCTTTCTTATCACCTTAGCGAAGAATCTGTGCGAGCATCGAGATTATCTGCGACGTCTTATATTATTTCAAGTAAATTTATATTCGTAGCGGAAAAATGGACTGTCGTAAAGTTTCCATTACATTTCGAGAGGCCAGAACGTAAAAATACAAATATACATGCGGTAAATCCCACGTGTGTTAAAAGTTATATAAATGAAAGAAGGAATAAGGTATCGCATCGTAATATTTCGAGGCCTCCGGGGCGGAAATGGAAGCGAGTGACGGGTAAAAATTGTAATAAGTGGTTGAAATAAGTGAAATTAATGATTAAATAATAAAGAGGATGATTTACGCTCATCTCTAACGATCGGTTTGATTTCAGGTGAGCCTACGAGCGAGCGATAGGAATCAGGGCGGCGGGAAAATGGCCGTGAGGACTTTGAGAACGCGCACGAAGACGGAGGAGGATGCCTCCCGAGGTTCGCTGCGACGGTCGGCTGTGAGACACTTCGACGAGCCGATAACCGGACGAAAGGAATTTTGGCGAATTCGCGCGCGGTCGGGACCGGCGGGCGTGTCTGGTCCCGTAACCGGACGAAAGAAACGGGGTGCCCCCGGCGTGACGTAATTCTGGAGAAAGCGAACGTGTGGACACGCACGCTCCGTAAAAAGAGCGGCGCGCCGACATCTCCGCCGACGAAGCGGCATAATCCGTCAATTACGAGGATTGTTATTTCCTATAGTACGTCACGTATTCGCGGGTATAGTGATCGCGCGCGCGACCTCGGCGACCCCGGGACGAGCAGGCCGAGCGAAGGTCCTGCCGGCTCCTTCAATGACGTCGCGTGGCAGGAATCTCCTCCAACCGCGGGATAAATTGCCGCGTATCCACGCCGACTCGTAATTCACGCCGATAATAACGTCCGTACGGAATCCCGCGAAACGCTTAATTGCACCCCCCGACGTGGCGTAAGCGCCGTCTAACTTCGGGTGTGCGATTGTCCGGAGCAGGATCGGGCCGAGCCCTTGACGTCCTGGACCTGAATATCGGATTAATATTTCAATCGTGTTCATTTTCGACGAAGATCAAGTCAATTGCGAAGAAATATCGCGAGACTTCTGTTTCCCGTTTCCGCGCGATTTTTTCGCTCGGGTACTTCGACTCCCTCGTCCTTCGTTCGTCGCGTCGTTAACGCTGAGGAAAGGAAACACCGAGATTTGGCTACCTGCGTGTAACGGTATACCTGAGGGACGATCAAAACTCGCGAAACTGTCGTCGGCGATTATTTCAACGGTTATGCGAAGGAAAAGCTTCGGCCGCCGTTGCTGGAATTCCGTCTTCGATGGCTTCCGCGTGATAGAAGTCGGGGTCGAAGGGATCCGTCGCGATCGGCCGAGAAATCCGCGGACTTTCTATAAAAATAAGCACCACTTTGTTTCGTATTATGAAACATGTGACGTGGCTAATTAGCGGAGTCGCGTAACGGCCGTTGCAAGCTCGTTAGTGCTCCTGTACTCCCCCGTGCTGCCGCGTGGGACGCACCGAGTGTACTCTCGACGCGTTCTTATGCATTATTGAGTAATAAAATTCAGGACGAATTACGGACGTCTCCGGGAAAACTCGGGGAATATCGAGGCTCAAATCGATGCGGGCCTCAATCGTTCTGTCGCAACGCGTTGCATTCGAACGCGGGGGAAAAATTCTCCGCTCGCACGGCAAGTTGTTCGTCACCATAGTGACGGCAAAAGGATTCGTTTGTACCGCAAACAGATTTGTTAAAAATACTAATTACCGATCGTACTAATTTTCACCGTACATCGCAACGACTTTCACAACGGTAAAATGATTTCTTCCGTGTAACAAATCTTCCTGCCGCTATAGTGACGATTTTCTGGCTCTCGAAGAAAATCAAACGGATGAAACAACTTAGGCAACGTAACGTCCGAGATTGAGACATGAAAACGTCTGGCAGACGCCTCAAAGATGTCATATGCCCCGATTTCAGACGTTGCGCTGTCTGCGAATTTACGCTTCGGTATCGGAATAACATCTTAAGCCGACATTCCCAACTTTTGTGCTCGCACTGGCCTTCTTCCGTTCGCCTCGAAATTTTCCAAGGAGAGCGACACCTCACGGGGAAAGGTGTGCTTTGATAATTTTCTCCTACACACGCAACTTCTGCGTGCTGGAATTTCGATGGAATCCGCGGCGACGTGTCGCCGCGACGAACAAGGAGCAGATGGCAGATGTCGGTTGTAAATCGCGGTTTTCGCAACTGGACGACCGCTCGGACGATCGATTTTTCCAACCCGAGGGACTCGCCTCGCGGATTGTTCTCACGGAGAGTCCGCGGTGTCGCCGTGCATACTTGCAAATCGATCGGCCCGACGATCTCCCGGTAACGGCAGCTCGCCCCGACAAAAGAACCACGCCCGTGGTTATATACCCGCGGGCATCGGCAAAGCACCATAAAGCTACTTACGTAAAAGGAGGCAAAGACGTATCGCCAGTCATAAAATACGTTCCCAGTCATTTCTGTCCTCTCGGAGATAATTATTATGTATTTATAATTCAAATGTCGCGTGCGCGCTCACCTTCTAGCCTAATTTTACGGCGTATGCTTTCCCTCGGGTGCATAGAGCAGGGAGAATGCGCGGAGGAGGCTTGAAATGAATAATGACACGGACTTTATCCCCTCCTCGTATTATTAATTTAACCGGATCTCTCTCAGATGACAAATATATTTGACTTTCAGACACGGAGATTAGTTTTCCACGCGTCCTTCGCAGAAATGTGTGCAGTTCCTCCAGACGCCCGTCCAGTTACTGCAGTGTCTAAAATCGGGACACAAGACGGTCTTGAAATCTTGATTGCGAACCCAAACAGTTTAGCTCCTCGGTCACTCGACAGAAGCTAATAAACTGTCAATTAGCTGCTGGAGAAATGTATGAAATTTCTACCGGGAGTGCGCGTACGCGCTCTGATCATTTTCCTCTGCCATCGGTGATCAGATCCGCGCACCTCTCGTCGACGATGCGCTTCCTCCAAAATAGAAACGTCTTCTTTCGCGTTGCTTGATGTACTTTTAATGACGGTTATTCGTAAGTCGGTGACCTTGCGTGCAATTGACATGTATCTTCGTTCCCACAACAAATTCGGCGCTCATCGTCGGATACCTCGAAGGCCTCGGCGTGTGTCTACATTCACGAGGTTACGTATTTCGCACGAGCCGTGTGACTCAATTCTGTTGTTCCGACCCGGTCCTTCAGATTCGGATGGGAAGACCGATAAGAGAGAACTCGTCCGACGACGGCGAATGAATTTTCATGCGATGTCGCTACACACCGCGATTTACTAACCCGATCTAACGCAACTGACAACGCGTCGTCCTGAAGCTGTCAACTGCGTCGAGTGCGTTAATCGTTCTTTGTAAAAGGCGTCCCGCACGCCCACTAACGCGGTGACCGTTCCCTTTTCGAGTGCCGCTCGCCTTTTTCACGTATGCCGTAATTTTCTAAAAGTTCCTTTCCCTCATCACCGATCCGCGCGTTGCGGAGAATGCGTGGCCGTCGCAATTGCACCAGATCGCCTACAGCGTCGGAGTTAACGAAATGCGCTCGCGTATTATCGCTGCGCCGTTCCTCGCGCCTCAAAGCTAACTGATCTGACTCAACCCAACATTGTAGTCATGAAAACGGCAATTCAATTGTGCCTGAGATTATTTACACTCGTAACCGAGAAGTTTCTATTCATAGACATGACGTTACGTGATTATTTTTGACTTACAATTTGCTCATTATTTAATGTTTAGTGTAATTTCGTCGGAGAGTGTTAGGAAAAAAGAGGGAAGATAGTGTGAGAGAGAGAGAGAGAGAGAGAGAGAGAGAAGGAAACAAATTGCCGTTGTCTGTATTTTCTTAATTGTAAATTCGCTGTGAATTCGGCGTAAATTGCTGACTAATAGCTATCGTCTTGCGTTCCTACGCGCCACCTAAAAGGTTAAATGAGCCTTCAGAGAGGATAATCGATTCGTTCGATGACTCGTGACGAATAAATGAGCGGACGATTCCTTGAACGATTACACGCGGCGCCGTGAGTAGCCGCGTACCGCTTTTCCGATTATGTAAACCACTCAATAGTTGATAACGCTGTAAATTACTATACCGCGATTACCTCGAATCGCGGGGGAATAAAAATAATAAAGGATGCGATCGGTAAATCGGATAACAATGAAAGCGTTAAAGTGGAAGCGCGTTGCGGCACCTAACTGGTCGCGCCTCGAATTAGAGTAATTTATTATCGTCATTGTAATACCGTCTCCCGTTTCGCTGACGAAAATGACGCAACCGCGCAGAAACAGCTGCAACTCGGCGCACAAACGGATGATCGAGGATCCATTGTCGGGTACATTCGACGGCCCTTTCGATGTCCGCTCGTTCATCAGACGTTTACCAAACTGCAAGTCTTGCGGGTCTTCATTGAGAAAGGGTCGTAGAAATTTCGGAATCGGTCGACGCTCGAGCGCCTTTACCGCGGGTTTCTCACGATCGAGCGACGGTGGTGAGGACCGACGTCGACGGAGGGGTTTCGCCAGAGATGAAGAAAGTGAAGAATTCCATTGGTTTTCCTTTTTTCCATTTTTCGATACTTTCGATTGATTTTAGATCGACTTTAGACCGATATAAAAGATCCTTCAATTCCGAATTTTCTGAATTCCCGACGAGAAATCGTTTCTGTCAATGCGAAGAAGGTTCGATTAAGCGAAAGCCCGCATATTAAAGTTGTGCTTCATTCACGGCCTGTCTTCCCTCCGGGAGATTGGAAGCTGCGTGATAATAAAAGGTAATGTAAGTTCCTCGGTTTAATCTGTTGAATCTCGTGATAGAAGCGGCGCAAGAATGCGAGACAAACGCCTGAGGTGCCGAGGTGCCACCTGTTTCTAGCAATAACGTACGGGAAGATTTGATGACGCAATCGCCTGTAACGTTAAAGACGGATTCACCAATCGATTAGCATACGTCGGTGATCAATACGGCAACGCGGATACCACATCGGATAAATATGCACGGACAAACAGATTCACGTTGCATCGGAAGAGCGAAGCCGAACCATCGGTGGTAGTTCGGCTCGAACGATCGTAGCGCGCGTTTCCGACGATCGCAAGCTCGTCGCTCGAGCGACGATCATCGCTGACCTGTCCGAGAGATCTCTCGATTGTTCTTTCCTTTCTGATTACCGCCGAGATTCCCGACCGCAAGTCGAAATCGGAACCGTCGAAGGGACTCGATTTCATCGCCGGAGTCATTTTTCCCGGACAGCAAAATGTCGATAAGCGGGGCGTAAGACGTACATCCTCAAGATACCTCAGAGACGTCTCGGAGATATCCTAAAGGACGTATCACGCCCCGATTTCGGATCTCGTGCCGTCCGTGCGATAAAAGTGTGCTTTGTCGCGAGCTTTCGACGAAACAGGCCGATCGGCTGTGACGATCGCTGATTCGCGATATCGTGTGGTCCCGGCGATTCGCCCGGGGAAAGAAAGCTCCGCGTGTTTGCAAGCATGCGTCGGCTCGTTTCGCGCCGTGCATCATACGCGTGAGGCGGAAAGTGTCCCGATCTGGGACAGTCCAGGTACCCCACCCGCGATTCAGCGATCCATCGTTCCCGGTGGCCTCCGCTCCCTCTTTTCTCGCCTCTCCCCTCGGCTCTCTCTCTCTCTCTCTCTCTCGGTGCCTTCCCTTTCGAACTTTGGTCCTTGCTGCCATCCGGCGGTAAGGTTTACTAAGAGAGCACGCGTCCTCCGAAGGTTCAGTACAAAACGCGCGCTCGGACTCGAAGGATCTTTGGATCCGCCGGCTGATAGAGAAGAGAAAGAGAGGAACTGGTCGACTCGGCCGGATCTCGATGCTCGGCTGAAACGGTCCGAGTGTGGATCCCCTCGCTCGTCCAGCATCCACCGGCGACCCGTCGCGATTTCGGTGCTCGATCGCGGGAAAATCGCAATGTGGCGCCGCGGAGTCCTCCTAGTGTCGTTCGCGCTCATAGCGCTCGGATCCACGACGAGTAAGTGTGATCACTTTAAAGGTGACTTCTCTGAAACCGGCCGCTCGAGGCGCGAACTTAACGAGCGCGCGCTAAACGGCTACCTGGTTTCGATCTTATCGATGCCGGTGGGCGATTAATCCGCATCTCGTACGCCTCCTGATTGCATTACGCTATCGCTGCATACATTTCACGGCTCGTTCGTACGTATTCACTCTCATTGACGTCACTGTGAATTTAAAACGCATTATTTTTCGTTCCTCCTCTCGGCAGTAAAATCGACGATGTTGTTTGTTTTAAAAGAACACTTCACTGAAAGTCGCACGAGGAATAATTTCTTTCTCATCGGCCTCGTTGCTTTATTTACCGAGTATCGTCGATTGATAATTACTTTAGCAGAGGGGCGGCGGGACTTTTATCAAGCGATGATCCGCTACAAATTGCTTGCGGATTACGCAAGTTGGAGGAACGCGAGTACGGGAGTATCTCGCGTATAAATGGGTTTGAAACTGCGTTGCGTTTGATTTTCGGATAAGGTGAAAACTGAATGGTACACCGGAGAGTTAAATAGCACGGCTCTCATTCTTCCTCTGTTTTCATTCTTCCTCTCTTCAAGCATGGTGCGTAACATCGGTGTGTGACGCGTCGGTGTGTAACGCGAAAAGAGATCTGCCTGTTGCGTTGCACGCGTATCGGATACGCCGCGTCCTTTAAGGTTGCGTTACGCCATGCGCGGATCATCCTCACAAGGACAATACCATTTACATCACCGGTCGCTTGCAATAGAACACCTCCGACAGCTCCTTAAACATCGGACGGCGGGTGACGATAACTCGGAGATTTCGTTTCACAATTTTCGACTTCTGCTTGTCGACACTGCGCTAACGCAAATGTTCAATCGAATCAAAGCGGAACGAGCGCTCTCGCTTTCACTCATCGTGTTGTAAATCAAATAAATCATATATATTTCACATAACAATCGAATATATTTGTGCATTTTTATTACGTATTTCCAGTTTTAAACTGGAAAAGAAAAAAAATGCGAACTTTTACTTCGATTATCGTCCCCGGTAACACGTGTTTTCTTTTTACTCCTATGACTCAGGCCTCCAGCGATATGTCTCCGAATGACATTTGTAGTATTTATATACGACGGAGGCCGTAAGCAATTTTACGCAATGTCAGGCACCATCGCGCGATAATTGCACACAAAGTTATTACCGCGTTTAACGTATCCGGGACCGTTGATTATTAATAAGCCTCGTATAATCCGCAACTTGATCTCCCGCGAATCATCCGTCCGCGCGGCTTCTTTCTTTTATGGTAAGTGAACAGCAGGTTTGCGCGACTATGTAAACGACTATTATAGCAACAATCGCATAATACACACACACACATACACACATACGCACGCACCGAGTGACCGGTCGACGATGATGTCAACCGTTGAAACCTCCCACTACGGGCATGTCTTCTCTCTCTCTCTCTCTCTTTCTCGACACGCGCTCCTCGCATTGTGCGAAATCGAGCACACACGCTCTAATCTGTTGCAGAATGCCCGAAGAGAAAAACCTCGCCCGTCAGAGAAATCCTCTGCTACACTTCCACTTTCGAGGCGCAGCTGCTCGCCGATTCCGTGTGCGGCTGCACCACTCTGGTGCATCAAAATCATGACGTGCGAAATCTCTCGATTTCCGGTAAGTAAGCTCCGAGCGGCTCTCGCTCGGAGAAAAGCACACCGGGCGTCGACTGAGATCATTGCGAGCCGCGGCGCAAAATACTCAGACGAAGGCCTCGATCGAGACAATTATCGATTATTGCGCAAGTAACGAGTAACGGTGTTTCAGATATCGCCGATTTGCGGAAGTCCTTGGGAGAGATGCATCCGCCTCTTCAGTTCGTAATTTCTATACACGACCCCGAGAAAACGCTGAGAACTTCCGCCATGCTGCGGCAGGAGGCGATCGCTCGTATTATTGCCGTCATGAAAGAGGTATTCACGATTGTTTGATTATTTCTGCAAAACGGGATTTTATCTCGTCATGATTCGGCAAGTCGGGGAAAAATGTCGCTTCGTGTGTCCTTTTTATTTGAACGTATACCGTAAGAAAATCCCCGGCATGCGTCTCCTCGCTTCTGACGTCATCGAGCAGAATGACTACAGCGAGAAACCGGCAGCCTTAATGGGTTAACTTTCGTCCCTTCAAGGTGGATGGCGTGGAGCTGAACGTGACAGCGGGTTCTAAGGAGCGCCTTTATAATTTCGTGAAAAGCCTGAAAGACGAAATGATCAGGAAATCCTACGATAAAAGGATCTTCGTGACTTTACCCAGTAAATCCGAGGACTTGGCCAAGCAGTTCGATCTTAAAGAACTCGCCAAGTAAGATCCCTTCTTTTCAACTAGCATAACGGCGCAGGATTACTCGCTCGAGTCGACGAAGTGTACGACAGAGATTTTCGACATCGCCCGAGCGATGAATCCTGTCTTCTCTCGAGCGAATTTCCTACCGAAGCGCATGCACGCATTCATTCTTTCGATCTTTCTCATCAGGTACGTTGATTTATTTACGCTGCCAACGGACTACTTGACAGACGAGGATAGCACCTTTGTCACCTTTCACCCCTCGCGTCTAATAGGACTCTTCGACATACTGAACACGGACAGCTTAGTGGACTTGATAATCGGATTAGGAGCTCCGAAACGCAAGATCTTAGTGTCCTTGCCGGCTAATGCGTATGAATTTACCTTGAAGGACGAGTCTGAGAACGTTCCTAGGTCGGAAACTACCGAAAAGGAACCTACTCCGATCGATCGTAAGCAGGTACGATAATGATATCCATTTCTTTTTTCTTCGCACTTTCTTACATCCTTGAAAGGTAATTAGTTAAGAGGAGCTAATACATCTGTCAAAGATCGTATCTTCTTAAACTAACCCATTTGGTATCGCAGCTCTGCGAGGCTATAACCAGCGGAGAATGGACCGTGGAGCGAGATGAGGATCTCACGGCGCCGTACGCCTTTCGAAACAAGACGTGGATCTCTTTCGAAGATAAGATTTCAGTTGGAATAAAGGTGTGCATGCAGATTCGGTCGGTCAGGAACTATACGTAGAAAACTTGTTGCGCGAGATATCTCGCTGCTGGATGTTAGATCACCCGTTGTTCATCGATATTTTTATGTAGAATGGAAACAAAAAATCGGCGTCTCAGTTTCTACCGGATGCTTGATTTCAGGGAAAATACGCCTTTCTCCGCGACTTAGCGGGATTGGCGGTGCGGAATATAGAGAACGATGTGAAAACTGAGTGTGAGAGACCAATCACGCACGAAATTCATCAATCCTTCACGGAACTCAAGAGGAAATCCAGGCACGCCGTGCTCAACGCGCTTGAGGACGAGCTTCACGTACGTCGATTTATTTACATTTAACCTCACAGGCCGCGCGAGACAGTGACGAGAGAAAATGTTCGTTACCTCTTCTAAGATAACTTCTTAACTTCAGCAAGCCCAATTTTCGTATCCGAATCAAGCGAAATCGTCCAACTTCCGCGTTGTTCGCGCGGTAGACACGGAGGGACACATCAGAGCTGTGCGCGAAAACACGCAAACAGAATTCATCTGCAGGAGACAGGGCTACTTTGTACATCCCAAGAGTTGCAACAGGTAATTACCGCTCATTATAATAATATGTTACTTATATAAATTTATTTATTTATCGTAAAATCGTTAATTATACAATAATCGTCGTTTAAGTCGAATTTAAATATCAGGATTTGCACGAGGTAATAAATATTGTCCTTCGGCAGGTTTTACCGCTGCGTGAAATTCAATCAAGAGATAGAAGATTACTCCGTCTTCGAATTCGATTGTCCGGCCGGCCTGTCGTTCGACGAACGCACGGAGGTTTGCGTCTGGCCGGGCTCCCTGCCTCAGGGCTCGCCGTGTCCTGGCAGCAGCGAAATCGCTCCTGTCGCGGGGAAAAGGTTCGAATGTCCATCTCGATCCGGCTACTACGCGGATCCGCAAAACTGTCGTTGGTTCTTCGCTTGCATGGACTTGGGTACGTTGCGATTTACCGACGTGTCGACCCCGAAAAATCTTCCACAATTTCCCAACCGGAACGAAAAGAGAAAGCTTTCGAATACTCCAGTCTCTTCTCATTGTTGCGCGACACCATGTCTACCTTGACTGTGAAATAATACCTGGTTTTATTCGCAACCTCTACCAAACAGGCGGGCCGGAATTAATGGCGTTCGAGTTCCGTTGCCCGTATGGATTGGTGTTCGACGAGACCAAGTTGGTGTGCGAATGGCCCTGGCTGGTGCCGGCTTGCTCCGAATCCGGATCGGCTTACACCAGGACGGAGTACGACTACAGAGGATACACTACGGGAACTTCAACTGGATTCGGTACCGGAGGTTACGTTACCGGCAGCATACCCGGATATTCCGTCACTACTGGGCCGGCTTATTCCGGCGCAGATTACTCGAAAACAACCGTTGCTGGCGCTCACGGGACCAGCGGGCCGAATTACTTCGGATTCACCACAGGACACGCCGGTGGACATCAGGCTGGTATTTCGACTGCTAGAGTTGGTACGATCTCTGGACACGCGGGATCGTCTGGCTCGTCTGCGATCGGCTATTCTGGATCAACCGGACCGTACGGAGGATCGGTACCTGTTTCGACGTATCCGGGATCGCTTGATATACACGTTGCTTCGGTATCGCCCGGTGTAACCGTTGGAGGAAGCACGAGATATCCCGCGACGAGTAGCGGGATCGGCAGTACCGGACATACCGCGTCCGGTGGAGCTGGATATTCCGGATACACCGGTGGAGTTGCTGGATATGCCGACACTGGATCGAGCGGTATCGCTACAGGTATTTCGGCGTCCACGGGAGGCTATTCGGGAGATTTTGGCGGAGGTCATTCAACGAGAGGTGGTACAACTTACTCGGGAACACCCGAGTCCGGTTATCCCGGCCCTACAGTATACCCTACGGGTGTACGTCCAGGAAGCGTCGGTGGAAGTCATCCTGCAGCGGGAGTAAGTTATTCACAGCCGGGAACGGGCTATTTCGGTTCCACACAATCGCTTGGATCGCCCATTGATATTCATATAGACTCTACCGGGCTTAAACACGACGGATCGACGGGTCAGTACGCAGAATCCGATGCTTTTAACCAACCAGGAAGCGTCGTGAGTGCGACCGGCAAACCCTACGTCCCGCAGATAGGCGTAACTTATCAAGGTATCGGCGGGAGCGACGCTGCAACGAGAGGGTCGACCAGCTATTCGAGCGGCACGTTGACTGGAGGGTTGACGTCTCCGAGCTCCCCCTATAAACCTGGTGGCGGAGGACGCGTCACGTTCAACGCTCCTTACGACACCGGCAAATACCCAGAAATGCATCGTGTCGGTGGTGGTTCAGCTTCCAGCAACGCCTATTCAGGAGCAACCGGACGTCAACCATCGTCCAGCACAACAGGCTTCTCGTTATACGGAAGCGTGCCTGAATTCCCCTATTCGGGAGCTACCAGTGGCGGTGCCGAAATCGCAGGATCGATTAACGGAGGATACACGGGATCCACTACGGAAGAATGTCAAGACTCGGTTGGTGCAGAATACTCGAAAGTTACTGATGGAATCAGCGTCGGTTCTGTTGGAATTGGTGTGAATCTGCCGAGCGGTTCTGGGGTAGACTCAAAACCAGGATATATACCTTCCGATATCCCCGGGCGTCCTGGTGTTACGACCGCCGTTACGACCGGCCATTCGACAAGAGGTGGTGCACAATTTTCTGGAGCGACGGGTACTTCGTCAACGGGCGTAAGGTACGACGATGAGGATGGGTACACGGTTCCTGTGTTCATACGACCAGCGGAACCGATATATCCTTTGATCGGAACAACAGGAGCGCGGGATCACAGCAGAACGACTGAGACGTATGGGAGCAGAGTAACGAGCGGCTATGCGCAGCCTGGTTTAGCGAGGCCTCACTTGAATGTCAGCATCTTCAACGATCAAATTTCCACCGACTATGTTCACGCAGGCACTACTGGTGCAATTATGAGCGGGGCTAGCGTGGAAGGAAGTATCATTACCGACGACTCTCTATCGGGCACCATTCTCAGTCACGGAAGTACTTCCGGAGCGGTGTCGGCTACCGCCAGTGACCAAGGTGCTATCACAACCGGAGGAGCTCATCCTGGCTACATAGCTACCTCCTCCGGAACACCGGGATACGTGGTCACGGACGGAGAGAGGAAGATTGACGTTGGATCGGCCGGTGGAGGTACAATAATATATGGAATACCGTCGTCTGGAATTTCATCGACCGGCCCGTCGACGCCCGGAGTCGTATTGAAAGGCGACCTTGCGCCGAATGTCCTGGTTTCCGGACAACCCGCTTTCGGAGTGTCTCTAGGCGGCTCCATCCAACCAGGAAGCGTCGTGAGTGCGACCGGCAGACCCTACGTCCCGCAGACAGGCGTAACTTATCAAGGTATCGGCGGGAGCGACTCTGCAACGAGAGGGTCGACCAGCTATTCGAGCGGCACGTTGACCGGAGGGTTGACGTCTCCGAGCTCCCCCTATAAACCTGGTGGCGGAGGACGCGTCACGTTCAACGCTCCTTACGACACCGGCAAATATTCAGAAAGCGACCTGCCGGACTACAGGCCGACCAGTGCCACCATTCCTGACTCAATCGTATCTGGGGGCAAGATAGAGAGCACCGGAGGTGTCGTCCTCGGCTCCACCGTGTCCGGAATTCGAGGCCCGAGCACCACCGCTCCAGGATATTCCGCAACCAGACCGTCCGTCTTCACACCGAGTGGCTTCACAAAGACCGGGCCAACCAAGACGGGTATAACCACCGCCGTTCTAAGCGGCGGCGGTAGTTACTCGGTAAGCACAAACGAGCGTCGGCCCATTTTGAATCCCGATAACATCGGCGAGAAAGCGTTCGAAGGGAACGTTATTGATTACACCAGGACATCGTCCATTGGCAACATCGACCGCCTATTTTCTACCTTAACTCCGCCCGGCTACTCCTCGACACCTGCACCAGGTGGCCGCGTAACTCTACAGTCAGCTACCCCCGGTTATTCGTATCCCAAGCCAACCGTGAAATTTGTAACTGGTGGTGCTTCCCCCGCCGCGCCTATTTTACCGACCGACGGTAATCTGCCAGTTACGACCCCAACACCGTTCTTGAGCGTCGAGCTGCACAATGGACCACCCGATAGAACCAGCGTGTTCGGATCGAAGTTACCTACTGTGTCGAGTGGCTTCCCGACGCCGACGGTCGCGCCTGTAGGTTACACCACCAAGCAACCCGGGACTTACCAAACTACCCTGTTTGGAGCGGCTAAGATCCCGGGTGCTGTGTCGACCGGCAGACCCGTCTTCGACACTGGTTACAAGACGGTGATCGTCCCTACGAATATCCCGGCTTCGGTATTCACCGAGGACAGGTTTACCCAACGGATCGGTGGCTCGCAGGCCGGATCAATATCCACGCCTACTGGTTTTGGGGTGCCTTTCCAACGGACCGATACAAGCCCGAAGGACTACAGTTCCTTCACTTCACCGTCTCCGGTTTTGGGATATCTTCCTGGAGGGCCGAGCGAACCTGGTGTGACCGCGTCCACCGCGAAGTACGACGTGCCCACGGTAACCGGGCGACCAGAATTCGTGGGGGTGACTTACAAGAAACCTTCGCCAGGCTTCTCCGGCGTTACGTACAAGAGTCCGTCTTCCGTCGTGTCGCCCACCACGTTCAGGCCAACCGATACGTACTATCCTGGCCAAGGATTTTCGACTCCGTCTTCCTCGGGAACGACTGCCGGCGGTGGTTCCCCGACGAACTTGGATATCTCGAGGGATGAGATCGACAAACTGATCACCAACTACAGGGGCACTGTTAAATACACGCCGAGCGTGTACGACAGCTCCGCAAGCTCAGGGCACGATTTTACGTCAACGAAAAAGTTCTCCTCGTCATCCTCGTCCACAAAGACCGGCGGTACTTTTGCTATCGCATCTGGCCCCACCACATCTTCTTACGAGGTCACCACGAAGCCCGAAGGTAAAGGCAAGGTGATCGTCAAGTGGAGCGATCTTCATCCGCTTCTTCTCGGTAAGCTCGGAGCGGACTGCACGTGCAAGGCCGATCCGTTCGCTAACCTTCGCGGCCCCGGCGAGAAGAAGTTGATCGCCTCTTCGAGGGGCAAGGTGGATCTGGCCAATTACGACGAGTCCGACGTCTACGTCGATCTTGAGGACGGCGAAGAGGGCGACTACGTCACGAATTACGGCGACTTTTCGCCTCAGCCCTACAAAATCAGCGGACCGCTCGAAGTGACGAGTGTCGCAACGGTCTCGTCCAACTTACCAGCTTCCTCTTACCTACCTTCAGCGATGCCCCCAACGATCAGCGAGCCACCCGCGAAGAATAACGCGCTGGGAGAACCGAACAGATTCCGGGGTGGTCTTCGGGTCGGCAAGAAGCTGAACGACGTCGCACCGTCACCGAACTCGATCACCTCGGAGGAAGACGATCCCGACCAAATCATCGACGGTGTAATCGACTGCGCCAGGCCGGGTCTCTTCCGACACCCCAATCTCTGCAACAAATTCTACGCTTGTTACTGGGACCAGTGGAAGAAGAAGTTCACCCTTCACATTTTCAACTGCCCCGTCCACTTAACGTTCGACTCGCACGCTGGCGCATGCAATTGGCCGAGCAAAGGCCCGGCTTGCCAGGCCGACAATTTGTTAGTGTAGCTCCCGTCATCTCGGCGACTTTTTCACCGTCCCAGGAGATTTCTTCCCAGTTCTCTCGTGTACATAAATAAATAAGAGGATAACGTTTAATGTCTAAGAAATTTGTTTAGAAATTTGTAAGTGTTCGAATTAACTGTTGTATCTGCTTAGTTTGGCCCGGAGGATCCATTCACCGTTACGATGATGATGAAATGTTGCGGGTCCGTATGTACGGCAGCGTATCACTGAACAATGAACGATCGCCGCGGATCGGTCCCTCTCGACCTCGGATCGATTGATAATTTTGTTTCGGGCGCATAGACACCCGGATTCCTAAACGTTTGCATTGAATAGCGCAAAGATGAATCTCGGCGTCGAAGGGAATCTCTCGGCATCGGTGAGCGGAGTCGTGGATAGGTAGGTTGAGACAAAGGAGGAGGCTAAATTCAAGGCGATCGAGATACTGGCCGCGGGAAAGCGTTGTCAAAGTGAAAGTAGTCCGTGCTCGTCGATCCAAATCGCGAAAAGTCCTCGGGTATCAATGTACATAACTGATATTTCTACGCTCGAAATTGATGTTAATATCGAGGAGATTCCTCGAAATCGTGTCCTTTTCAACGATATGCGAATAACAACGACATTACAATCGTCAACATATTATCAGTAACGCATATGGGATGTTCAAGGTGTTCGGAATTGGCTTCGGAGCTGTTTGAATTGATACCTCTCTCGTCGATTATATCATCGAGCCATCAAGAAGCGGACTTTGAAGACGCGAATTAATAACAAGGTTCATTCACCGGTATAATTTCACGGATAACACTCATCATTTGAAGTGAAAACTTGCGGTACATACGTGACGAGTGTTTCCTATCGCGGGAGGTTCGTTCGTTCATGTTACTTCTCGCCATTTCGTTTTGGCGTAACAATATGTCGATAATGCGTTCTGCATAACTGATATTCTTCCTGGCTGCGTTTGCTTTCCTTTCCGGGAGTATCGGTACGCTTCCCGGTATTCTTGAAATAATTACTCGATCCTTATTACGTGCTGTGTGCTTACGTTGACTTTCCGTTCCTATCCTTTCCTCGTTTCCGAAAAACAACAGGTATTATTTATTCGTTGCTTATTAAGAAGGTCGAAAGTTAGCGCGGTATTCTCCCCTGGCGATTTTGACAGAGCTTCAATTAACGTGCCATCTGCCGAGCGGCTAATTAAATAGTGTCGATGACTTTAATGAGGAATAAATCGCGCGACCAGAAACGTTTCAAAGCGTCTGTTTGTTAACACACCGACACCTGTCCGATACCTGAAGGAAACATCGCTATTTCGAACGAACTTTTCGTAAGAAGGGTAGATGGATCATCGTTCGCTTCATCATCATTTCGGAATTAGTCAATTGTATCTCTCTTTCATATACTTCAGTTTTTGCGCCCGGAGAAACGTAACCGCTTGATTATTCTCGAAATTTGCTTTCTTCACGTCGCTGGAGGTGGAAAGCTGTCATGCTGTCACTACCTAGCCCGGCCTGCCAGTCGTCAACTGGTGGGGAGGTCGCGATTACCAATCAGCGAGAAAGAGAGCGCTTGCCGCGAATGGAACGAGACGCAAAATGAAAGAAAAAGCTGGTGCTGGCGTGCGATTCACTAGTACGGGTTAGAAGGTGATATAAAGGCGTACGGGGGCTCCGACTTGATCTGACTTGACTGTAACACGGAAGGAACAGCCTGAAAGCGGGAAGCCCGTCGCTGCCACACCACTTTTTACCATCATGTAAGTCTCTTGCCATTATCCAATTAACAGCGGGTCATTTCAATATTATTTAGCTCGGCTCAATCGATCGCAACTCCCTCGAGACGATTTCTTCGTACCTCCCGGTGGAATTGCCGCTGTAACGTTGATTGATTTCCGTGGAAAATATGCGTATCGGTAACTCTGCTCGGTAACTGGCGTGATTTCTTGCGCAAAATTGTATTCAAGATGAGGTTTGCAACGATAACGTGCCGAACGATCTTCGCGAAATTACGTAAGTGTGAGCGTAAAAATGCGGTAATCGCTGACCTTGTCAACTTGCGATTTTATCGCAGTTCCGGCTGCCGCTAATCGATCGATGCAAATGATCAGCCATTGTTGTAGCTCGCAATTTTCTTCACAGTACGTGATAATTTTAATTGGAAAAAAAAAACGGACTGCTGGCAGACCGAATACGATTATGTTCACGATTTGTATTTTTCAAGTGATCGTAACTATACATAGGCAGCGTTTACGTTTCATGTACGAACGCTCGAAAAGCGCGGCGTGTCTCGCTCTAATAATTGACGACTCGATTTTTAGCTTTAATCATGCGCACCGTATTAAAGCAATCCACTTTTCTTTAATAGCGAAAGTAGAATTACCGTCCCGTACCGTCCCGTTCCTGGATAAACTACTCTAATACCCGAAGTTACATTAAATTTGTTTATCGCGTGGCGATATTTATCACTTATAATAGATATTTATAACTTATATTTAACAATTAATAAATTATGAAATAATTAATTTATATTTAACTCGCATGGCAGTTAATGTGTTAAATACGAATCCCGAAAGCGTCTCATGAAACCTTTCGTATCATTGTACGCTTCTTTAAACGTTAATATTAATCAACCGAGCGTTAATAACAAACCTCTTTAACAGCGTCGGCAGAAAGAGAGAGTGTGAAAAAGAAAAAGTTGAAAGATGAAAGGTTCACGATGATTTTTATGAAGAGAGGAAGGAGGGAGATGAAAGACGAACTTGTAGGCTCGGCCGAGTAATAGCCGCGAGCAGTGAAAGTATCGCAAACCGGCTGAACTTTACCGGGATAGTCACATCGGCGATTAAAGTCGGCGGAGCAAAAAGAAGCGAGCGCGATACGAGCACAAAAAAAGGTCTCCTGCACGCCCACGTGACACGTTGCGCAAGAACAAGTTGCGCGTCAATTCAGCTGCATTTGCGCCTCAATGTGTTATGCTAATTCTGAATATTAATTTTCCCAGTGCAGCTGTATATTTCCGTCATCTCGAGTTTATACTCGCGGTCTAGAACTCTACGAAAGCGTATTACACTGAGAAAAAAATCGCCACATTCAAGTAAATATTTGTTAAGAATATCGGAATAATTTATCTTATTCGGATTACGTAAATGTTATTCGAATGTAGCGCTTTTTTTCTTTCAGTGTGCTACATTCGAGTAATATTTATTTGATCCAAATGAAATAAACTACTTCAATGCTCCTTAGCAAATATTTACCTGAACATAGCAATTTCTTTTTTCTCGGTTTGGTTAGACATAACTAATCAGTTGTAAACTACGGTTAATAAGAATAATAATATTTTATTGTATCATATTATTTAATATATTTAACTTCAAGTCAAGCTATATTTTCCTTTCGTTTTCTTTCTACTTTACTGCGGCGTATTTTTGTTTTATATTTCATGTATATTTTTTTAAGACTTTTTTAAGATAAGAATTGTCAATATTAGTGTTCGTTTCTTATTACGCATTCAAATACGTGCAAATTCACGCTCAAATTAGGTTAATGAAGACTTACTTCCACGAACAGGGTGGTGTGGGCGGTGCTGATATTGGCAGCGGCCGCGTTGACCGATGCAGCGGTACCAGATCCACCGGAGAACCCTGGTATTACTACAATCGGCTCCAAGAAATTGGGGACCGCTGCTGATTGCGCCGGGCTCGTCGCCTTTTCCGCCACCCAAGGCTCGGTAAATGTGAGTTAACGCTGTAATGAATAATTTAAACGGTCTTAATTATTCATCAACTATAACGAAGAAAATCCGCAGAGCTATTTCGTCAGCAACGTAGAACGTATATTCGATTATTTCAATTGACTTAAAGAATGAAACAATTTGATCAGTTGGCGGTAAATTATGTTGAGCGATGAAGAGCCAAAACTAATATGTTTCGCTCGTAATAATTTCCAACTGAAGAAATCGTAAGTTTCATAATTATTTTTGCGCGTGGGAATAAATCGAGAAAATTGTCGAATTCCGCAGGAAGCTAAACTCGTCCTCTCCGAGACTTTGGTGGATAAAGGAGTCGGTTACGCGGCGCAAACAGGGATCTTCACCACGCATTGTCCAGGCCTCTACCAATTCAGCTTCGCCGGATACGGTAGCACGGACCTGCGACTGACGCTCAAACGCAAACTGAACAAATCCGACAGCTGGACGCCGATTGTCAGCGTTGGTCCAGGCGGAGGAAGCAATCTTGTCCTATTGGATGTCGAAGCCGGCGATCAGCTTGCTATTTTCGTTGAATCCGGAAAGATTGCCGACGGAGCTACCTTCACGGGTCATCGCGTTTATAAAAAATAGGCTGGCCTGGTGGACAAGAACCCTCAGCGATTTCAGGCTGATCGTTATTGGAAGAGCAAAATTAAAATGTAAAATGTAAAATCACCAGCTGAAACTGATTAATTCATAACAGATTACAATTGGGACATTCAACTAAATGTTAAGGGTCTCCATTTCCAGTTTGAAAAAGTCCACTGTTGGGTTAATAAGCAGAATAAACGTACATAAAAATGAGTGAAATACTAGAATTCCGAATTTTGTATGTTGATCATCAAGACTTATCGTATTAAATCGTAATATCGTCCGAATATTAACTGTATTCAGAACACAATCCACAGAAACATAAAAAAGGGAAATGGAAATCTTACCGTAAAATCCGAAAATGTTGAAATCAACGTCTAAGGTACTTTTCATTGTTGCTCTTTCTCATGTGCTGAAAGAATCAGAGTTCCTAATTCGTAGTATTGAAAAACTTCTCGACGAATCTAACGTTCTGTGATAGCTGCTTCTTCTTGCGGTCAGTTGTTTGCCTAAAATTTCAACTTATCTATTGGTTACTATTTTTAGTAGCAAAAGTGAACGTTTAACTCGCTTTGCAAGGTCGCGCGTTAAATCGTGCCAATTACGTACCACTCATATGATACCCCATTTTCAACTCGTAAAAAAAAAACTTCTACAAAGTTTCATAAGTTAGCATGAATTTTCTCGGTCTCCTTCGCTTTGTACTCCTTTCTCGTTTCTTCGTATTTTTGTTTACACCAACTTTCTCTTCATCGTTCCGTTTTTCTCGAAATCTTTCTTTCTCCTCTCTTTTCTCCACTATGGTAACTCGATGAAAGATTAACTTTCTACGTTCAAAACTCTTATCGTTTCTGTTCCCATACTTCTTTCTTCTATTTACATTTCTCATTTTTACTGGTCTCTTTGTTGTTTCTTTCTTCTGTTATTTCTACTTCTCTTCTGGCATCTTTATACTGTTTCTCTCCTTCCCTCAGCATGTTCAATTCTTCTTCCTTCAAGATTAAATATACCAATCTACATTGTCTTCCATAATTCTTTATTTCTGCTGAAATCTCTAACGCTTTTATCTCACATATATTTTCTTCTATTATACTTTTACTTATATTTTTTATATTTTATTTCTTCCATTCTTTTGTGGAAATTCTATTATTTTTCTATTATCTTTCATCTTCTTCCTTACTGTCACAAGTTATTTCATTCATCTCTATTTTAACGTTCATATTATTTTCTTCAGTTACTTTTCCTTTGGTGTTTTGGTCTTCAGTTACTTTTCCTTTGGTGTTTTGATCTTCTCATCTTTCTTCATTTTCTATTGTATCTTTTCTTTATGATGTGCCAAATTTATCAGCAAAATCTACTTCTATTGCTTCCAAGTATATTCATGTTTCCGTTGTCTCAATTGTCTCAATTTTTATATTTTTATATTGTCTCAATTTTTATATTTTATGTTTCCGTTGTCTCAATTGTCTCAATTTTTATATTTAATTTCCTCATTTCTTCGCTTTTATACTCTTCCTTTTGAAGAAATCTAAGTGCTAATATTTCCTTGCAATCTTCTCTACCTTCTTCTTTCGCATTTATATCTACTTTTCTTATAATTGACACTTTCTTCTTCCTAATTTTAACCTTTTTTCCATACTTCTTGCTCATATCATTCATTTGTCTCTCTTTTCGCCTTTATCTTTATATCTATTTATCTAGCGGTTTACTATCTATCCATATATTTTCTTACCTATCGATTTATCTATATCTGTCCATACCTTTTTCTTGTTCCCGTTACAACACATGTCACAATTGCCTGCTATCACAGCAGTTATGTCGAAGAGAAGACTCGTAAAGTCAGCAATAAGTAAAACAAAAAAAAAGTAACAATCGTGGATAATGAAGAAGAAAAAGGAGCAGTTCAGTAAGCGACAATGGAGAACGCGTGCGTGCATTTGCGGCGAACAGTGCGATTTATTTTCTTGTCATATCTTTATTAAAATATAAGAAATGTTAACAATAAACGATTGTACACGTTCTTTTTACTCCAAAAAAGATTCCGACTAGCTGATCACCCTCGTAACCTTAAGTAGTAATTTAACGTCACATAGGCTTCTTTGGAAAATGCATAAAAAGATTCTAATAACGCCGGCAAACTTTTTCTTCCAGGATCAAATATTGAGTTCAACAGTTTTGCTTTCCAAGTTCTTGTACTTTTCAAGCACAGGATATACCTCCTCCTCAAGGAACTCGACGACCTGCTCGGGTGCCCTGCCGACGAAGGTCGAGGGATCCAACAGAACGTCCAATTTCGATAAAATCGGCCCGAAATACGGATCTTTCTTAATCCTATCAACTAGATCGTTATCCAGACCATGCTGCTTCACTTGCACTCCAGCCTCTTGCGCCAATACACGAATTTTCTCGTGACAAACCTAAACAGAGAGAGATATAAAAATAATACGCGCGAAACATGGTTTATCTAACATTCATAGTATTCTCAAACTACCGAAATTAAAAAAAAATTACGTCACATAAGATTGGATTGATACATGACATTGAAATTACGAAGGTTTCACTATTAAAATAAATAAAAAATCCGACCGATTATTTGCAATCTAAAACTTATTAACGTATTCGCATCATAATAAGAGAAATCTAGTTGTGCGAGAAATATTGCGTCCCATTACAGATGTAAACGTTAAAGGAGCATTTCGCACCTGCCTATCGCCACCGGCCTTCACCGTGGCCATGATAATATTCTCCGCAGACATGAAGGGTAGTTCTTGAGCCACGTGTTTGGCAATGACCTTGGGGTAAACGACCAATCCTTCCATGATATTTTGGAGAGTCATTAAAATCGTATCGGCGGACAGGAAGGCTTCCGCCAAAGTGAGCCGACGATTCGCCGAGTCGTCCAATGTACGTTCCATCCATTGGGTCGCCGCAGTCTGGAGCGTATTATTCGACAACGTCATCAAATGACGTGCCACACTGCAGCATCTCTCAGAACGCATGGGGTTGCGCTTGTAGGGCATCGCGCTGGAGCCTATCTGTGTACTTTCGAAGGGCTCCTCGATTTCCTTCATATTAGCGAGAAGACGAAGATCCGTGCAGATCTGAAAGAAATTACAGGAAGATTGGAATTAACAGAGGGCGAGGGAAGGAAGCAGAATCAATTTCATGGGAAGATATGTTATCCTGAGCTCACCTTGTGAACAGTCGCACCGAGTGAGCTTAATGCGTTCAAGCACTCGATGTCGACTTTTCTACTGTAAGTTTGCCCGGTAACGCCGTAATATTTTTCGAAACCGGCCATCTTGGTAACAAGAGCGTCCAATTGTTTAACCTTTTCGCCGTCGCCTATCGATATTTGAACGTTTGATATAATGTCTCTTCTTACAAATGAAAAAAAGAAAACGATTCGCGTGTAAAATGGTTACTGCTAAATGAAAAAAAGAAATCAAGCGAACCGACCGTTGAAAAGCTGAAGGAATGACGCCTGAGTACCGGTGGTACCCTTGACACCGCGGAATCTGAGGTCGTTTCTGGCGCGACTTATAGCCCTCTCATCCATTACGAGGTCCTGCAGCCAGAGAGTCGCTCTTTTGCCGACAGTTGTTAACTGTGCGGGCTGAAGATGGGTGAAGCCTAGGGTGGGCAAATTACGACGTTCAAAAGCGAACTTCGCAAGATGCCGGAGCACACCGGCTAATTTCGGCAACAGTATATCGAAGCCTTGACGGAGTATTAGAAGATCCTTCCGAAAGAAAAAAAAAGAAAAAAACACAATATTAATAAATCAATTGATTTCGCGATTTCTCTCAATTGGTTAATTTTGCCAACGCGCACAGAAGTATTCGCTACCAATTATTAATGCTAAGTTTCGTTATTTTTTGTTGCCAATATAGAAGCAAGTAAAATGTGGCAATAACATGCTTCTGTCACGTTATAACGTAATGACAACTTAAACATAACGGTGTATTGGCAACGGTATTGGCATATTGTCGATTTTAGCGCTTGGAAAGGTGCTAAAATTAACGGCACATACCGTATTATCGCCTACGTAACAACTAGTCGCACCGAGATGAATGATAGGCGCAGCTTGCGGACATTGTTCGCCGAACACGTGAACATGGGCCATCACGTCGTGCCTGGTCGCTTTTTCTTCTTCGGCAGCGGCTTCGAAATCGATGTCATCAACGTGCGCCTCCATTTCGGCGATCTGTTCCGGCTTGATGGCCAGGCCGAGCTCCTGAAAATATGTTGCCGATGAACATTTCCGACTGACGTCCCATTTACAATCCAGCAGCGTCGTTTTAACATTGAAATCGGAGAAAATACGATTGTACAATGCGGTCCGTTTAAACTATCGTTTGATAAAGTCGCGCATGTGTAGATGTCTTTCTCTTCTTATCCCCCTTTCAGCGTACTCGCTGTATCATCTGATTAGATAAAGAGGGCTGGGTTCCGTCAGGAAGATCTAAAATTACCACGAGATTCCATTTTATATGCTTGTGTTCACCTGGATGGACTGGCATTAAAAAGTTCGCAAACATGGTGTCCTTGCAAACTATCGCGAGTATAGTGATCAAAGTGCTAAAATTGGTGAGAGGATAATATATTGACTTTCGTGTTGCAAGCGCGGAGAGACACTTGAGAGTGTACACTTGTACGAAGCGCAGGATATCCCAAAGCCTTGACTATTAAAAACTGTTTAATATAAAACGTTGAGAGTATGAATCGTGATGACGAAACGAAACTGAAACTTTTGCCGAGAGGAAATATCGACTTCGAATTGTCTCAACTGACCGACCGGTGAAAATTCATTCACAGCGTGATAATTTGGGATATCCTGCAGCCACACTTCGAAGAAAGGAAAAAAGCTCTTCCTTGTCAATTTTTAAACGATAAAAATGTGTTTTCTCGTCTTGTGGTGCACGTGTATGCGTGGAGTATAATTGATTTGATTTGTTGTGGATTGAAGGAAATATCAGTGACTGATAATAATGTCGATAACCTAGCGTTCGCAGTGAACGAGTCGTCGTGAGAATTTGACGCGTATTGTAATGAGCAAGTTGCGCAATAAACGTGGTTTCGCGCGGTCGATGACGTTAGATCGCGAAAGTTCGCGCGGCTGGGAAGTCGTCGTCAATACACTCATTGAAAGAGCGTTCTTACGAAGTGTTCGTGTGAATCATACCGTTCCGTTCTTATCGGCGCGCTTGTGATAACGCAAGTTGTTTGGAAAATGATATGCCGCATTACCGTTCTTTTCGTGCATGGAACTCCAGCATGCTCCAGAAAACCGCCATAATGATAAGACGCAAATGATATCTCTGATGTGTCACTTTGAAACACTTTCCTATCGGCTATTTCTCACATACTTAACATTTTTCGTACAAAATCGTCAGCCTCGATCCTAAAAAGAACTTTCGTTTCCACAAATGTCGTTTGAAATATACATTAAGAAGAATAAGTTTCTTCATTACTTCCTCTAAGATTATTCATTTCCTAGAGCTTGTGCATTCCCCAACGTTAAAGAGAGATTCACAACGAAGCAATTTGTAAGAAAAATTCGCATCTGAATTCGAGAATACGACCTCGCTATTACACATACATTTTTTGGAGCTCCTGTACGCACATATTTCAAACGTATTCTGAAAATTTATCAATTTACAGGTCCTCAACCTCATCATCTTGATCCTGTATCGTACAGGATATGGCGGTGAGTTTTTAGGTGTTGGTGGAACTTGGAACTTAAACGAAGACAAGAATCCTGATGCCGAGATCGTCGCATCCGGCGTCTTCGTCGGATTCTTCCTCTACACGAGCGTCGTGCTCGTCAGTTTCTGTTTCGGAAATACCAGTCACAAAAGATCTCTCGTCGTAAGTGCTCTCGCTCCCTCTCGCAGCTTAATTCCGCATTAGTGTGAAATACTTTAATCAAATGTAACCCATATATAACGTATGGTAAAAAAATAACAGCAACATACGTCACAAGAGAATCATATCAACAAGAATTGCGCGAGACAAGAAAAATCAAGTTAAATCGCATAATGAAGCCGGTTTTACGCCCGAGAAATATTAAATCGATATATTCGAAACTTGTGCTATTTATTTTGAATTTTTTCAAAAGGAAATCATCATGAATTTCGTCGGGACTTTTATGTTTGTGGCTGTGGGTGGAACGGCTCTGCATTACTGGCATGGTTATCAATCTGAGCATAAATACACATATGAAGCGCCGGAGAGGCAGGTAAGTCGTGTCGCTGACGCATACGGTGAGATGTGGAAACGGCGAAAAATTCGAAGACGAAAAGTTAACGCGGCATTAAATTGAAATAATTCGGATGATTTCAGATCGGCTTGGCTGTGGGCTCATTGTGCGTCTTGGAAGGCGCGGCGTATTTGATGGACTTAATACTGAGCTTCCTCCATTACGCTAAGGACGAATTCAATTAACTTAGGAAGAATATCACAGTACGATACCATAGACATTGACAACATTGACAAGGAACTGTATCATTCCATTGTATCAAAATTCATTCGCCTTCTAGCGATTATATAAGTGACGTAAAAGCTTTACTGAAGAATCGTAACAGGTTAGACATTTCCCGTACTTCGAAGTACATAGTTAGTCATATTGCTGTACATGTGACTAATTATGTTCTAATCTTATCCTTTTAGTTTTAGAAAGAAACTACATTTTCTCTACTTTTTTTTTGTACTTATATATATATATATATTCATAAAGATGTTTTTCCATGTTAAAAACGTTCATATATAAGATACAATAGAATATATAAATATATAATGACAATAGTAAGAGACAATAGTAATATGTGTAGATAGTAATTAGTAATATATAGCAATTTATAATGAAGTACCTTAAAGTTACTTCAGGTAAGGAAATTACTTCAACCTGAAATAATTCAAGTTTAAGTACATTCTCTGGCGCATATTTTAATCGTTTTAACGATGTTCCTCATATATTCATATAATATGTCGCTGCATTGTTCCACAATTATGCGTCATAAATAACGTCCTTAATATACGGGATGATTATATTAACTGGGTCGACGTATAATTCTGTTTCTCTGATTGAAATAGGGAAAAAACATGACGGAAAAAAATTTCGGACAACTTGATAAGCCTCTTGTGAAACGACTTCTTTCGCCGGTGCGTCGATGCACCTGCGGAAGATCGTGCAGCAGGAGGATAGAGCTCGTTAAACCGCGCAAAATTTTCCCCCACCGCAAAATTTTTCTTTAGCGGTAACCCGGCTCGGTTACTGGAGTCAACCTGTACAGGTCACACTTATTACGGATAATGGATAATTATGCTTATGTATCATGAATAAATCAACATTTTTACGTATCGTCGCGTTCACGTGCACAGCGTTACTATGAAAATGTCTTCCCTCCTGATACGTTTGGAACTACCGCGACTTTTATCACCTGACTTCGCCTGGCTGGCGATAATGCGTGCCGTGTAATTATTATGCAGGTGACCTCTTTGCACGACGGTTATTGCGCAAACTGAAGAAAAAAAATGCGGAGAAGGAAGAAAACAAGAATTTGCGGGCAAAAGTGAGGAACTCATGCCCTTTTCGGGATAAATGACGTACAGTTCCTTCGTTCAACATTTCGCCGGATGATACCATCACGAGTCACAGGATCCCTTCGTACGCGCCAATTAATCTACTTGACCTGACGGTCGTCGCGGATGACCAGTACGATCGCCCACCCACCCACGAGCCGGATACGTAATCTCGTTAATTATGGATCACGTGACATGGCCATGTCTAATTTATTTAACTCGTAGACTTCTAATAAGACCGGCACCTACTTACTAGAAAAGTTCGAGACGAAGGAGGGAAAACATGCGCGTGTTTTAGAATCAACCGTGACTTCAAGCGATATTTATCCTTCTCTCTCGCACTTCTCGTCTCATCCTTCGACGCTACGCTTCGGATAAAGTACTCGTTGTGCCAGATATAGAAGTGAAGTCTCGTACAAAACGTCTCCGTTTCAAACGAGAGTTTGCGCTAATTTGCACAATTAAAGACCAGCCCTCGTTTCTCAGCCGCCTGCTGGCGCACCGCAAATCCAAGTGTGCGATTTGACGCATTTTGCTGCAGTCGCTTTTTACACGTGTCACTAATGTCGTCTCACATAAATGCGTAGAGATTACACGGCAAATCTAAATGCGTGATATTTACACACTTACGTGTGTGAAATCATAGTATGGTGCGCGATGTAACGCGCGTAAAAATGTGTGGAAAGTGACTACATGTGAAATCAGACACTTGGATTCGCAGTGTGGCTGAGGAATGACAATAATCCCCGGGCTAAGCTGGATTTTCGATGCTCGGCAGCTAGCAGGCGGTCAGATGGGGAGGCTGACAACGTAAAACACGCGGTGACCCTCGAGCTTTGACATAAGCACAACTATAGGCATCGCCTTCCTCCGCCTCCTTCCGCACTCCACACCGCCGTATTTTTAACGTCTAAAGGTTAACTCAATATAGTAAAAGAATAATATTTTTCGTACCGACGACAAAGCGTAGCCACCGTCGCTACATATGCATTTGTATAGCCAGCGAGACACACATGTTTGCGATTGCATACGCCTCGTAAATGTTTCATTGAGGACGAGCTGACGTAGATCCGCAATAATCACGATATAGATGGCAAAAGGTACCGGCGAGCTCTCGTCGTATAACACGGCGGATCGATACCACGACGATTCGTTTTCCAAGTCTAAGTCGGCTAAGAGGCAAGTATGGTCAGTAAAAAAGGGGCAAAGATCGGCGTGAAGACTATCGACTCCTTCCCCGCCGTCAATTTTCTCCCCGGGTGGATCCGGTAGCCGCGTGCAATTTAATCCACGAGGAAACGTAGGAGCGGGTGTGTTAAAATCAATCTCCAAATTAATACGAAGGGAAGATTTCGATGAGATCTGGAATTATACTTCGCCCGAGTCGTTCCCTCCAAGCCGAGACGCGAGAGTTCGATCACCCCGAGCGCTGTACGCTTCGAACAGTCGTCGTGTAACAGTCCTCTATTTATCCTAAACAAAAACCGCCGAGTCCGTCGATTACGGCAGTCCGGCAGACGAATGTTTGGTAATCTCGGGTGAAAAATAAGTCGCGTTGCCGTAATTGCACGCGGCGCGCAATAAGCGCCTGTTTCCGCCGTAATACGATCGCGCGCCTTTTCAATACGGTGCGCGCCGCCCGCGGAATTACGACGTGTCCTTGCGTTACCGCGACGTCAAAATACCGTCACGAAATGGGATCGGATACCGTTTCCGGCCGGGGGAGCCGCTTCTGCGAGGATTTGTTGCTGAATTTTGCAATGCATTTCTCGCGTGTACGGTGGTAAATAATAGAGAAAGTGGTATTATCGTTCCTCCCGAATATCTCCGCTATTAGGTGACGAATTCTAGCGATTGCTCATGGAAGCATTTATTCAAGCCCTTACATAATGGCTCTAATGTTTGCCGATACACACAATAACTGGTATTTGTTAAAACCGCATTTTTACTTTGCAACATTTCGAAGCGTTCTCAAGGCACATTTCTTAGCATTTAATTAGCACAGACTACTTTAACTTATTCAAACTCGTATTATCACACGAGCATGCGCACATTCGAGCGTTTTGCTCGATATCTAACAATTCGTGTTCAACCGCTTGGAAAAAACGTCAGAACTCCGAGAAGCGAAGATTGAAAATTGCAAGTCGGGCTGATTGGTATTGAAATAATGAACCAATCGCCCTTCCCTCCACCGTTTCGTCACCAGCCGTCGGTTTATCACGCGGAGGAAGCGGCTGCAAAAGTTCTCCGATGCACAATTGACTTGTAACGCATCATCATCGCGCGTGCTCAATTGATGACGCGCAACAGGGCGTGCTCGCGGCAAAAAGACACTTCTCGTCCGCGACACGGCAACGGTACGGGACAAATATTTAGACGGACAAAAACCCGGCCGGAAATCTGCTCGAGTCGAATGCCGCCATGCGTGAAAGAGTTCGGCCTCGAACACGAAGGAATTCGTTGCTCCGATACACTTTTTTTGCCGCACCTTGAAGGTGTGACATTTTTCCATATTTCTCCCCATCGCGCGGTTTCCATCGAGCTCGATGGATCATAAGACCAACGATTGGGTCAATTTGACCCGGCTGATGTCGGGGGAAAAAAAGGAAAAAAAAGAGAGCGAAAGAAAGAATAGATTTTCCTTCACGCTGGAGCGATCTCACCGATTTTTACCTGTCTCTAGAGTATCGATATAGCGCGGATCGCGTCGATACTTCGGCCGAAGGCTCCGGACAGTCCGGTGATTGATATGAACGGGCGGATCGAAGCGGAACATAAACATCATTATCCGTGCCTAGGACAATATCGAAGTCGATATTGTTCGGCTTCGATAGCGCGACACAGTCCAGATGCGACTGCGTCTTCGCTTCGCTCGCGCGTCGGATACAAGCGTGATACTTCGCCTGCGCAGGAATCGCAGGTATCGTAAGAGAACCCGCCGCCGTATCGTGCGCGTTCTGCGTGTCAGTCCGAGCTGCACCGCGGCATAGCACACCACGCTCGCCCGAGCGCGCATCGCGGCGACACCACGGCGACGTGACTGACGCGCTCCTGGCAGATCGATTCGAGAAAAAAAAGCGGAGAGAAATATCAACCTTGAGAGAAGCGCGCACCGTCCGCACCGATAAAAAGTACGAATCAATCCCGGCGATCCGCGCGAGCTTTCGCGTTCTCCGTGTTTCCGTAAGCCGCGTAACTTTGAATGGAAGGCGGCCGAGGTGTGTGCCGTTGGCACTCGATTGTAATTCGCGCGTGAGTCGGCCGCAGGTGAGGACGGCACACACGTGGACGAGAGCGAGCCGACGGACGGAGTGTTTGTTATTCGCCGTCGCTGCTTGACATCCATTTAGTTTACAACGTATCGTAACGTGACGTAATTGTACGCGACTCTTTCCTTCGATAAATGCACGGCATCCAGTGGGAGTTTCCGAAGTGACGGAACGAGCCGCACTTTGTTCGTATTCGCGAGGCTTCGCCGGATCGGGGCTTAATGAAACTCGTCGTTAAGTGCGTCGGAGGGAATTTCTAGTTATCTTCGGCGTCGAATACAGCCTTCTTTATTTTAACCATGAAAATAGCCGGGGTAATGTCTTCTCTAACCGCGGTGTCAGTGATAATAAACCTTATGCGGGCGTTGCTGTTGCTATAAAATATGTTTGCCGCCGAAAATAACTATAATCTTCTGTCTTCTAATTCACCGGTGCATGTGTTCAGGGGAGGAACTGTCCCATCGATTAGTCACATTCCGTACAAGTGTTACGCTTACATACACACACATACACGCACACACACGCCCAATTGCTGTTGCTCATTTTATTCGAGCGTTTTATTTGATCACGATATATTATTTGTCGGCGAAGCACATTCATTTCCGATTCTCGTAACCAAGAATTCACATCTCGTGTTACATTATTATGGTTACCAATGAAATCGGTCGGTTTTTACTATTGACGCGCGCGTCGCGCTTACTCCTGAAAAGTCGGGAACAGTCGCAAAGTTGCGAAGATCGATTCAGGTATCGTAAGTGCTTCTAAATACACGCGTATTCCTTGTGAGGGTAAGAGTTATATCGTTTCCCACCGTCCACACCAAGGAAATGGGAGGGCAATTTTGAGAGTTGCGACCATCAGGTGCCATTAACTCCACGATACCCGGTAATGGAGGAAATCCGACGTTCAGATTCAAAGAAACACGCGGGGAAATGATGTGTTGTGCGCCTTATTTCTCGAACAACGCGTAATCTTTCATTCGGGCCGTGCGTGAACCGCTTCCCTCGATTTCAACCCCTCGATTTACATGCGTCTCCCCTACGCGCGATGTCTGTCGTGCGTTTCTCCGTTTCAGGGTCGCCAAGACTGCACAGAGGGGTGAGCGCGTTGGGAAGAAGGAAGGATCGATTGCTATCGGATCGGACTGAAAATCCTTCAAACTGGGCGACGGAAAAGGAAAACATCGAAGAGTCAGAATGGCTGACGAAAGTCAACAGAGTCAACAGCCGGCTTCGAAAGGTCACAAGGTCCTGAGCCACCTGCCGATCGCCATCAAAGTCTTCGAAGTGGCGAGTATCCTCGACTCTTTTCATCAATCAAATCAGATTATATCGGGGAAAATATCGCAAAAATTGCCACAAAATTACAAAATATTGCAGCAATTCTTACTACGATATTTTTTCTGCGTAGAATAAATTCATAATGTATCTCCTTCCGTCCTATAAGACTTAAAGTAACACTTAAGACTTAAAGTAATATGACACAGTAATGGTTATCGCACCATTGTGAAATGAGTTATGGGTTTAAGAAGTCTTGCTAATTGGAAGACGATAACCAAGTTACACAAGTGGTAGATCACTTAGTGGATCTACCACTTGATAGTACAATATTTCAAGAAAACGAGGCAAGAGGGAACGTAGATAAAAAGAAGATTGGAGAAACACGAACGCGAAAAGTGTGCCACACAGGACGAAGAAGTCGAAGTGTCACGTAACGCATATTTTCATCGTTCATTTTTTATGTTTTTTTTTTCTCCCGCATTGCATCACGTGGCACTTCGACGTCTCTTCGTTTTTCGTATTCATCGCTCTTGACGGAACGTTAAACGTCAGTGCAGGTAGTAGCCATTTTCGCGATCGGTCTGCTGGTGGATCCCATGAACTCGTTCCAGAAGATCTTCAACAGGCCACGATTCAAGCTGGACGACTCCGCTACCATTTACATCACGGTCGCCGGCTACATCCTCATCAATTCGCTTTTCATCATCAGCCACATGCTGGGTGATCGCGTGCCGAAAAGAACGGTAATATACCATTGCTATCACAAAACATCGCGCGCTAACGTTTAAGCGAAAATTGTCTCGAAACTTTTCGCCCTGTGTCATATTCCCCGCGGTTTCTGTGTGATCTACTTTTTCTTTCTCTCTTTCCACACAAGGGAAAAGAAAGCGTCTGAGCTTTCCATATATATTTTTGCGTATCTTTGCATATATATCTCGCTTATATAAGCTATAAGATAAAAGCTTACAAAGTTACAAGGTACGTAAAGCTGTTTGTTTGGTCCTCCAGGAAGAATTCCTCATTGTGTATTCTTTTTTTTCCCTTCACATATACTTTTCCCCTTTCCGTCGAATCAAGATTAAAAAGATTTCAGCGCTCGATACGCGCACGCCATTTAACTCTTATTGTACGTCTTAATAAATAGATAAATACATTTTAATGAGTGAAGCTAAGTAGAGAAAGAAACATTCATATCTAATTTGAAAAGTTATGTAATACAGGACCGATAATTTCTTATCGAAAGGTGCTTTGTAGATCTTCGAGTTGTCCAGAAATCGCGTGGAGATTCTCAAAGCCAATGTAAATACATGCTGTAAACACATGCTGTAAATACATGCACGCGCTATACTTCGCCCGTGTTAGAAGGCGCCATTGACTACGGGCTAGGTTACGACTAGTCCATTTGCACAGCTGAGTCATTACGCAGGCTGCGACGGCAGGGTATGCGTTAATTAGCGGAGGCATCAAGGCCTCGTTATGCGAGACACGCCACAACTACAGCGTCGTGCTGTACACGTCGTTCAAAAATGTCTCCGAATGAAATTCGCGCAATGTTTGCCGATCACGCGACATGAGACCAGATACCGAAACAGCAGACCGATTTACTCACAGTGAGTCACTCGATTCGAAACTTTTCAACTGCGTGAATCCAACGTGCGCATCGACGTGCTTTATTACGAGCTACAATCGATGGCATTTGCAGTAAGACCTTGACAAACAACAGGATATCTGGACTCCCTAGTTGTATAAACGCGACGGTAGGCGATGAGATTTTATTTTCCGATACGCGTAATATATAATAACGTGCAATGATGCGATTCAATTGCGATCATACGTATATCGTTTTAATTATACAAACGGGTGGTGAGAAATAATTTATAACGAACAACTTCGAAAACGAGCTAAACGCTAAGGTATAAGTTTCTCTCCTAAAAAATTAAATTTAAAATAAAATAATTTTCCACTTACCGAGCCTTCCGTTCGATTATTTTCGTCGGTATAATTAAAAGTGAAAAATCTCAGTAAACACCAACTATCAGTGACGTAACATCAATATTATATATTTCCCATTCAACAATGTTACTGTTACATAACACATGCGTTATATTGTTGAGTGGGAAATTATAACATCGATGTTATGTTACCGTTAGCACGTGTTTATCGGGATGACTCAAGTTATTGCAGGCTGATATTCTAACGGCATAAACCATGTATTCAATTGTCAATTGATTGAATTGTTACAGTTATTAATGTTTGCATCCGTGGGCGCACTAATGCACGTTGTGGCAGGAAGTTTGATAGTCCACAATTGGCGCAACCTTCACGGTCGTTATTATTACTCGCACAACAATGAGATTCATCCCAGCAAGCAGTACATGGACATGCTTATATCCTCAGCCGTATTTACGTTCGTGAATGCGGCAGTATTCATCGCCGAAATTATCGCCATATTGAGATACTCGTGAATCGTATATTTTTGCGAAAGATCCAACGATCGAAAGAAGTTGAAGTGCACACGAGTACCGCCAAAGTTACAAATAATCTCTTCGAAAAAATATATCAGGTAACCAGGAAAGTTCGACTTTTAATATCAAAAAATAAGGAGGGAGAAAGAGGAGGAGGAGGAGGAGGGAGAGTAAAAAGTGTTAATCAAATTTAGAAGTCATTAATTAGTGTAGTTTGAGTCCTAATTAAAACGCAAACAGACAGTTTAGCGCAATATATAAGTTGCACGTTGCTACTTATTACACGATACGTAAAACAACGTAAGTCATTTCTACCAAAACTGCGCGAAATTTCCTGGTTATATAATAAAAGAATTATGTAATGTAATATAAACCTACTTTTCTTTAAGTTTATTATAAATTTGTTGAAACCAATTTTACCATTTCCAAATTAACGCGACCAAGAATTAAATCAACATTACAATGCATCATTACAATATATATTTTACGGATTCTTCAAGATAGAAATATTTTTAACAAACTGTGTGACCAAAAAATTATATTAAAAAAATTATCAGAAAAAGATATAGCAAGTCCGCACCAAGTAAAAAGATAAAGTTTATTATGAATCATTGTAACAAGTATTAATTTTGTAAATCAAATGACATATAAATAAGCAACGAAATTTATCTATATAGTAGAAATATAGTAATAGTTTATACAGTATATATGTATTTCCATTGTAATAGTTATATATAATAACGTGTAAGTGACGTCACATATGTATATGCGTGTAATTACTATCACAGCAGTTAGTAATAATAGTAGACACAGCTGTACTAATGTTATATATTAGTATAGTTATGTAGCATTAAGATATAACACATGAAATCGCAATCAACGTATGTAATCGTCGCAATTTGTAATAATTCTTTGCTATTCCGGCAAGGTATTTATTCACGAACATATCCGTCCACTTTTGTATCCAAAGCGTTTATTCGTATAGAATGTTCACTTGAATAAATTTTAAACTATTTTTAACCGAAATAGGAGAGATTTATTATTTTCACCTCACTATTACATTTATTTTTATTCGATCTCTCTCTCTCTCTTTGCAAACGTTATCTATAACCCAGCCTTCTTACTTTAAACGCAGGAGAGATAATTGAAAAATGTAACTGAAAAATCGAAATATATATATAATAAAGTGTCACAAATATATACACATTAAGAACAATTTACATATTAAGAGAAAAAAAAGAATTGTAAAAAGGATAGCTATAAGAGAAAAATAAACTTGTTATCCAAAAACATTGATTACGACTAACTTCGCTCGGACAGATTGTGAGAGAAATCCGATTAACCTGACACGATGTTCTTCACGGTCGGTCGAAGTCGTTGCAAAAAGATCTGCGAAACTTATCGGACGCGTCGCACAAGAATTCCGTCATGATCGGACAACCGCACGATTTTGCACCGAGTTGCATTACATCCGTAACCTGCGAAGACGTCCCATCTGTGGCCAAACCGATACGTGTTATCCAATTCGTTAGCAAATTACACATATTACGGATGAGACTATTCCGATTCAACCGATTTATTCCAGGCGAAATTAATTCAAATGCTCGTACAGTCCTCAACATTAAAATAATTAATTTCAAAAAATAATTAATTTATCCCAATAAAAATGACCAATTCGTTAGAATTTGATTTGTTATGAACAATGCCGAGTTTTCTTGGTTAGTTATGCTTGTAATATCATCGGTGTGATGTATTCGCATTAAAATCCAGCTACTGGTAGCGGCGACGTTTGCGTTAACCGCATACACGATATCCAGCAGCAGTCCCTATGAGAAAATCGAAGAGATACTCTTAATGTCGCTTTACACGAGTTTCCTTTTTATTGCTGTGATAGATATGATCAGTCAGCTTAGCGGCGAACCGATACCAGACACACCCGTCAGTATTATTAGTCATATTATTGCTTCACTTTGCATATGCAAGCGAGAACGGGAATTTCTAGGGGGAAACCTTCGAACTCCCACGTTTTCGTGAGAAAAATATTTAATTTCACATTAATGCGATTTATTTGTATACAGATGTTCTTATTTGGAATAGTGGGTACAGTCCTATTCCTGATGGCGGCACTTGGCATTTTCTTCGTCACGAACAGAACGGGTGTAACTGAAACGTGGCGGTTGATAACGAGCATAGTGTTGTCGAGTATTTGCAGTTTGTTGTATCTGTTGGACGTTCTTTTAATCTATTTGTATGGCTATTAAATAAATATACGTGTACACACATAATGCGTTTCTTTTAAACGTGTATAATTGAACATATTCAATAAATCGTTATGAAGAAAATTAATAGAGATCTCCTATTATAAAAAAGCGCAACAACCTATGTGAAAATTGTTTTCCTCAAGACTCCGCTTCTTCGTGAAAACTTTGAAGACAAACACGCGCGAAGTTGGTCGTTACGATAATATTCCAGAAACGATACCGGCAATTGGAGAAACAAAAGTGCCTAATATGTCCGCAAGCCTTCGAAGTGACATTCGCACGATATTACGCTAATAGTCGAAAGAACTTGCTCGAGAAATGAAGGTGTTTCGGTTGAAGCGGCCGTCGCACGAGACGTCGAAATGTGTACTGGCTATGATAAAGCCGTTAAGGATATTTCAATTCGTACGTACCGGCCTTCCCCATTCAATGTTACGAGAATACTCGCAGATCAATATAAAACCATCGCGTAAAGTTGCTATTAATCATCACTTGAAATTCTCTTTTGAGGCAGCTCGTGGTGTTGTTCTTATTCGCGTTAACGGTTTACATGACCGCCATGGATCCTACGCCAATAAGTGCTCTGGCCTGCATTCTGTTAATCGTTTTATCAGGTGTCTACGTCTTCGTTTTAGCTATAGAGTTGGTCGGACAATTTTCCAAGAATGGCTCTAACATTTTCCCGGTAATTCACATTCTGCATTCTTATGTATCATCCGTGTCGATGAAATTCGAGAGAAGTATGTTGACAGATTTCATTTATAATGTCATATCACTTTGCATTGTTTCGAGAACATTGTGATCATTTATTAATATGTAGTAAATCGATGTGTTGGAAAATAATATTTGGCAATTATTATATTGTATGCTGATAGAATCTCCTCTCTCTTCCCTCTTTCTTACTGATATGATTATGAGATTAATTATATAAATATCATTATACGGCTAATTATTACATTATTGCAGATGTTTGCATTTTCCTTGCTTGGTACTTTCTTCTTCACAGCCGTTGGAATTTTATTAATTATGAACGCCTATACACAGCTCACGGAACAAATAGCAACTATGACACTCTGTCTATTGGCAGCGACGATCTTTCTGATCGACATCATAATAGTGCTCGTGTGAGTTTTGATTTGTTAATTACATATCTTCAAGGTGAAATATGACCCGTTGACCGAATATTTTCCATACGTTTATAGATTTTGGAAAAGGAGATGCGCACAATGCAGACGATGTTGCAGTGACGCAACGGAAGCTTTATTTCGTAAGAACGAAGAACCGATTTCCACCGATGTCAAAGTAAGTGCTTACAGAAGATAGTCTCGTTCAATAAAAATCGTAAAATCCCACACATAACAAATGGACACAATTTATGTTGTAGATAGGCGAGTATTTATTAATTACTTGTAAATACTAGAAAAATAATTTGTTTGTATATAGTGATTTTATTAGATAATTTTATTTAGTTTTATTCTTTGTTTAACACACTGTTAACAGCGAAATTTTGAATTAAAAATTAAGCCAAAAATGATCGTTCCGCATGTTCCAATTGGTATTTTTCGTGGGCGTAAAAGGTAACGCAGGTTAAACAAGACGCAACGACCAGTATAAGTGACGTCAGACTACCGGATGAATTGGAAAATGTCATGAACGAAGTATCGTTACCGGAACACGGTTACCGGAGAGTACAGAATGCCCGGCGCCGACAATACGTTGATTGTCCAACTTGGGTCCCGTCGTTATGTAATCTCGAAGTCGCCCAGATCCAGACGGAACCGAAGGCTACCTCTGTAGTGGAGATCCAGGTAAGCAATGCTCGGTTTGAGAATATCTTCTTTCCGTACGGGAAGAAACTACAAAAATACGAAAAAATTACTGGTATACTATTGAAAAACTACCGTTCTTCAATACTATACCACTAATTTTTTCATATTCTTGTAGATGTTTTCCGCACGGACTCGGAGTATATTTTTAATATTTCAAAGACTAAATTAATTTATTTGATGCTTTTTAAGTACGGGATCTAATCATTGAAGAGAGATTAATGAGATCAAAATGAATTTGCGGCGTAGTCTTTTTCTTGAAAAAATTCTTTGAACCGTTCATATATCATTCCAAATTTGTATATGTACGTTCTCGTGTGAATGCCAACAGACCCGAACGGCCGTCACGAAAGAGACACCGATGCAGACGTTGAGCAAATGCGACTTCTGTCAACGACTGATGCAACCTACGGAAGATGCTCCTGGATACAGCCCGCTGCGTTCGCAGGATCAATGGACCACTTATCCTGCCATTTTACAAGTCGTCCGCGGAATTGGCATGCCGGGTTGTTCCAAGTAATTCGCGTGTGCGAACGATTTTCCAACTTTTATATTTGGGATACTCGCAGCTACGATGCAGATTTTCCCACAGGTGCGAGTGTTCGAGTGACGCTACGCAAACGCAGAAGCAATCGCAGCAGAAACAAACACCGGCTTCCTCGCACGATGCGATGACGAGTGAAAGAAAAGAGCAGGTTGCGAGTAAATCTGATATAATTATCAAGTCAAAGTCCTTTGATAATTCAGGTTGAGGAGTCTGTCGTGACGCGAATAAAGCAGCCGGTTTCCTAGTGCAATTTTAACGGTGGTCCCGAGTCGAAATTTCTACATTAGGTCTATTTAGTTCTACATTGAGTCTTCAAAAGCCTTTTATTATATGCCCTTTAGCGCTAATTATTTATTTTCAGGAAGTTACTTTCATTTTCTCCACGTGAAGACTTAATATAGAACTAAATAGACTTAATGTAGGACTAAAATCTCGACTCGTTTCGCTAACTTTCCAGTCTACCTTTCGATTATTTCGCTCGCGTTTTCGAAATGTACAGGCCTGACACTGAATCTTGCGGCATGAATGTGTAATGTGTGATCGTTATGCTGTTAAATGACGATTCTCATTAAAGGTCCGGCAAGCAAAACCGATGAGAAAATTATGAGATTCGCGGAAATGACGGAGTCTGCCAATTCTACCTCTCGTCGCATGACGTCGACCAAGAGACGTCGAATTCCTTCAAGTTCCCATGTAGACCCCGTGTATGTTACTCCCTACAATTTGTGTAACACTACAAAACGACCGGAAGTATTAACAAAGGCATTGCGAGAAATAAGAAACTGGAAGTTGCAATTTATCTATGTTCAATTAATCATAGCCACAAAGGAAAAGTCGAAATAACAGGGAGAAGACACGACACCAAGGCAACAGACGGCAAAGCGTCCGTGCGAGACGTTGACCGGGTTCTCGCGACAGAAACAATCCCGGCGATTGCACAAGATGAGAAATCCAAAAGAGATTTGACGAGCGCCGAGTCTGTGTCGGAACGGGCGAGAAAGAGGACTTCGGTGACTTCGCAGGAAGATATTCAAGAGAAGGATATCGTAGGGAGGGAAGATATATTGTTGACAAACGAAGAGAGAGCAGAAGAATCGGTTAAAGTGGAATATATCGACGGTTTAATTGAGAGGAATAAAGGAGGGGGAGAAGAAGGAATGAGAATTTGGCAGCAGTTCGTGTGTACAATTGAACAGGAGAACACAGCGAAGATGAGACAATCGCCAAAACCATCGATTTTCACGGAAGCGTAAGCGACGTTACGTTGTGATAAGTCGATTTAACTGCACGTCTCGTGGACGTATAGTCAAATTGATGCCTACGTAGTAAAAATATTTTGCACTTACGTTGAAATCGGTGAAAAATTTCATTTAACATATTGCGTTTAGGTTACCTCAATATTTTGTGTCGAGTCGATATCCAACATATGTTAAACTAACAAGTATTAAAATAACACATCTTATGCTTCTGTTGCTGATTAACATATTATGAATGTTAATTTTCTATGCCAATTGTTGATATATTATTTCTGATACTTTCCAACATATTCATTTTGTGTTAAATTAACACAAAAATTTACGTGGACCGTTTAGGACGTGTAATTAAAATACGTTAAATTCAACACAAACTTTCTTACTGTATAACATTACATTGTTCGAAAGGATAGGTGATTCAATACAATGATCGCGTTTCAGGAGCGCTACGCAGATCACATCGTCGGCCGGAAGAGCGAAATCTAAAATGTTTCCGTACTTGAAGTTGAACAAAGTGGACCCTGTCGACAATACGTAAGGCAAATGAAAATTCTTACAAATGACGATGCACCGCGAACGTTATGAAGATAAAAATAATTGCAACGCGGGTTGATCATCTCCGTCGGATATGCACCATCTATTAGTTAAATAGATTTATTTATTTAGAAATATATTTGACGAGAATCACCTCAACGGGAGACAAAGGCACGAGGCGTCAGACGCAACACACGCTGCTAATCGAATGGCTAGAGGAGTATAGAACATTTATGTTATCAAACAATCAAGTGTTAGGCCAAATCAAATTTAACATTTGCTTGTACGTATTTCAGGAAGGATCCACTGAATTGCCGAGTCCTATGGAACATCAAGTGAAAGACGCCTGCTGTTCCTTTTGCGAGCGACAGAAGGTAAACAATGAAAATTAATTGCTCTCTATTAATCTGATTACGTCGTAAGTTAAATGGGTCTTCACCTTTTACAGTAATGATTACGTGCTTTCTAGGTTTCCACGCCCACTTCGGATAATTATAGATATTATAGTGTTTGTATGGATAAGAAGAGATACTTCTGCGATTCGTGCGCACCGTTAGATTGTAAAAAGGTAATGACCGCAAATCCTGTCTGCGCGAATAATTGTCTATCGAAGTAAAAATTATTACTCTCTGCGTTCGGTTGAAAGAATCTTGTGCAAATTGTACAGAGTTCACCGAGACTACACCGAGAAACTTCATCGCGACCAAATCCGCAGTTGAAAAGAAAATTTCGTCAATATCGAAAATTCAATTCGTTAATAAAAGATTTTTATGCACTTCAGGTGATACGCAAGATTAACGTTGCGCATACGAAGGGGCTGCAGTGCAGTAATTGTGGAGTTTCTCTTCAGGTCATCGAAGCTGTAAGTTGGAACGACGATCCGGCGAAGATTGTCGAAATTAAAGCGCCATAAATATTCTCCTGCTCACACAGAAAGTCCCGTTGAAGTCGACGGTTTACCCGAAGTGCGGCCGATTGCAAAAACACACAGCTTCTCATTCTTCCATGTGAAATATCATGATTTCGAGGAGACAACGTTATTATGCGACACAACGACAAGAAAAGCAATGGTCAAAATTTCTTAAAAAGAGAGAGAAAGAGAGAGAGAGAAAAATTTATTCCTTACAATAATTTTCGTTATAAACAGCGACAAGGAATACACAGCCTCTTTGTTTCCTTCGTAGACATGCGTGCGAAAACAAATGTAGGAATAGCAGCACTGATTGTGTTGTTGATTATTGACTTGTAATTAATACCATCGGAAGAACATGATTCGTACCTCATAGCAATATTCTTCGAAACACGATTGTTCTGACGCATTATTTGTAATACGCTTGTCATTGCGATACTACTTATTGTCATTTTGTACGATTCTCAAGTTCAGTCTTGCATTTTTAAAACATAGCATGATAAGTGTGTGTTTTGCATAACTTCTGATCACGTGTCTATTGAAACTTCCCTCTCACTTGAAACGTGTATTGATGATAAAAACATGACGATAAAAAATCTGAGACTCTTAAAAACTGTCGATCGTCCATAGATGATACATTTTGCTCTGAAATGCAGCAAGTATCGATATATATAATAAGTACCAAACAAAAACCGATTATTCGATCCAATGAAACTTAATCTGCGTCCGCAGTCTTGTAAACATGCTCTCGCAACGAACCACGATCCCGTAAAAAAGGAAAACGTAAACACATGCCTACGATGATGCGCAGTTTCCAAAATAGTGTATTTGTGTGTGGGTGTGCGGGTGTGTAACGTATAATAGTTATATATATCATTACTATTAAAAAGCTATAAAATATAAAACTAGTGAGTTGTAAATTAACAAAGTCGCAACGAGTTTAACGGGACTTACTTAAAAAAAGGGGGGGAAAAAAAAGAAAACAAAAACAATCCTCACTTCATTCACACACAAACTTTAGATCGANTAAAAAAAAAAAAAAAAAAAAAAAGAAAAAGATAATATTCTAATGATTGCTACATTATGGTATATGTAAAATAAACATAAAAATCGTATCTTTGGTATTTAAATGCAGTCGTTTTCTAAAATGTATCCGTAAAGTGTCAAAAAAAGAAAAGCCCGAGTCATCATGGTAGAGTACGATCGGGTGTCTGCTTCAAGATCGCTCGTGGACGTCTTTCGTCGTTTGTACTAACGCGAGATGATGCGTTGCTCTCCGATAAAACTCCCCGTGGGTGTTTTCGCGTGCTTTTCGGCGTATCCTGAATCTTACTCGACGGATCGTTGCCAAAATACGAGGGCAACGTCGCAACGTCATTTTCCGTCTTCGTCGGGATTTTCGCCGATCGTGGTTTACGATCGTTTTTCTTCCTAATCGAGGCGAAACCTCGTTCCATCGCAACCGATCCACTGTTCATTTGCGACTGATTATTTTGAGAAGTCGGTAAAGGCGTGCTCACTTGAGGAACGTTGCCACGATAATTGAGGACCAAATTTCTATAAGCAGCGTTCTGCATAAACAACATCATAGATGATGCCGACGACTGCGGAATGTAATGTAATGGGGCTTCAGGATAATTCTGATATAAGGGAGGTTGATACGGAATATCAGTGACGATCGGTCGGCCATGATCAATCCTTTCGTCGGTAAAATGGCCGCAATAACTCGATGAATTAGTGCTGTTTTTGTACTGGAACGCCTTAGAGGGAGGATTTAATGTCGAGGATCCTATGTCGCTTTTCCAACCGTATCCTGGTACTACATCCAGTACTTGTTTGGGTAATACCTGTTTCTTCGCGTTGTTGGGACTAGCGGACGAGCGGGGTAATTGAGAGACCAAACTTGAACTCCACATGTCAAATTTGCGGAAGTTTTCCTTGTTGAAGTCCCACGGGTTCGTCTTATCCTTCGCATCATCGGAATGCTCATCCGGCAACCACAGTTTATCGGTGCGCGCATCCACCTCCGGTGTTTCGTCGTACGGATCAAGTGGAGAGTCCAGCGCGGCTGTCATGGTTAGCATATTGGAATAACGTGTGTTACAGGAACTGTGGGCATTCTTAGCGGTACTGATTACCATGGTGTCATCGGGTGGGCAGATCGGTGAGATTGACTTGATAGTTGGCGTAGACTTCTTGTACTGCAGATGCCTTCGAGTAATCTGCACCTCGCCCTTACCGTCTACTACGCCACGATCTTCGTACTGATGATATAAAGATGCGTTTATGAAATTAGATTTTGTCGGAACTAGTTGTCAGACGTACTCGGGTTATATTGACGATATTAGTTAAAACAAAAATATAGCTAAATAAAGTTTGGAAGACAGAGAATCTTTAATTTTCGGTTAATTAATCTACTATCTACTTTCAGTATAATCTGCCATTGTAAGAAGTCATTACCAAAATATGAAGAGAATTCAAACGCCACATGTCGTTTGTGAAATATATTTTTGTCGCTTTTCTTCATTATAAACTCATTCGCAAATTTTTAAAAATTGTCTAAAAATTATACATATATATATATATATATATATAAGTATTAATAATGAATTATTGTCATAGTGGGATATGTACTCATTGTTATATATTCGGTTAAAAAAAAAATGGAATTAGGGAATTCAGAGATGATACTACGCTGAGAATTATAAATCGGAATTCTCTCGAATTCATCGATGAATTAACCATGACTAGTGCTATACTATTATTTCATGTTTGTTCATTGGATTATAAACTAACCATAATCTCCTTTATAACTTGAAGTTTCTTACATCAAAGATGTTTTGGATAACCTTTAAGAACCTTTGGAAACTAAGATGACATGCTTTCGAAATATTGAGCGTAAACTGATAAGATGTTGCAATATAACGCGTCAAAAATAGTCACGTGATTACCTCATGGAACAAACAATCTCATACTTGTCGCAGATAACTGATCATTTTCTGATCCGTAGTGTGTCTTTGATTAATTTATGTCTAGAAATATTCTTTCAGTGTAAATGCAAGGAATATTATATTTGCATTCAAACCTTTACCAAATATAACACATAATACTGTAAAAAAGAAGGTAACTACTTCTGGGATCTTTTGTGTGAGCTTAATTTCTTAAAGACATAATTACAGTTTTTGATTGGCCGATTGAAGAGCGATGAGATTTTCCCAGAAGGTGCTCAAGCGTGACATGCAGTTAACGAGTATTAGAAGTTAGTGAAATTGCAATTAACATAACACCGTGCCGATATTTACTTTATTTCTCTCGTTCTGAAAAGGACATTGCATTACAGTTAGTTCAGACAATAGTCTGTGAAGTCCTTAGTTTATTGTATTTGTACTATTGATATATGTGTACTTGAACAGACACACGTGTGAACTCAAAATCATCATATTTTTTTGTATATTCGAGCTTAGCTGCAGATTGTTGAAGTCCACAGCTCGAATTAAGACCAAGTCATGCTCTCTTGAAACATCGCTGACTCAATGTCACATATTCCATCCGCAAGATTCAAGAACGATCGCTTCAGATATTAGCCAGATCAAACGGGCAAATTACTATGTAGAATATGCAAAGACAAATGGAATGCTTGAGTTGCAAATGTGTGTATTCATGTGGAAAATTCAGTACTTGTGGAATAAATGACATAAAAACTGACGACCGTAGCCTTCTTTGCCTTGAGATTCAATCGTATTACTCCGAGAATGCTAGATACATCTAATAAGCGATGCCTAATGATTTCCGAATGTCATAATCACGTACCATTTCAGCCTTGGCCAGATAAATCCAGAGCTTGCGCCATGTGCTGAATTTATTCTGATCGCTGAAGTTGTACCGCATTTCCTTGGAGGCGTACCGAGTCGACAGAGGACTGCGATAGTCGCGGTACATATTGTCCTCCACTTTAGATAAACTCATCGTTGATCGGAAACTCGCGCAAACGTCCGATATAATCGCGTGAATGAAACCACCCGCACAGGTAACCGGCAACCGTCGATCTCGTCGAGCACAACCGAACCTAACTGTGCCTGGAAGTTTCCAGCGAGGGAACTGATTGAAGCTACGTAAGCGCCTCGTAGCGGAGATAAAGGGAAACGATTGCTACCTTGCTCCGTTGATAACGTTCACGTGGTTTACCATCTCATGATAATCGAATTCTTACTTAATTTTCTCAAATTCCTCGCCGTTTGCCAATTACATTTTCCTGCATAAAGATTTCTAATTCTCAATCAACTCTCAACCAATGTAACAAAGCAAATAACTAATAACACATATCCCAATATGACATGTAGCGTTCAGTGAAAACTGAACGAGATTTTCTAGTGAATTATTTACAATTATTCATGAGTATTACACGAGATACTATATGCGATTATTATGTTTGTTGTAAGATAACAACGTGTGACTTTCTCCTAAAATCTGATTTTTCGTAAACAAAGCGCGAAGCCGTAGTTTAAAATCTCTTCATTTATTTGCAATTTCAATTGAAGCGATAAAGTAAGAATAAGTAAGAATCAAGAGTTATATCTTGGACGATTCTAAAAATGTCATGATTACTAAGTTCTCCGGAGAAAAAGTAATTAAAAGCGGAGATATTTGCACAGTCGAATAAGATATCGCTTCAATATCAACCGTTGAAATCTCGTATTCGCAAATTTGTTCGAAATACGAGATCAAGTCCCAAGATGATCTCACACTCACCACATTGGTAGGATTCCAATCGACACGTGCCCATTCCACGTGCACTTCGTTGCACTTGAAAAGCCTTTCGGGTCTCAATTTGCGCCTCGCTAAGGCGGCATTGCGGTGAGACTTAAACGAGACTATCGCATACGCTGCATCATGATTGAGAAATCGATATACCGATACGTATTCAATGTCCCATGCTGATGCGTAGATCACCTATTTAACAAAGGGGAAAAAACAGGCGATACAATACAATATAACAATAGTAAGACAGGAAATCAAAATCGAACGAGTAAAATTGTTATCTACATAATATACTTATTTCGACGAAACTTCAATGGATGTTCGTTTCGGCGCTATACCGCTGTGACACGATTTATCACCGTGTAAATCATTAATAATACGAATACATAATCATGAGTGGAGCGCAAGAGATATAAGTGTAAAAGTGGAAATACGGAATGTAAAGGAAACTTACTCTGACAACCTCCTCGGATGTGATATGCCATGGCAAAGGACCGACGTACAGCTTGCACTTATTCACACTCGCCAGGACGCGTATCTTCTTGCCTGGCAAGATCTCGTGCTGGTCTAGCTGGGCGATGGCCTTCGCCGCATTCTCTGGATTTGTGTACATGATGAAGCAATAGCCCCTTGTCAGCTCGGCCATGTCCACCATCAGCCGAATCTGGAAGATCTCGCCCACCACTTTGAACAACGGATACAACGTATCTTCATAAATCGTCTTGGGAATCCGACCGACGAAGATCTCACACTCGATTCCAGGTGCTGGGCCGCTCCATCGCATCGGCTGGATGCTGAGGATTCTCTGGCCGTTGATCTGCGTGGACGTAAGGTTGTTTTCATGCAGAAGCCGAAGGATATTTTTGTGCGTCTGCAATTGACGGCGTAACGTAGGAGACATCAGCGAGGATGACGATCTACTCTCATCACCTGTGTGATATCGAAGATACAATGTTAATAAGTATCATCATATATTATTCAGATGTACTAATATAAACACACATTAATATTAGAATTTGTGTCGACTGTGTTTCAAGAAGATGAGATTCAGAAATATATAAATAACCCGGCATAATATGTGTACAATGGGAGGAATCGCAATATTCTCAAATATATAATTACCAATTAGGAAATGTAACCAAAAATATATAATATATAAAAATATAATTTCAAGTCAGGAATACGAAACTACCAATAGGTATGTGTACAATAATAGGCAAGCTTCTTGTCCCACATGACACGTTAATGATAAACACTACATCACTATATCCATAGAAGAATTGTCTAGAAGAATTCACAGTTGCTCTACTCGTAATATTACTTCAGAAAATACACCTCGGTTCACAGAAATACAAATTTGTAGTGAAAAATATTCTGTTATTGTTGAATATAAGACAACATTTCTTCTGCATTCTTAGAAACTATAAATTAAATTCATTGTTCTTTCATATTCTATTATTTGTCTTTTCATTGCTAACACCACTGCTTGTTAGAAAGAAAGAAAGAGAGAGAGAGAAGTTGCTAAACAAGAGAGAATTACAGTTTATAATTATGATATATAATTTCCCTTAATATGTTACGACACATTTTATATTTTTCGTTTGAAAACGGTTTCCTTTGTGTTTGCAGAATCACACATTTCGCAGAGTTTACAAGTAACCGGACAATGCATTTTCACTACAAATACAAATAAGCAAAAGGAAGAATGCATTTCTAATACACCATCACCATTAATATTTTCCAACTTCGGAGGCGATTCTTTTTCCACGATATCAGTGCCCACGATATCCTCACTATCGATGGTGTGATCCGACCATATTAAAGATTCCTCGTTCGTCTGCTCAAACTCACGATTTTCATCTTTCTTGCCGTTTCTCCTCCGACCTCTTCCCCTATGGTTCTCCTTCGACTTGCCGTTATCCATCCCTTCACGTGTTTCCGATCGACAAATCGATATCAGCTGACTTATCAAAATGACTATGAACAGTCATAGACATATAAGAAATTAATACATATGTATGTATATGTGCATGCATATATATTATATTTCTCCTGCCGACGCGGGCTTTGCGACAGTCAACAAACGATTTATAGACGTAATACGGAAGGACCGATCCTGCCATCAAGGAGAATACCAGCACTCTGCGACCTCAAGAAAGGACGTTGAATTCGGATGTATCAGGATTGGCCGACAGCTCGTGGAAGGGATACGTCACCCTCTGCCTCGCTCCTTCCGAAACCGATATTTCTCTCCCTCTCGGTTTCACGACAAACGAGCCGCCGATGTCTGCACGACTTTCATCTGTTAATTGCCCGCCGAGACGGAACTCGCCGCGGCGTCGAACAAACGACCCGACCACGCATCGAGCTCGCGGTCGATAACGTGAGATATAAACTGCGCCATGCGCGTTTTCAAAGCGCAGATACGAATGCTCGGAAGAGTTTTCACGAAACTTCGTCTCTCTCTGGAACTTTTCAAACATAGTTCCCTCACGCACTATTTCTTCAAACTCGTTTTAAGCGCAAAAAGCGATTTTTCATTCGAAGAAAGATATTGCTTAAAAAAAAGAATAGTTTCCATAATCATTTTTATTTAGACTCCTATTCTGTAATTTTTAACGTCTGTCTATAGTTTATAAAAAAAAAACACTCTTCTCAATTCTTCCGCGGAAAGAAACCGAAAAAATCAGTGGAGAAAGAAAATGAAAGAAACGTTTTTCACGTTTTTCGCGGAAAGAAATCGAAAAAAGTTGCGAGCAAATGGAGAAAAACTGGTTTTTCCGAGCCGGTCGTTACGGTGTCGTTGCACAGGTATAATATATGATAGGAAAGTTGCGTAATGACGACGTAACGATAACGACACTGTCGTTTTGTAACTTTCAAGTTACAGAATGTAGGCCTGAATCGTGATAAGAATTACAACGAATAAACTGCCAAGTGCACGAATGTTTTTGCGTTAGAGGAGGAAAAAGGAGAAAAACGAAGGTATAGGGCGTCGAGAAATCGGAAACGGTGACAGGATTTAGCGTGTTGCGAACGGGTTCAAGGTACCAAGAGCGCAATGAGCCTCTCCGTGACATAAATCCGCGGATTCGCACCGTCCTGCGCCATTGCGCCGTGTGATAATAGCATTGTTACCTGTCAGTCGCATGCAGACAGTCCTTATTACGTGACACACGCCGCCGCCAACTTTAACAACTCCACCTTCGTTATATCTTCTCAGTCGTCGGCCGAACGCGTCGCGACGCGAAGCTCCGTTTTGCGATTTCGTTGCGGCGGGACTGCAGGTGATAACGCGCTAGTTTCCATTATCGAGCAGTCCGCTCGAGCGTTCGGTGATAGTGAGTGATCCATTCGAAACGACGCAAAGTTAGCTCGCTCTTCAAGAAGTTATCTACCATTTGCACAACTCCGGGGGAATAAAAACCACAAAATGAACATACAAATCATTTTCGTGCTTTTATTTTTCAAATATCGCGTTCTCTGATTATTAAATATGTAAATACTTTCAGGAGAATAATTTTTCGATGAGGGAGAACGTTGTTCACATTGAATCGACACTTCTTACGTAAATATGTTTTTTTTTTTTTTCACAAATCGATACATAAGCGAAACATTTATTTAATATGTGAGAAATGTAGTTAGATCGCTTTTTTTTTTTTCATTGCGAAAAATGATTCGATTTCTCTGAATGTTCTCATGTTAATGTACTGCATACTACATATAGTGCAAATATAATTTGCTAAGCTGATAAAGATATATATGTTCGAAAATGTTAATTTTCAGAAGATTATATTCCGTATTACATAAACGTTTTTCGCGGCATTTAAAGTTTCGAAATTGTTTTACACTGCTCTCTGTCACAAAGAAACGTTTTCCGTGATAAAAACTTTCACTTTTGGTCTGAAATACGGCTACGGTTTTTAGTTCTAGAAATAGAGGGATAACCTCGCGCCATTACAGCGTACGCGACGAAAACTAGTTCCTGATGCGAGGACTAGCGTTTCAGAAGCAAATGAAAACGGTTTGTTAATAGCCTGAGAATTCACGTAATGCTTCGCCGAAAAGAGACATTTGCGCAAACGGCCGTTTGTCCCTCGCTCTTGTAGTTGTTCGCTCGGCGTTGTTCCTCCCTGCTCGCTGCATCATGTGGAATCGCAAAGTGTTCATCCGAATAATTGAAGTGGTACGTGAATCAATTTCTCTTTATTAAACCATCTTTTCATATTTTTATTGTTCGCATCGCTATTAAAAATTACACTCTCTTTGACATGTTAATATTAGTTAAATATTAATTAAAGTTAATATTAGTTAAAGAATGTATGATATAATTGTAACGCTGAATCTGTTTTATAACTGATATTATTCAAGAAGTAAACTATTCTTGTAATATATAATTTCAATGAGTTTTACTATCAAATGTTCGGTAAAATTCGTCGGGATTTAAGAGTGATTCTCCACCTGTCGTGGTTCTGTCTTCAAATATTTTAGCCTATTTTATCAGAGTTCGTAGATCCATCCAAGACTCATAGATTCAACGATCTATGGAGTAATAATAGTAAAATCGAACAATGGAAAGGACACTAACGTATAAAATATTCTTCCGTATTCACGATATCAAACATTACTACCAAACATATTACTAAAGTAATAAATAATCGAATGTCGTTAGTACCGGCCAATATAGTGCGCTTACTTACTAATTAATTGCTTACGAAGTTAATACGGTGAAACAATTAATCAAAACAAATTACAGCTCTTATGCGTCGCTTGCGTCGTGGCGCTCAGAGTGACGGACGATGAGAGTCGAAGGGTGTTTCATTACCTGAGGAATCGTAGCAGGGAGTGGTCGTTGTTAAACAACGTCACATGGGGCAGCATAGGTACTTGTGATTCATGGACCTCTCGAGTCCCTCTTATACCGAGAAGCACAATTCATACCATTCATTTCCTGATTTCCGCGTATTTAGGCGCTGCTCTTGCAACGGTGACCTGCGGCGGATACATCATAATAACGACGGGACTGTTGATCGCCGCGGCCACCGGGGAACTCCGAGGCCGAAAGACGGTAATTGCTTTCTTTTTCTTATACAAAGAGAAATACGTCGCGACTCTGTGTGTTTCGTAATACCGTCGATACACCAGCCGGTACTGCGGCAACGTGGTAACGACGCGACGGTAGCATCATTATTATTCCAGATTCAAGAAATATGAATTCTCACGCATTACGCAGTTTAACAAAAAAAAAAAAACATCAGAACGAGTCATTTCCCGTAGTTTTTTGGACGCTGAGTACGAATCCGGTTTTTAAATTACTCCGTCACGTCACAATTGTGAGAGATTTGCGAGTTCGAGTCGCGAAAAAAATGCTACTTTCATGTACTTTATTATGTTACAACTGCGATATGCGACGTGCTGGAGAAGTTTCATGGCGATCAAAATCAAGTACGTTGTTAGGGCTTTCAGCCGTCGGAAGAGGGATTTTTTTTGTGTCGGCCCTAATTATAGCAAAATACGTGAAAATAGCCTCTTTTAGCAAATTCACTCGCAAATTTCCCAAAATTGCGACGTGATGGTCCGCTTCAGCTTGAAAACCGAATTCAAAATCCGGATTTGTATTCAACATCCAGAAAAACTATAGAAAATGACTAGTCCCGTTCCGGTGTTGGAGAAAAGTCATTTTTTGTCGAACAATGTTATCGAGGGATATTTTCGAAAAAAATGTCACTCAATTCGGAATATAGTTGCCTTGCCTTGGATCATCTAGATAACACGTGTTGATATGTAAAACTATTTCTCGTAAGGTCAAACAATGTGTTTGCCGAGTGTTATAAATTGTTTCAATGTCAGATCCGTCACCGGCTCGTAACAGCTATCTCCCCGACGTGCACTTTCTTGCATGATCCACATTCGCCATCTTGATCGTATTTATTGACTCAGTCTTTTCCTCTAGCGATAAAACTCTCATGCCCGAACACTCGAGGCGTAACGTTCGAGAAAACTTCGAGGAGAAAGCGAAAAGACTTTGTTTTCATCTTCATTGTGGTTTTTATGCGAGATAACACACGCACACACACGAGACGTTACACAGGGATCGACTTTTCCTTTGTAAAAAAACGTCCGCCGGAGTTCCCACATAAGAGCAGTAAGATGGCGAGAGTTGGATCTGTTTCGATACATCGAGATCCTTCCCAGGCAGGCGCTTTTAATTTATTCCGAGGCTGGTAGCGAGTGAAAATATACCGTGTAAATCCCGACGCGCGATGGCGTGGCGCCGTGAGAAAATCGGTAGCGCGACACGGAGATGTCATTGAGGGGCCAAGGATAAGAATTAATCTTGATGCCGAGCGGCTCCGTGCGTGTACCGTCGTGCGCGTAATCGCATCCTTGGCCAATCGAGACACGTAATGTAAGTCATTTAATGACTCACAACCGGGGCTAAGCCGATGTCGAATGAACTGCAGGAATGTGTACAGGTTTCCTGCGTCTCTACGTCAGTGTTTCCGATCGAGTGATCATCTGCGAAAGATTAGTGGCGCATAGGTGGCAACGATGTGCGATCGCGAGACTATCTTCCTAGATTTATGAGTCGAAGGAGACCATTATACAAATTCGTCACTGGCAAGCTGTCTTTCTCCAGGGAAATCGTCGATAAACTCGTACACTCCTCGCTATCTTGAACGTATCTTTAGCATTTCAAATATTGCCACGCTAAAAGTACGACCGAACGGACTTCAAGACAGCGTGTGCCATTTAGTTTGGAAATTAACACAGGTTCGGCGAGAAACCATCCCCGGTCCGGAAATATATATATGTATGAAGCGAAACTTTGCTGGGTCTTCGCGAAAAAATTTCCTCTGAGAAAAAACCCTCAGCCGTGAGTAACTTTTTTAACCGTCCTTGCGATAGTCGCTTACACCTCGCGCTGATTACCGCCGCAAGGACTCGTCTGAAGATCGTTGTGTAACAGATTTCCGCGCATAATCAATCAGCTATGCACAGCGTAAATAGACTACATCGTGGTTAAGCTCACACAGGTATAACGGGGTGTGGTTCATCATCGAGTCTAATGAAACTACAGGAACTCTTTCTGCTCGGGCTGGGCGTGATTCTCTTCGGGATAGTCGGCGCCTTGTCGCTGGCGTCCATCGACAGCGTTCCCGACGACTTGGTCGACAATGCCGCGGTTTTGGGAGCGCTGTGCCTGATCACGGCATTGGTCTTCATCGGAGATTTGCTGATGGCACCCCCTCGCAAGAAGGATAAGGCGGACGAGACGAGAATCATCGAGAAGGATTTAGGTAAGATGAGCGGTTATCTGCGAAATTTTATGGAAGCATTCGGTTCGTTTCACACATTCGATCGAAACTGGGTAAAAATAAAAATATACCGTTTAAATATCGTGAGGAAGTTTTACTGGAAAATTCCGTTCACAGCGATTTCATCTCAGCGCGATGAACGTTGTCACTTTTTATTATAACATATCTACGTATCATATTTATTATAATAAATATATATAATTTATTAATGACTCCGGATACATATTTTTATCTCTCGAGAAACTTTGAAGATCTTTTGAAATGTTACAGGAAAACGAGCAGTGCCGGTAGTGGCTGTTGAGAAAGAGACGAAGCCGAAGTCGAAGCTGGTCGTGAAAATTCCAGAGGACGAAGAGGGTCAGCAGAACGACGCGTTCGAGAAAGCGGACGATCGTCGCTTCGATCCTGCGAAATCGTCCGGAAGGCGTTCCCCGGACTTCCGGGGTGATCGGGAGAGTCGAGGATCGCGTGACGATCAGGATCCGAGGGAACACATACAGAATTTCGAAAACGGCCGAGCCCTGCGTGACCCGCAGAGATACCGCGAGCCTGAAGCGCTACGATCGAGCGCGTACGATCCTGGCCGCAAGTTCGAGGAGCCCAGGATCACGTACAAGACTCAGGACATCTATCAGCGGCCGATCGACGAAATCGATACGCCGCGGTTCCCGACGGAATTTGAGAAAAGAGAGTCGTCCTTCGCGAGGATAGTCAATCCGAGCGTGAAGATAATGAGAGTTGAGCGAGATGTCGAGGAGGACAATTACAGGTGATTTGTCTAGTCCAGCTTGAGTTGGAATCCCATCGTGTCCTTGGCTCGGAAATTGCATTTAAAGCATCGGCAACTGCCTACGCCAGTTGTTGTCTTAAATTATGATGTTAGAAGCAAGAAAGTTTCGTATTTCAATGATTGTCGCACCGACTTTTTCGATGGCCATCAAGGGAACTGATTCTAACAGAATTTCTAAGGATGCGTTTCTCAAGTTATATAAATAAGTGATGAAATTTGAATAAGTCTTTAAAACCACGAAACGCCTTGAACGTGTCTTCTCCTCCTCTCTCTTTCTGTCCTCTCAACTAAAAACATGTTATTCGACCGTTCCACGTGGCGTATCCACCTCGAGCAATGAGGAACCAAAGAGAATCGGTTATCTCTCCCTTCGGATTGAAATATATAGAAATAAAGGCACATTTACATGCAGTGGCGTCGGTTGTAAAAATTGCTCGCATCAATTCCTTTGCTTCTGACATTATGATTAAAATGCTTTGACGCATGCAGTGCCGACTCTCGAATATAATGTCGTTTGAACGCGAGCAGATATTCGGACAACAGCCAGTACGACAACATACCCGTCAGGATACGCGGCTCGCCGTCTGGGATCCTGAAGGGCTACCGCGACGTATCCTTCACTATGCCCGACCCGCCTAAAAATTACGGGCCCAGAGGACGGGAGAGATCCAAGGAGGAGATTGAGATGCTGGAGGAGTGTTTCGGCGCGTTGAAAACCACCGGGACGCAAACCGCTAGGATACCGTCTTCGCCGAACGATCCGGGATATGTGCGACATACCGCGAATAATTGGCCGCAGGATGCCAAATCGCGAGCGAGTCCTGACCACAGCGGCAGAATTTGACTCTCCACGACCAACGAGAGCTCTTGGTTGCATTTATTATCCATAAGCTTGCTGGAAATCGCAGCTGCCAGTTGAGCGGAAGTATGTCAATTTTCACGTAAGATAATCAAGCGAAACCCTTCGAAGTCCCGCTAGTCTTGTAAGCAGCACTTATTTCATCATTTATATCCGAATGTAAAGTTCATCGAACGTTTCTTTTTTTTTACAAGTAACTTAACCATAAAGTGATTAAGATCGCATGAGAAGTGTCTGATATTTTATGAGGCTATTCCATATGACGGAAATTTGACAATTTGGTTAACGTTCAGAAACGTAGATCTCACGAAGGGGAAGCGTGGGACATTTTTATGCCTCCGAAATAAAAATCAGACATCTATATCGGAAAAATAAAATCTAAAATCTAAAATCTAAACTTATACCGCCTATCGAGCACACGTACAAAGTGCCACGAATAACATTTATGTTTAGACACGGTAGTTGTAACAGTAAAATATATTAGAAGGATTACTATCACAGGGCTGCAACTAACTTCGACATTTTTTAGTCGCATTTGCACATGCCATTAATCTGCATCTGTCGCTTTTGAAGATTTATTACTTTGCAGACCTGTGGTAGCCGGGAGACAACGAGAGAGAGAGGTAAAAGTCAGAATATAATGAAAACGTCTTTTTACACGTACAAATTTCAATATAAAGTTAAGATCTTCGTTCACATCGTACTTCTATATGCATACGTACAATTATTATTAATAATTATCTGATGATAACATTTAATCGCTACGTGGTTAGTCTTCTGCTTAACACTCATCAGACGTGTGTTAATATTAAACGTTACACCGCCACGATGGATGTAATCTCTCTGTTCTGACGTATGTGTGTATGTGTGTGTGTGTGTGTGTGTGAGTAGCGTATGTGTATGTTTTTTTTATGAAACCTCTAATATAAATAAATGCTATACAAGTCCATCGTTTTACGTTATGATCAATATGGACGGTTTAGATATTTGAGCATTCGTTTTTCCACAATCCTTCCTTCCTTCCAACGAGTCCCACTAATATCTTTGACAACGGATTGGCAGTGCCGATCGCGACGTCTGTTGGATTTCGGGTCAGCATGCTGAAGCGAACCATGCTCTACCTGGTACCCTAAGAAGTACCCTACGTAGTATAAACATTAAAGTTGGTACCTTCTACACAGTCCACGTTGAGACCGGTACTTAATGTAAAAGCCATTGGGCAGATTTCCACAGTGTCCTTTTCGACATTAACATTTGGCCTTGGCGGACTTAATCTCGTAGTCACGACCCTGCGAATCGATCGACCCGAGGCAGGCATCGACCGTGAAGGAAGGACAAAGAAGCTTATCTCAGGCCGATGCCGGCACCTTGAGCGTTGGACGTCCTTTGCTCCATAGTTATGTACTGCCTGATCAGACGGGAGATCTCGTGGGCCTGCTCCGTCTGCAATCTGGTGATACGCTGCTGCATCAGATTGCCGCACTTCATGTCGAGATAAAGCGTGCCCTCCTCCGACTTGACTTTCCTCGTGGAGATTACCTCGGAATAGGGGTAATGGTACAGCGTCTCCTGGAATTTATTGTTTGTTATTATTTAACGGTGTGAACATTCCACACGCAACACAGGGAAGAATTCAAGCGAGCTACTCACATGCGTTATCAGGTCTATGAAGTGCACACCGTGTCGATTGAGAGCCAGGATGTGATCAGCGCCTTTCTCCTTGCCTTCGGGCACCCTCTTCACCGCGAAGAAACTCGAGCCGAAAAGCGGCCACTTCGACAATATTTCTAAACAGAGGAAGAAACGTTTATCGATCGGTTTTCCCCAATTTCGAAGAAGTTACGATCGTTCTGAATTCCCAGCCAACACGATGTCATTCGACGTCACCTTATTTAGCTGAGTAAACAATTCAATTAAAAGCCGATTCAGCGGGATAAAAGTTTTTCGGGGGAAGACGGTGGCATCGATTCAAGAGATCGTTCAACTCACCGAGCACTTGCGCCTTGCAAGCAGCCGCCGGAGAATGTTGAACATTGCTCCAAGCTTGTTGAACCATGTTGGACCACTGTTGCGGCCTGGGTTCTCTCAGGCTGAGCGCCGGTTTCGGCAATAAGTATTTAATCTCTTTTGTCGCAGGCTCGTGCGCCATGTCAGCTGCTCTATGGAGTAACGCCGCGATTTGCGCCATGTCATACTACAAGACAAGCTCCGACATTAATGGATCGTTTATCACTCGTCACTTCAGTGAAACTCTCTTAGGCAGGTGTTAGTACTTACGATTACTTCCTGAGGTAAGTGTTCTCCAGGCAGGACTAGGAGAAGTCCTTCTAAGTAATCGGGAGCAATTTGGTTGAATACAACTTCTATGTACAACGCTGCATCCAATCGCAAAGGATAATACCAAACCGACCTGAAGAGATTTTGTTTGTTTTTCTTTCAGAAACGTCATTTTCCAGAACGTTGCGCGTAAACGTTATAACTTCGACCGATCATATTAAACACATCTCTACCGTAGTAATTTTGTCACTCGGCAAAGATAAGGTTTCATGTGAATGTAAGAAGAAAAAAATGTTCGCGAGAGAATCTCATGCATATCTGCTTGGAATATACGATCCGCTTAAAAGAAATGCGCTTAAGACTCGAAGAGGGGTATATGTAACCGTCTGAAGCTCACAGCGGCGGGGAAATACCGTAAAGCTCGCCGTACCTGCAAAATATCAAATAGAACACTTGGTGATTTTTGTGAAGCTCCGTGGTGACGTCCAGGACGTACTCGTCTCTGGCTAACGGCATGGTGAACGCGTCACCGTCGACGATGCAGTATAACGAGAACTCATCCATCTCATGGGGATTTCTCACGGAGATGACGTTGCACATCTCCTCGATGACGTCCTGCACGACGGTCGTGCATTTCGTGTTAATGACTCTCTCGGTGCCGCCGGGCAGCCGATAAATCTGCCTCTTCGCGTTCCTGCCCGCGCTGATCGCCATGATCTCCTCGACGCTGGGCACGTTCTTACGCCCGCCGTATTTCACGGTCTTCCTGAGATTCTGCAGGCAGACCGTCGCGGTGCCGTGATACGCCCGACGCTTGTCGTACGCCGCCGTCTCCAGGTATTTCGTCAGGTAGGGCCTGAGGCCCTCGCTGCAGGTGAAATAGGCCGCGACGATGCTGAAGATCCGCCAGCCCCGCTGGCAGCTCTCCGGATTCGGGCTCTTGTTATTGGTGGTCTGCTTCATCAATTGGCAGTAGACCTCGTCGCGCAGCTGTTCGTACTTGTGACAGTGCTGCGAATACGCGAAGATACGGTTTTACAGAGCACATCGGGAGGCCGGGCTCTCCGTTAAAGGCGTCGAAGTGACGCGCAACTGTGTTAGCAATAGCAACCGCGGAACGGAATTGCGAGGTTCGCAGGAAGAGACATCGAGTACGCTCGGGGAGAAGAAAACGATATGTCTTTCTGCTTTCCATTATGGACACGGTCTTACCATGAGAATAGTGTAGACACACTTGACTTCGCTGGTTTCAGGCGGCAACGGCTGGTCCCCCATGTATCTCATCAGACACAGGAAGCATTCCGCAGCCAAGGCGCTCAAGTCCGCGTCCAGCCTGAGTAGACTTTGCTCGATGGGAACGGTGGAATACTTGACAAGGTCCACCTGCTCCTTCCACGTCCACTCGGTGCCATCTTGCTGGCCTTTGCCTTTCTTCGTCTTCTTCTTGCTCTTCAACGACTCGATCACTTTGAGAGAGCCGCTGATCGACCCGTCCGCGGTCTTCAGCATCTCGAATCTGTCGGATGCGTAAAAATATCCGTTAATCTTGCCGTTCACCTGCATCGCGAGTGACAAGTCGACTGTCGTTCCCCACACGTGAACACGAAACGAAGGAACGATGGAGGAAAAGGACACCACCAGGTTACACACACACACCGACCGATCGGTATCTCGCACGGGCCGCTTATGCTTTCCCAATACGCCCCGCTTACGTAACAGCTCCAATAGTTGCTCCGAATTAATTTCCATGTAATCGACAAGTTCGTGCTCCCGATACCAACCGGAATTTAGAAAGGAGCGACTTTATTCGGGCTCGGCATTTTAGGGATCTTTAATTTCGCAAATTATACAATGCGCGTTCGATATCTCTCATAAGCGAGCTTTTATAAGGACGGCACACGGATTTTAATTCTATCCAGGCGTTTCTCCTTCGCCCGAACGAATTGTTTCGCGGTAAACGACATTATTATTATTTAAAGAAAGACGTTGTATTACTATTCCGGACACGTTTACTTACTTTTCCGTGCTTTGACGGAAGTTCAACATGGCGTACTGCAACAGGGAGTGTTTGCCATCGTTGACCACCGTTCCGGTCTCGTAAATGCCGTCCTCCTGCAGCCTGACGTTGTCATCCTGCTGCCGCCATTCCTGGCTCGGGCTGAGTCGCTGGTTTTGTTGGTTTTTCTGATGGTTCGCCTGATTGACAGCTGACACATGGTTAGGCACGCGACCGAGCGGCACGTGGTTCTCGTGCTCGGAAATAATGTGATTAGAATGGTTGTGAGGCTGGATGTGGTTCGCGGAGGCGTGATTCGCCTGCGACTGAATGCTCTTCGTGATTTGGGACACGTGATTTTCGTGATGGTTAACCTTCTGGAGCGGCTTCTGGTCGATCTGTAAGTCAGACAGGTGATTCGAATTTAATGGAATTAATTTGAAAAAAAGTCTCTCGTCAAGTGATTCGCTCAATAATAAGACACTTGATAATATATACATATTAATCCTCCGTCGGGGGGGGCCGTTAAAGACCGAATCAATATTTTAATTGTGAATTCTAGAATGATCGATACGTGACGTCAACAATTATGAATATTTCACTTAAAAAATTTGTCCCGTGTTTCCTGCTCCGATTTCAATTTCTAAGGGATAAGTAAAATGCAATTCGACTTCAACGAATTGTGTAAAAACTTGTTATTAAAGATTTCACAAATATACGAGATTTTTTATGCAGCCCGGAACAATGCATTCCCCTCAACAACCCGGATTGACCGCTAAATTTAATATCGCCGACGGCAAGTTAATGTCCTTCAGGTTCACGTTACATAAGAAATGCTTATGATTTTGATGTACGTATGTATAAAATATATGTGTAAAATATAAAATTGCAGAAACTTATTGCGACTTTCCCTTTGAGAGATCTGCGGATAGGGCGCAAATTCATCCTTTCGCACAGCCCGTGCAGCGCGAGTATCGTGATAAGTGGTCTTGTTTACGAGCCGGTGGGCGAATCCATTTCCCGCGCGGCTTCTCTGTTTCTCTATTTCCGTATGTGCCGCTTGCATTTCCTCCTTTTCCCCGACGCTATCGCGCGGCACCGACGCATCGATCCCGCGGCACGCGAGAAAACGGGTTTTCCTCCGCCTGCGACTTGATACAGGAATGCGGCACAATACGACCATCGAGTGTTCGGGCTTTTTTCTCCGGCTTTAGCGGTAAAGAAGCGAAAAGGAAGAAAGCGCATCTCGCGTAAATTAGCGGCGGCTTCCGCGCTACGTGCGATTTCTCGACGCGCTCCCGCCGTCATGGTGGCCGGATATCGACGTTTCAGCGAAAGAAGTGGGAAGAGGAGTGTCTCGTCTCCTCGATCAGACATTTCTCTCTCTCTCTCTCTCTCTCTTCGCCGATCGTCACGATTTTTAATCAAAGTAGGTGATTACATCCTGTAGTTATTAATAGCAAAAGTCGATCCGCCTGGGAAGCCTGCGGCTCCGTACGCGAGATAATCTCTCCTCCGTTCTCGTGGGTAAGAAAAAACCCGGTAAATTATGCTCGATTGACTTACGATTTACTTCACGATAATTAAATATATCTTTCTTTCGCGCGTCTGACATCTTCGGTACGATGAACGTGAAATGGAACGACGCGAGACGCGCCGGCGTTTGATGATCGCGGCACTTTTCCCCGGGAAAAGATCAATGGCCGCGGAATTTGGCGGTTATCTCATTTCTCGCGGATATCCTATTTCCACGCGAGAGTTAATCCGTCATTCCGTTAGATAAGACGCGGTATGCGTTTGCGCCGCGAGCGCCGATGCCGTGGAATCGGCCGAGGAGAGCAGAATGCGCGAGCAGGACAGGCAGATGTCGACCCTGACCCACATAATCGTTAATGCATCGAGACGCGACGTAAGATGTGGATGCGGTTGCTGCGCGTCCACGTCGCCATATTGCGACAGATAACAAGCGCGCAACGGTCTAGCGATTTCCGCGGCTATTATCGAGGCGTGACGCAAAGAAGACCGTGTGGAAGTAAACTGTGATGTAAAGAAGTGCGAATTGTTGCAAATGGACGGGATCGTTCGCGAGGAGACGCTTATATCGGCGGATACGAGCTGTTTACGCGGCTGGAAGGCTGTGTCGCGAAAAAATTGTTTTGCTTTCGACTCGGTGATCGATCGAGTCGATTAATAATTCAGCGCCTTACACGCGACTTTCAATGTTCACCAATTCAAAGTTGACACATTGAAATTGGCAATTCGCTAGTAGTCGTTCCACTTATAAACAACATATAAATTTTGAGGCGTCCTTGTTAGAGAGGAGTCTATTAGAAATTCAAATGATCTCGGCGGCTAATTGCGGCGAGAAGTTAATTTTGCAATAGTGAAAATCCGATCGATCAAATCGCCCGACTTATTAAATATTCTCACCGGTATCTCGGTGTATCCGGGTCTATCAATTACGGCACGAGATATTCGCGGTCCATTTAGCGCAATCTGTTTGTTTGATTTACATTTATCTCGGATTCTTGAAAATGCTGGTATTCCTACATCCGCTAATAATGATAGCATTAATAATAATAATAATAATAATAATAAACGCGTGACAAATGAAATCGTGACCTGGTAGCTCTTAACTTTCTCGTCTAGCTTCTTCAAGGTCTCCTGTATAGTGTTTAGCGTCTTGTCGTTCGTCTTGTCTTCCGCCTGCATCTCGTTTTGCGTTCTGAGCTCCTCGAACCTCTTCAGAATTTCCCGGACGCTCAGTTTGCTTCCGTCCGCATTTTCCTCGGTGATGGTCTCCATCTTCGCCATCTTGCGTTCACCGTTAGCCCGCATGATAATCTGTTCCCCGTCATAGAACTCTTGAATCATGTCGTTCGTCTTCGGCTCCTCGTCCTTCGGCTTCTTCTCTCGAGCGCTCTTCGAGGCTGTCGTAATCTTGCAACTTCTCAACTCGCAGCCCTCCTCCATTCTGAGCTGCTCGATGCTCAGCTGGCGTTGACTCGCTCGTATGATCGGGTTCAAGAAGGACTTCTGCTCCAGCCTGGACACGTCTATCCTGGGAATATTCTCGTAGTCGAACTTCTGCTGGCTGAACGATTCCTTCCTGAACAGCTCCGTGCCTTGTCTGATATTCTTGTTCACGTCCAAGTGATCGTTCTCCACCTTCTTCTTATTCCTGTCCTTCGCGAAGAACTTGACGAAGCTGTTCCTCTCGGCTTTCGGTGTTCTCTCCAAGTGAGAAGCCTGCTCCAGGAACGCCCCGGAGTCGTCGGTGTGCCCGTACTCGTCGCTGCTCAGCTCGGACTCGGACGACTTCATCAGGAGACTGTCGGGGGAGTTGGTCTTGCGGTCCTCGTCGGAGAAACTCTTCGCTTCTTGCCTGCTTATGAAGTGGCTCTTCTTGCGATAACCCAACTTCGAGTCTTGATTCACGTAGTGCTTCCGATAATCGTCGTCCAGGTGGCTGTAGAGGCTCTCGGGCGTCGATCTGCGATCCTTCATCGCCGCGTCCTTCCGGATGTGATCGCCGGACTCCCACTTTCGCAGGAACTCGGAACGGCGCACGATCCTCTGCACGTTGCTGAAAGCCTTCGGCTCGAAACTGTGAAGCTCGTTCTCCGACGACTCGGAATAGTCGGTGAATTGGTTCAGAATGTCCGGCCGGTGTTTCTGCCGGCGTCTCAGCGTCGTCGGCAGCTCGGCCCAGTTGCTGACGAGCCTCCTGGAGAACACGCCTTCCGTATCGGACACTTCTCTCTCCATGGCGATAGAGCTGTGCGGTATTTGGGGACTCTTAATGGAAGGCATGTGTTAATTCCCCCCTTCGGAAGGAGCGGAGGTCGTCTCGCTTCGGAAGCTACATATATCTTCCGGCGATTTCGCTAACGGGAAACTTCAACGTCCCGTCGTCGATACGCGCCGCATCGAGGCGCGGAAACCCGGCTATCGGTGTACCCGTACCTTCGTTTCGTGCGTGTTTGTCATTCATCTGGCAAGATCCGCATGCGAGACAGGAACCTAACTAATTCCGAACAATTGTAATTTCACTCGGATCTTCCGAAGGATGTAGATCGCGGAAGAAGGACCCTTCCGCGGGACGCCGTGAGAAACGACACGAAGAAGACTTCTCGTGGGATCAGCCGAACAATGCACTTTTAATTATAATTACCTCGCACCAACAAACTCTCCCCTATCACGGCGAGCGAGAAAGCCATCATGCTTTCTTAGAAACGTTGCCGCTGCGATCGTCACGTGACGATACAGCCACGCACCTTCTTCTTCTCTCGCTCTTACACCTCGCTCTTCGCAAATCTCCGCCGTACGTGCGTGGAAATTAATTCGGATTAATTATTAATTAGCGGGAAGCGCTCGCCGGATGATAACGAGATCGAGACCGTAGATTCACCGTTGGCCGATCTGCGAGACCTACGATAGTTGATCTACGCTAATCACGTAGGCGGGAAGGGCGAGAACAACGGAGGATTGATCATGATTTTGCTTACGTAAGTGCGAACCCTTTCGACCTTACTCGCGCAAGATCGTTAACGATCGTGCAACCAACGCCATCGCGTTCCGTTCATCGTTGCGTAGTACACATCGCCGTTTTTACACGGAGCGTGAAAGGCAGATATCGATCTCGTCTGTGGGAGAATAATGGCTGTTGATTAGCCATACATACGAGGCGGAGAGCCTTAAAAATTAACGATAGGCCGCCATTATCATTATATTAACCTTGCCTGACTATATAGCTGTACGGTTGCACGACGCCACGTCGAGAATTACTCCACGACGTGTTGTGTTTCCTCACGAATTCGTAAACAGCACGATTGTCAGGATTCCTCCCCACCAATGACGATTCGCCACTTCGCCACTTAGCCGAAAAATCCATTTAATAACGACCCACGCTTCTCCAAGAAGAAAGAAAGATGTCACACTTCGGAGATTTCCAAAGAAGCAAACGGACCTGAATTTTTCGTCTTCCAACTGTCAAAATGTTCGCCGGCGATTTTCTTCAGACATTCAAAGAAGATACGTTTAACACATTCTCGCTGTTACCCTCTTCTTAGCTTCAGGGTCAAAGAATCAAACTCCATAGCTTCCTTCATAAATCTCTTCGAATTTACTGAAGCTGCTACATTGGCGTAGACGGGAGGACACGGGAGTTTCCCACAACCACCACCTTTTCCTCGATTTCGCTTCCGCTGGCGTTTCTTCTCGAAAAGCAGATTTAGCTTCCGGCCTGGCGACGTTATCGGACTCCCCCGTTGCGGGACTCTGCTCTTCGCGGAAGAGCTGAATATTGATTCGGCTCTTCTCTTCACGGAGAAATTGAAATCGACTGGTCTCTCGGCTAGATGTAAGCCCTTTTCGAGGGTAGACACCGGAAGGGACGGCGCGAGTGTCGCGGCACCGCACGGCGCGGCGGCAGTCGATGAACTGAAGAGCGGCGGCCGCAAGGCTTCTGATAGGCACCGTCGTTCCCTACCGGCTGTATTCTGTTAGCTGATGCCTTCGGAAGACGGATATCTGGGTCGGACCCCACCATCGGTGTTCCTCGGTGGTATGCGTGGCATACGCTAGCACGGAAAATCATGCGCTGCGCGCCGCTCTTACCGGTGAAGAGGATGCTCTCCGTGCCGCTCGATCTTGTTCGATCGGAACGTACGTTCTGGAATGTCCAATGAGATGCATGTCGAGAAGCGTTACCGCAAGAATACTCTTCTCAGTTCAACGGGAAGACGGGGGACCGGCGAGACGTGGTACCAAAGGTAATTTTCCTCTCTCTCTCTCTCTCTCTCTCTCTCTCTCTCTCTCTGTACGGCGATTTTGCCGCTTTCGGCGGATTAGGTCGAAATTAAAAACGTAGCGATCGAGTGAAAACAGTTGCCCACGAATGCAGAAGGCTGTCCCAGATTCATGGGACCTGTTTTTATCTGGATTTCTTTCGGCTTTCTTTAATATTCAACGTCAAGCATCTCCCTAATTAACTTCGCGAATGTATAAACGTTAAATTTAATTCGAACGAAAAATCAAACGGTTTTACACACGCACCCGTATATTTTCAAAGTCGTATGATCGTACGAAAGATTCATTTTTCCGCTGGTTTGCAGTGTGGAAATCTAATCTCTTCGAGTCAGTGAAGAGGAAGTATCCGTACGTGGAGAAGCACGGTTCTACCGTGGCGGTTCTACGCGCGGCAGAAAATCCACGGGACAATACACGCCGCGAGCACAGCAATGAAATAGAAATCGGAACCGGAAAGGGGAGGAAAGAGTCGGAAGCGATAGCTCATTACGCTAGATTATTGTGATTCACGGCTCGATGAGAGCGGTCTGTGCAAAATCCTCAATCCCACGCCCGTCGTGCGCATCGTACGGTTTCAATTTTCCTGCGTTCCCCCGTCTATTAAAGAGCGACCACGGAAAAGTTCAGAGATGCAACGTCGTTTGCAGTTTTCGTTCTTTCCCTTTTCTTTTTTTTTTTTTTTTCTTTTTAGAAGGCTCGGCGCACGGAAGCGAGTTTCGGAGTTCACACGGCTGTACAGGCGACGCACCTGCCGCTAACGGAAACGGCTCGTTACCTGCGGGAGACCCTTAAAATCCGTTGCCCTTAATTTTACAGTACGCCAGCCGGCACGCGTATAAACATATAATTTCCATTGTTTCGAGAGCGTTTGTGATTATTTACATAGGCGAAAAATCGTTGAGAAAATATCGTTGCCTTCGTGAATTTCGAAGCGATTCGATTTTTCGGAACATTCCATTCACGATCGCCGAGAAACTTGAGGCGATTTCCGTTTTCACATCAGTGATACTTTCTCGCCTCACGCTTTTTCCACCGCCCGCTTCGGCAAAGCCACATTTTTCTCGTACCGGTTCGAAGAATGAAATATTTTCCGCGATCCGGACTGCCAGAGAAATTTTTGCCCGCTTTTAGAAAGACCGGTCGAACGATAGTGAATGCGGGAAAATTCTCTTTCTCTCTCTCTCTCTCTTTTTCTTTGACATTTTCCATTTCTATGCTCTTTCGTTCCGCAATTTTTGTCACCGAGGTATCACCTGTGGGAATGTAAGAGCCATAAAATTTCAGTTGTCATCGTGTTTTTCGCGCGCTTGCAACACAACGTTGTGTTAATGAAAGGTATACTTTACTCTTGAGACACTTGATTCGAAGGTCGACTCGATGAAAATAAAACAATAACATTGTATTTCAATTCGTGTTTTGTCAGCTCGTGTGACCTTATATAACTCGAGTTTTTTTCATTTTTACCTTCTCTTTTGACCTAATATATGATCTTCTCACGCACGAAATAATACGTTTGACATGAGAAAGTTAAAGGTAGTGTGGATTATTTACATACGCTAAAAACTGTTGAGGAAATTTTACTTTATTTTTGTTCTCGTGAATTTTTTCTCGTGGAAAGAATTTCTATGAGAAATTCTTCATATAAGAAAGTTAAAGAAAAAGTTTTGATATTCGTATTCCAAGACAGATGTTTAATTAGAAGCCACATCGCCGTTTATCTTCTTTCCATTATCTAAGGACCATAATTATTATCGCGATTTCTAACATCCAATTAAAATCGATTTCTTCCCCGGGAAAAATTGCCATTTTCATTCTATAAAAAGTAACTTCCTTATTTGAGAAATAATGTATACAATAAACTAACAATGTCTACCAAATAGGTGTGCGGAATAGGTTTTCATGGGATTTATATTTCTACCAAGTGAACTATTAATACGGGATAGAAACGCTTACCTTGCAGAATGGCTCACATAAAACCGGGGAAATATATTACGAAACGCGCTTTCTATAATCGTAGTATGTAGTTCCTGTCGTTTGTCGAGTGCTTATTCAGCTTTTAAGAAGTCCCAAATGACGACTTTGTACGAAATAAAAGTTCGCACGAAGCATTTGGGGGATTGTACGTTTTTCCTTCTGAAAAGTTGTGAAGTACGGAAGAACGAAGGGCGTGAAGATGAAGGGAATTTGGGCCAACGTGGTAGAAAGAGATAATGAACACCGGCAGTCTCGCATTAGCAATTCAAACCGCTTCCGGTGTTCGTGTTGATGCGAGGAGGTGCCGTCTACGGTAAATGCGAGTTACTTGAACTCGGAATCACTCGAAAGAAATCCATATACTTCTCACTTTACTTCCCTTTCGTCGTGTCGTTCTTTGTGCGACGAACCGCACGCGGCAAAACAGAATATCGCCGATTATTGACAGTTCAAAACATTCTTTATACAAACTCAACTGTCAAATAAAACTATCATTCTCATCGGGATTTCAACTTTTAGGTATCAAATAACGTTCAAATAGCGTGCCGATTTTCGTATGCCTTGAAGATATCCTACATGAAGGATGTATCCGTTAAACTAGACAGTTAAATGATTAAAAATAATAAAAATATGACGAAGACAGCGAGATATATGATTCTAAAACGAATGAGAGAAATAAGATGAATGATATTAGAAAATAGCCGAGTGTTACGTTCTTCTCTTCAACGCGGAAACTTCTTCCGGAGGACATATGTGACAGGCGGTTGAAGAGCTGTGCGACTAATTAAATCGGTTTTATACGGCTGGCATTTGGTATTTTCGCTTCGGCGATGACTCCTTCGTGCGACGTAACGTTCTCATGAATACTGAATCGCGGCATTTTTACGATAGACCCTCGCGGAACGGCGAGGCACAGTGCGTGGTATTGCGTTGCACACCTCCGTTCCGATCCTTTGACATCATTCCGTAGACTATAGGTGCTACATAGGGACATTTGTTCATGTTTTTACCGTCACCCGAGGAGCCCGGCGCGCACTCGCGATCACGTAACCGCGTTTTTCTCACTATTACGTAATCCTCCCGATGGAATTCGAGATTACCTGCGTGCTTTATCAATGTACCCGTGCTCAATCAATTACGTACACCGACCTCGAGTGATAATTATTACCCTAATCAAATATAATCCCAATATAGGAGATACAGTGAACGCGTGGTGCGGCTCGCCCGCTCAATCGTCGCGACGTGAAAGTAAAAATGGCGAGTCGGAGATTCAATGCGGAACGATCGTGCGGAAAACCACCGGTTTTCGATGATCCTCGTTATTCAATGACGCCGATTGCGTTTGCGATTATTGGCACATGCCCGAACGCCTCGTCACAGCGATCACCAGCAACGTTATCGAGACGAACACGCGTGGATGATTCGCTTCGACGGCAGTTGCGTCGCTTGAATTGCCCAAGTATTTTGATCTGTGCTATTGATCTCACGTCCGACTCTCTCTCTCTTCCCCCTCCCCCCTCCGGGAAAAAAAATTAGCATCGTCATAGGTGCGCTTGATCCGCGCCATCAAGGTGAAATCTCTAATGACCGTGCGTTTCAGAGAGAGAGAGAGAGAGAAAAAAAAACAGCGTTGCCGGTAACAACTCTTTTGCGCCCGGCCATCGATATATCCGACGGACGGGCGAACGTCCGTCACGCTGAACAATCCGCTCCTCGAATCGCGTGCGGCGACGATGCATGCAGGTGCATCTGTTGGACGTGCGCAGCGCGTGTTATGAGAAATCCATCCGATCTCTCCGCTTGCACAAGACGGTTCGAGACGGATTTCTCTCTCCCTCTCTCGCCCATCTTTCCCTTTCTCTCTCTCTCTCTCACTGGTGCAAAAAACTCCGGTGTTCCGCGGCCGTAATAATTCATCTGGAATAGGTGCGATCAAGGTCCCCGGGATAAGAGAGGAGGAACGTTTCCTCCAAGCACGGCTCTTCTGTGTGTGTGTGTGTGTGCTTCAGAATGGTGACGGGGTGTTGGAATCGCAAGGATCGATAGAGTGTGTCCGAAATCGCTTTCTTCATAAAAAGCACGACAACGGGGAGATTACTGGAGAGGGAGGAGGGGGAAGAAGGCGTTCGATGGAAAGCTCGAGACGGAAAATCCGCGTTACCGCGGGGAGTTGACGCGGCGTAATCTCTCCCGGGGACGATGAAGTACGCGGGAATGGAGGGTACCGAGCGCGGCTCTCCGGTGATGGATCGCTAATTCCGACGTTCACCGGGCGGCGGAAAAGGGGAGAAGATAAAGGGAGAGGAAAAAGAGACGAAGTGTAAGGCATTGGCCAGCACATATGACCACTCACTGGAAACGTAATTTACACCAGGCGTTGCCTGAGGTTGCCTTCCGCGGGTTATGAGATACCGTCGTGCCGTTATAATTCCCGCGCCGATCGCTAATTGGTCGCGGGCGAGTGCGCCCAGTTCGACCACCTTCGTCGGAGGTTGTCGACGATGTTCACTCACCAGTCTGATGTACCGGCCGATCATCTCCGCCAGTTGCGGGGCGCGATTCGTGTGCAAAGGCAGCCTGACCCCCGACGCGACCTGCAGCACGCACACGCCCGACCTGGAAGAATTCACGGAGACGATGTCCTCCAGCGGCAGAGTTTCCAGGATGATCAAGTCTCCGTTTGGCGTGCGCTTGATCAGCCGGAGCCCGTGATGCGACACCGCCACGTGCTGGGTTTCCGGGTGTTGCGGGCCGACCTGTAAAGGGATTCGATTTAGAACGTCTCAGTGCGTTTCAGTTAAAGACTCCTCTTGCCCGTTTCAAGCGAGATCTTGAATTCTAATTTCTATCATTCTTATTTTCACATAAACAAGCGTTGTTACGAAAATAAGAAAAGGCTACTCCTTATTCGGTCTAACCGAACTAAGAATTCAACGGTCTTTACGAGCAAAGCACGGATCATTCGGCCGTTAAATACTAATATTGTCAATACTGATGTGTTTTGCACGAGGATACAACGCGTAAATGTATGTTAGCGTACGTCCGGGATATTTTCCCGGTCTACACATGCGGAGAATCTTAAGATATCGGGTTTAGCTTTCATTTTAAATTAATATATAACTCCTCCAATTAACTCAACCTGGTAATATTATTATTTTAACATCTACATTAAGCGTTGCGAAAAATACTATTACTTTTTGAAGTTTTAAAGATTTCTTCTCATTGAATTGCATCAATTTAAAACTGAGGGCGCTTGTCATACACGCGACCTCTCTAAGGTTAAGGAAGACACAAAGGTAACTTACCGACACGGGAAATATCCTGGCGAAGTACAGCGGCCATTGCTTCGCCATGTCCACGATGTTCTTCTTGATCGTGATCTTGTGCTGCGTACTTTGGAGATTGTCCAACGTGACACCATAGTTATCTAACATCTTCAGCATGTTCTGCCGGTCCTCCTTGGTGATCCTTATGCTGGAGGTCGCCAACACGTCGTACGCCACTTGGCAGAACACCAGATGCAACGCCAACGGGCTGTTCAACGTTTCATTGGGCGCGAACACCTCTTTCTTGACTCTCAACGTCCACGTGACTCGGTTGTAGGTGAAATGCGCGTTCGAGGCTTGCGGGTAGAGCTTGGTGTTCACCACTTCCTGCACCTTCTCGATCTCCGGCTTATCGGCCGGTGGTAATACAGGCTTGAGGAATTCCGGCCACTCTTCGATCTCGATCCTCTCCATTTTGTCGGTACGATGGGTCGAAGCGACGCTCGATCGTCTGTCCACTTCGCGGTCCAGCTTCTTGAAGCTCTGTCGGGCGACTGTGAAGGATTCCCTCGTGTTCGGCACGACGCCGAAGTCTCGCGGCGACGGCATCCCGAAGCTGTCCCGCGACTTGGGAGACACGTCTCGGGTCATGCTGAAGGGATCGCGTTTACCGTTCGAGCCGTCGAACGCGTACTTGGAGTCGTAGATCTCGGAATTGAGGTCGCGACGAGAGTCGAAGTCGGAGTTACGGTCGCGCGTCGAACTCGCCAGGTCGGTGCTGTCCTTCCCGTAGAAGTCCTTGGATTTGCCGTCTTGGCCGCGAGTCTTCTCGAAGTCGCCCCGGTAATCGTGATTGTCGCGCAAATGCTGCTGCGAGGCGAAGATGTCGCGGCTTTGGCTGAACATTTGGCTTTTCGGGAAGTGGTCGAAGGACTCGGAGTCGGGGGACGTGCGGAAGGAGTCGCGGCTTTTCGGCTCGATCGGCGCCGGTGGTGAACGCGGCTGAGGCACGCTGGACTGGCTGCGAACGAACGAATTATTTTCACGTTATAACACGTAGCGCCAATAAGCGAAATGTTTCGTGCAGAATCCGTCTCTGATAAGGGAGGAAGCTTCGTTGGACTCCCAACGCAATTTAATCCGAGATTACGTCATTACCTGTTGCTGTAAACACTGCCACCCCTTGGACTCGGGGGTTGTGGCGGGGTGACGGGCGGTGGGGGCGGTACAGGCCGCTCCATTCTCTCGATTTGTGTCCTCACAACCTGAGCTTGTGTCATCATGTCGGTCGTGCCCTTGGAAGTGACGCTTTGGGTGTCGTCGACAGTGGAAGCGTAATCGTCCCATCTACCACCTTGAAAAACATTCGCTTTCCTTTGATATTCGTATGTTTCACATTATTTTGCCGTTTGAGAGAATTCGGACAAGCTGATTACCCAATTGCTGTTCCAACAAGAGCTTCCTATTGTCCTCCAAGCGTTTAACCTTCCCGTCTTCTCGCGGGAGAGCAGGCTTCTCAGCCGTCTTCGTTGATCGCACGCTATGATTCGCCGTTACCTTCTCCAATCTCTGCCTCATCTCCGAGCTGAGCTTCAACTTGCCTATACTCCCCGGCGACGGTCTCTGCGCGCCTACGTCCAAAGCCGATCTGCGAAGAAATTCAGCTATTCGAATCAGCTCGCCCTCTTCGAGAAATTACACAAATATCGCGCGGGTAAAAGTCCGACGTCAATTACTTCGATTTCTTCTTCTTCTTTTCCCCTTCCTCTTTGTATCCGTTTTCGTGTTTGGCCGCATTGCTGGCTGGTGGATGAGCGACATCGTTCGTAACGATGTTCTCGATCTCGAATTCCTCCCACTCCACGCCGCCTTCCGTCGCTGGCTCACCTTCGCCCTGATCGTACTCCTGATATTGCGGCGTTATCTTCCGCTGTTGCTGTTGCTGACGCATTTTGAATTCTATGAAACTGTCCTGCCCTTGATTCTCATTGGAGTCGCTGGGCGGCGGCCACCTAAGCAACATTGAAACAGATAAAAAAATTAAGGCTCAGCTGTGAGAAATTCGATAGGTTAGGTTTCTAGGTAGGTCTAGTGAATTCAAAGTGTCGAACTAATCGTCGAGATCGCCGTGAAGTTTACGTTACTGATTAAGCCGGAGCCTGAATTCACCTCCATTTTCCAATGCGCACGGTCTTCGCTCTTCCGTACGGATCGAGGAACGGCCTGGACTCTGAGGGATCATGGGATTCTAAAGGCGGGGGCATCGGTGGGGGTGGTGGGACGCCCTTGTTGTTGCTCGAACCCGAGAAATTGCTGTCCACGCTGCTCTTCCTGTTCTTCAGCTCGCTGAGCACGTTGGTGAAGTTGCTCTGCACGTTGCTCTTGCTCGAGCCGGTCCTCTTCACTTCCGTTTGCCCCGAGGACGCTTTCCTGTCCGTCGTCGTCTTCCGATCCACACTGATCTTCCGTGTGTAATCGACGCTTGTCTTCCGGCTGGCCTCGGAATTCTTTCTGAGCGGGCTCTGCGACCTGTGAATTTGTGCCTTCACCGTCATTGTTTCCTGCCGTTGGCTTATCGGCGTCGACTGCAATGGCGTGCCCCGTTTCTCCGTGGACCACAATTCACCGTCGTCGGGTTCTCTAAATGAGACCTGATCGAAGAAAGATCGGATGAAGCCTCCGTTCAACCAATGACTCTCGACCAATGGTCGTTTGCAGCGATATTTGCGCGCGGGTCGACTCGATAGATCAGAACGTTTTACTGGGAAGGGCTATGATGATCCGGCGAATGAGATATTGTCTGTTTCCCGGTTGGCCCTAACACTGAACATCTTTCTCCCTCGGATTCAGCTAGCCGATATGTACACGATACTTCTGTAGTCGTTGAGAAGCCACGATAGAGAGAGAGAGAGAGAGAGAGAGCGTAGAGGTTAGTTAAAATCGGTAGATACCTTGGAGTAGCGTCCGATAGAATCATTGGGCCCCGTTTGGGCACCGATTGGGGGGGCTGGGGGAACAAGATTCATGCTTGAGGGGCCAGCGGGTAACACCGTGCTCTGGAAACACACACCCGTGCCGCGACGCGGCTCAGAAACCCATAGGATCGTCCAGAACAACCATACTTTCCGTTAAGAGTTAGCTTGAATTAAACGCGGACATTAACCCGACCTCGGTTTGTCAATTACGGATCATCGAGTTAATGACAGTTACGTGATCATGAAACGTGACTATGTGAGCCGCGACGACAGCGGTGAACCATTTCGTGATCGTCCTTGACATGCAATGTTAGCACCTCTGATCTTCTTATCGTGCTTCGGTATCGNCCCCCCCCCTCGCTGAACAATCCAAATAAATCAGGTCTCCATGAGGGATGTTGAATTCCGAAAAATGTCCAACGGGTCGCGTGTCCGAGAGACTCGAATTTTGTCCATGTAACAAGTTTGGCCGAGGATCGACTCGAAACACGATAAGCAGACCGATCTGCTGCTGGTCGATTACGTAAACCTAGGATATTAGACTTTGTACAGATTTCTCATATCGCTCTTCTTATTAATTTCTCACCGGTTGCTGTGTGGAATTCTGCGGGCTCTGGACCAGCAGCTGCTGCAGAGCCTGATTCTGCGCCAAGAGCTGCTGCTGTATTTGGATATTTTGCGCCATCGCGCTCTGCAGGAAGGCCCGTTGGAGGTTCTGCTGGTACGCCATCATGTCGTTGTTCTGGTTCGGCGGAGAGCTGGGATACTGCGGCAGGCTGAGACCCTGCATGCTGTAGATCGGGATGGGCATGAAGCCCGCGCCCATGCCCATGCTGGTGCTCTGAGCCGACGGGACTTGTTGGGCTGGGCTGAACATCGGCATCATCATGGGCGGCGACATCATGCTCTGCGCAATCGGACTGAAGTTGAAGGCCGCATTCTGATTGGGAATGTCCATATTGCCGCCCCCTTTGATCCTTTTCGACAATTCGCTCGCGTTGATGTCCGCACCACCGTCGGCCGTCATCATCCTCTCGACGAAGTCATCGACGGTGGCTGATTCGACACTCCGGAGCTGAATTTTTCGCACATTCTCCAGCACCGTTTGACCGCCAGATGGTCTAGCGTCACGCGAGCCTTTTATCGAAGCGGCTAAACTGCGAGCGTCCGACAGCTCGTCAAGGTTGCCGTCCAGAACCGGCATGAAAAGCTCGTCCAGGAACTGGTCCACGTCGGAAGCCTGACTGGGCACTCGAACGCGGCGCACGTGCGATGCCAAAGATGGTGCCTCGCTTGTATCGGACATGGCCGATGATTTTACACCATATTCACTCTTTTCGATGTACGCGCGACTGGACTGGCTTCCCGGCAGCGCCCGTTTGCCTGAAAGCAGGGGAGAAATGATCGATCTGCGCGAGGTTGAATACGGAAAAATCGCCGTTTCGTAATCGCCGTGAAACTTTCACTGCCGCGGAAATTCTGGGAGTGCAGTTGCGCAAGAGCGCGTTAAGTAATGAAACAAACTCGTTCGCCGCCGTTGGTATTTATTGTATGTCACAATCTAGCGGGGACCTTGCGGAGCCTTCAAAGACGATGTATATCGTTCTCTACTTACCGGGATATTGCGACTTGATGAATCTGGTCTGCGACCTAATGTAGCTACTCTTGTCGTCCTCCGACCTGCCGGTTTGACTGACGGACTGGATGTCTGGATACTCGAAGTCGATGGTGAGGTCCTCCTCTTCCACGATGTTGGGCTCCGTCGTCCTCGTGATCCTGCTGTACTTCCTCTCCTGCGTGATCTCGTTGCGCGTCATGTACTCGACGTTGCTGACCGCCGAGGTCTCACCGATCCTCTCCAGGCTGTGATATCGCTCGTTCAACTTCGACGAGGACAGTCCGAGGTTAGCGAGCTTCACCGGCGAGGGTACGACTTCCGGTTGCAGCAAGTTGTCCAAACTTCGGCTCCGCTGCTTCTCCTTTTCGAAATAACGGTCGTTCAAGGCGGATTTCCGCGACAAACCCGTCTCCATTGTGGTCTCCAGAATGGCCTCGTGCGACTGCTTTCGTACCTGGAAAGTATTACATTTTCGGAGAAATAATTTCTTAAATGTCAGGTTAACGCACTGATCTTTGCTCAATTAGGTTCTATTTGCGAGACGAATTTCATAAATAATCATAAATAAGACTGATGCATACAGGTGGTTTTGCAACGGGTGGCTGTGGCGGAGGAACAATTGGTCGCCTGGGTGTCTGAATTTCCGGCTCGACAGGCTTGTCAACTACTTTGGGCACTGGTTTCCTCTCCAGCGGCTGGAAGGTCTTCAGGACGGGGATTTCCATCTCCTGTTCCAACTCTCGAATTACCTGGGCGTGCTGAGGAAAGACATTATTAATACAAAGATAACAGGGGATGCGGTTTCACGCCAATGATATCCTCCCTGCTACATTTCCGAGCTTAAATTGATTGCTCCACGAGGCACTTCTATTATTATTTAAGGGCAATATTGAAATGTCCTCACTTCTCGTTTCTTTATAGGCGGCAGACTGTTCTTGCGTTGCTCCAAGAACATGTGCTTGGCGGCTGGGAAAGCCGGCGCCAATTCCATCTCGGAGATTAAGTCGAGAACGTAATCGAAGCCATTGGTTTCCGTCACAATTGCGTCCGGACCGTCCAACTGGTTCCAAAGCGTGATGGTCCAGCCGTTGTTCTCCACTCCGTGATTCTGAATCGCGAGATTTGCCAACTCTTCGCATGTCGTCCATGAATCAATCGCGCAGGTGGTCGTCTCGCCTGCGAAACGAAAGACACCGATTACGACGGGCCTTTTCGCCGTGGCGTCCCTTGCAGCTCGCACACAATGAAGGGAATAAGGGATTAAATACAGGGAATTGGATACTAAGGAATAAGATATTAAGTTACAGTTTAAAAAAAACATCGCTGTCCATGTGTAAAGATTTAATTCTCTGCGTTTAATTCCTCGTTACTTCGATCATGCCGGCGCTCCCACTGTTAGCGAATTCGGGGAACAACTTACCGTCGTAGAAGCCAACGTTCAGCGCTAGATTAACGCGATTCCGGTTGGCCCGCCACTCCAGAACGCACGGTGGATAATTCCTGGGCACTTGGTGCACCGTTTGCTGATTATTATTCATCACACGGTACACCGTTCTCTCGCCTTGCAGCAGCTTGCGTTGGCAGTAGGCTTTGTAGCCGTCGTAGGCGTGATCGGAGACGTATCTGTGATTGAGGGATTTCAATGAAAGATAGTCTCGTAATGACGCATCCGTCCGGCTAATGAGGACACTCACTTGAGGAGATACTTGAAGAGGGTGACGCTGGGTTGGAAGGCCGACAAGCAATTGGACAGCAGCAGCCATCCTCGTTCTTTGTTCGCGTCATTCTCATTCTTCCAGGTCTGATTCGCCAACTGGCACAATATCTCGTCCCTCAGCTTCTCGTTCACGATGCCTTTGTTGACGATGTAGTCGCCCAGCGCCTGTTCCCGCTTACCGCTGAGATTGTTCTCGTTCATGAAGCGCAGAATCATTTTGAAGATCATCAGGGAGTCCGTGTAGTCTTGGTCGCGAGCCTTCGCTAGGAACGGCGTCTTGATCGGCTCCCGCTTCATCCCGAAGATATGGCTCTTGAAGTAAATGTTCGTGAACTTCGAGAACTGATACTGATCGATGTCAGACGGCAGATTGTAAGCGTAATTCATCGGTACGACCTGGCCGACGACCTTCAGAAGATTTCGTTCGGTGTGCGTAGGCTGCCAATCTGGAAATTGCAAGGGAATTAGAATAACACGGCGGGCCGTCAGTAACACAGATTTCCTTCCGTGCATGAAGGAGGTTCGTCGAATTTCGTTAGTTCGGGGAGGTTCAACGAGAACGCACCGTCGAGTTTGCTGTAGATGAAGGCCAACTCCGCGGGGATCTCCAAGTGGTTCACACCGGCGACAGCTCGCGACGTTCTCTCTTGCTCCTCCCGTTGCTGCTTCGCCTTCGCTCTCTCCTTGCTGGCTCGCTCGATCTCCGCTCTCTTCGTCATCTCCTCCTTCAACACCTCGAATCTCTCCCGCTGCTTCTTACCCCGGTAGAGTTTCTGCGCCATCAGAACGGCCTTCTTCATCGCGCGGAACTGCTTCCGCTCGCGGTAACCACGATACACCGCTTGTATCAGCACGGTGCTGCGGGAGATGTTGAGGAATCTCCGCCGAGCCAAGAAGCCTCTCGTGTACCTTTGCACCGTGATGGCCGCTCGCTCTAGAATCAACGCTCTGTTGTATTCCAGAGCCCTCTCCAGCGATTCCCGCAGGAACACCCTGGTGAGTCCTAGCTGGTACTGCGACTGCGCCTCTTTCGGCGCCGCTTTGCTCAGAATGATCCGGCAGAGCTCCTTGTTCGGCGCACCTCTCGGCAGATGCGTCGAGACGAGGTACCGGTAGCGATCGACGAAGTGTCCGAAGAGAAGGCGAACCGGATAGCCGGTCTTCCTGATGCGGATTGTCTCCAGCATCCCCGTGTACCTCAACTGCTCGAGCACGCACGGCATGTCGAACTTCATCGGCGCCTTCTCGGTGTTCGGCTTGATGCAGCGGACGAACCAGGGGTTGCACTGGGACATGGAGTCCAAGAGCTGCTGAAGACTGTCGTGAAACCGAGCCGAGACCGTCGGCGTCCTCGGCTTCATCGTGACGAATCTGCCGTTCGGCTTGTTCATCGTTTTGTTCGCCTCGTGAGTGGTTCTCACGTGTTGGAACATCTTGCTGACCATCGAGATCTTGCTGCTGATCAATAACTCGACCACGTCCGGCCTCAGGGTGTCCCTGTTCTTGTCCAGGAAGCCTTCCACGTTGTACCAAACCTGCCCGGCGTAATGTCTGATCGCGAACTCGGCCGAGTTCATCCTGGGCCTCGAGTACAGCTCGCTGAGCGCGTGATTGTAGTGGCATTTCTCCAGGAAGGAGAGGTCCGTCGCCTTGGGGAAGTTGCTCTCGTCGTCCAACAGGTGGAGGATGCCCACCGGCTTCTTCGCTATCAGGTGGATCACCGGCAGGTTGTCCGTGTAGTTGATGGTGGTCCAGTCGATCTTCTCCTTCGCGTATTCCTGCTGCTCGAGCTTGAAGATGTGCTTGTTGAAGTAGAACTGCAGGTTCTCGTTCGCGTAGTTGATGCACAGCTGCTCGAAGCTGTTCTCCGTGAAATTCTCGAAGCCGAAGATGTCGAGGATCGAGATCGCCGCGGTCTGCTTGGTGCCCTTGTAGACGATGTGGTTGACGCGCGCCACCAGCCACGAGAAGAGCGAGCTGTACAGGGCTTTCGCGAAGGCGTCCCTCGCGTCCAGAGCCTGGTCGATGTTCAGAGCCGTAAAGACTCGCTCGTTCCTCGCCTCCTGCGGTAACAAGCGGAGGGATTTGCGTCTCGCGCTGCTAACTTAACGAGAATGTAAAGTACGCGAACGTTGAAGAGAGAGAGAGAGAGAACGATGTCTGACGATAAGACGCATCTCTTAACGATCTCGAGGACGTTTCTCGAGACAATTGCATCGGCCGGGTGGAAACTTACCGTCGTCTTGGTAGTTAACGCTCGGATGATGCCATCGGAATTCACTTGAAGGAGGTGCGCCGCCCAGCGTATTTCAGCGTCGGAACCGACCTCCACTCCTTCCTGACCGTGCCTCATCTGCTTCCGGTGAAAGTACACGTTCCCCAGGTGCAATACGCTGGCTAGGATTTTAAAGATCGTGTCCTGCTCCTCGGACGTGAAGCCCAGGACCTGCATGGCCGACAAGAGCGCCTTGAAGTCCTGAACGTCGCTCTTACCGTCGATCTCGCAGTTTCCACCCTGAAACGGTAATTTCCTGTCAATGATTGCCCGATGCGACCGGCCGTCTCTATCCTTCCCGAGCCTATCCCTTCGACTTTCCGAACGGCGAGGACGCGCTCACTCACCTGGTTTAAATAGAAATACTTGTCCGGGGTAAGAAGACCATATTTGTCCCTGAGTTGCTGGTCGAGCCCAGCCAGAAGTTCGTAGAACACGTGATAGTTTCTCTCCTCCGATGCCTGAGTTACTATTCTACTCTTTTCCAGCAGATATTGCGTTATCCTACCGCCTATGATCGCGCCGCTGAAGGGAACAGAGAAGTCATTCGGAGCGGCTGCGTAATTGCGATACGAACGCTCGCTTTTCCGCTTTAACGTCACTTACTCTCTGAAGTGCACCTCCAAGTACTTTCCAAACCGGCTGCTGTTGTCGTTCCGCGGCGTTTTAGCGTTACCGAAGCTCTCGAGGAGCGGCGTCGCTTCCAGGATCTGCTCGGTGACGAGGTTGTTCGGTGCGCGATTCACCGCCGCGAGATATTGCATCACTAGTTTCGTAGACTCCGTCTTCCCCGAGCCGGACTCGCCGGAAATGACCACCACCTGATTGGCACTGGAATTGTTGGCGGCTGTCACCTGACTGTACGCGGACGAGCCCACAGCGAATAAATGCCTGCGACAGATTTGCGGATGAGACTCGACGCAGCTCTTTGTTTCGGGTGGAAAACGGTTCGCAATGATCAAACGCAACCTGATCTCTCGTGATGTTTACTCAAATTGTGTGAAATATCACTGATTGGAGATTTGAAAGTGGTTGTACTAACGGCGGAAGTGTTCCAAGGATCCGTCCTTCGTAAAGCTTCACCTGGTCCAGTCCGTAAATATCGAACATTTTGTACGGATTCACCGCGACGAGGATGCTTCCCGTGTACGTCTGCAAATTTATTAGGAACTAATTACCAGACATCGGTTATTAACGAGAGGGGAGCGTTGACGAATAATTTGTCGCACGAAGGAAACGTACGTAAATGAGTTCCTTGTCGTAACGTATTTTCAAATTCCACAACAGCGACGCCTCATTCAGATCCCTGAAATGTTCGTGCGGATCGCTTAGAGAAGACATTCGCCACAATTACACGACTTAATACGTAGTAATGACGAGACTCACGTCAACTGAATCATATCCTCGACACCATTTTGACCCAAGTCCTGCCTGGGCTTTACTCCGTTCAGGTTGGTGAGAGTGAAGACTTGCGGCTTGAACACATAATTATACCCAATTATTCGCTGCTTTTCCGCACGAAGATACCGCTCGGTAATGTGCATCGTGTAATTTTCGTGAGCCCGCGTTCACGCCCGGCGACACTTTCCATTGACACATTTCTAACATCGGAAAAGGGTCACCGGGAGACGCTTGAAACGGTGACTTTCCATTCGAGACGAAATTTCCGATCCGTTTTTGCCGCGTTCCCTCGGTATGGCCTGCGAGGAGAATGTCCGACAAAAAAGGAGGATTCGTGCGAATTCACATAAGACGCGAGAGAGCCACTCACGTGAGACCTAACCGGATACCGGACCGTCTGCGTTTGCAGTTGCGATTCCATTGGCGTCGGTGATAACACGTTGTTCACGGCGGATCGGCGAAAGAAATTACTATTATTACTATTAATATTTATTTTATTATCACTCGTCTCTTCATTCTATTCTTCTTCCTTATTTTACTATTACTCATGAAAGAGAAAACAATTCGAATCTTCAGAGCTGCATAAAAAAGAATTCACACGAATCTGAAGAATATTGATATTTTACGATATTTTGATTACGACAAGCAATTACAAATATCAAGCGAGAATACGTTTCCAAATTTATATCTTAACTTCATGCATTCGTGTCGTTGCAATTAACTTAATTGATTAAAATCGTTACTAAAGAAGCCTTTTCGTTCAAAAGCATCGTCGCTCGTCGAGGAAGCGGATATGTCGCTTTTGAAAGAAAAACACCGGTTGAATTCTACTTAAGGAGAGAATTTTCGCGCATTATGAGACGTTACGTCGAGAATTTTATTCGGGGAAAAACCCATGTCATTTCAGCGCCAGTGACGCGTCCTCTTGCGATCTAAGTTCCCCGTGAGGTCGAGGATAAATTCACCGAGTGAATTCTGCAAGATCAGTGTGAACGTAACGTTATTCGGGGGAATTATTCGGCGAGCAGCCGGTGCGCTTTACGCCAATGTGCGCCGTCATCTATAATGGGACACCGGTGAAGTGCAGTGCTGCAACTAGTGCACGACAATACACGCGGGGAGCACAAAGCAGGCAGGAGAAGCCCGCGTTGCTAAATCGCCTGCGGTGGGTGTCGGTTGCATAATAACGCGGTTGCCTCGTATTAATGGAAATTACGTTAACGATGCGTGTGAATAATCGCTCATTTCGCCGGTTCGTGCGGTTTCTCGAAATCCCGAGGGACGCCCGCGATCCGAGATCGATGACCAACAATGGCAACAATTCAAGGCGCGGGAGCGCGAACTTGAAATTCGCACGAGCGCGAAGGACAGAAAGGCGAAAAAGGTGGAAACCAGATTTAGACGGACGTGAACGCGACGTGAGAGTCGTGGCCCTCGTTCTTGCTTAATGGATCATTCAAACGCACTGGGTGTCTCCTAATGGTCGCTCGAAAAGTAGATCACGTCGTTGAGACGGCGTGTCGCGAAACCGGCCGACCTTTTCCCAAAACAATTCCGACACGACGCGTCTTCCGGTTATCCGAGGCTTTCGGGCGAACGAGAGAGACGATCTGACCGACGTGTACCAGCTGAGGTATCGCCGTGACATCCGCTGGATCCAAGGCGACCGTGTGTCTTATTGCCGGTCGAATGGCATAAATGAAAATGTGGAATGATAAGAAATGTTGAAACGTTCGCGCAGGAAAGTTGCTCCGTTTTACTTCGGGCATTCTCTATAATCTACTTCGCCGACGGTCACGATGAGACACCCTGTATAAGGTCGCTAGAAAGTCGAGAACCAGCTGGCGGATTACTCAAATATCACGCGCGCTCGCGTGCCGTTACTGTTTGTTTTGACGACCGTTTGCAGCGAACGCCTCCGGTCGCTTAACGCACTCGTTGTATCCGAACTCGAATCGAGGCCACGGTGTTAAGCGCAAAGCGTAAAAATATAACGCGTCCGCGAATTATCAGAAATATCCCGTACGCATTCCCCGACGACCGGCTTAGCTCGCGAGCTAAAGTTAGAAGCGCGTTTATGCAAACAACATTTCGGCGGGAAGACAGCCGTCAAGTAGTTCAGCTCGTCTGCATAGCCGTCGTTCCCCAGGAAATGCGGAATAACCGGTCGACGGGTGTGCGCACACGGCTGTACGGTTGATGAGCAGGAGGGACCTTTCACACCTACGCTAAATATGCGCCTGGCCCCCGTCCTCTCTCCTCTGCTTTACCGCTTTTTCTCACCCAGCTGTCCCGTAATTATGTACGGCTAGTCTGGGCGTTGGCTTTCTTAATGTCATTTAACCGCCTGCAGTCGGGACCTTTCTTACCTTGCCGGCGATTACCGCTTGCACCGAGAGCACATTCGCAGCTCGATGGTACTCGAGAACCTCGCCCGGCAGCACGTGGCCGACTCCAGGGTCGAACCACACCAACTCACCCTGCAAGTAACACGATCGTGCTTGAAATGATTCGCGTCCCGAGTAGATATGTAATTAATCAGCCCGAGTCGAAAGCTGGTAACCAGCTAGTACAGGCTGGATGAAATTTTCCCGCTCGTCGTTAGTTCGTTATTCGCTGATTATTCGCTGGAAACATCGATTTCGCGATCCAGCCGTTGTCCGGCCGTTTTTTACAATTTGCTATCGTATTTTTCAATGCCGGTGGACGGTTTGGAAAAAAATCTGAGGTAGCCGACCGAAATTGCAGATACGTTACCTCCGTAGAGAATTTCACAGAAAGCAAACGTGATCGTTACATCGCTGCTTGGCGACTATTTGTAATCTTTCATCCGGCAACTGTAATTTCTTTTTGCCTCACCGTCGGAGTTAACTTATTTACCTAGTCATTATCTAGTCGTTAGGAGAAGTGAGCTTTACATTACGGGCTGCTAGCGACGTTAGACACACATTTACTATCCCGTGGCTGAGTAGCCACGGGTTTCAATTTCTACGAGGGATCGTCCGCGATGTTAAACTTCCACGGAGTTTGAGCTTCAGCGCGCGGATTTGTAACTACACGACAAACAGTTTTACAAACGTCATTAAGCGGTCCGCTCGAATTTTCCTATTACTTTAATAAGGTGAATATGTTAAAAAGCAATATGTTAACAAGGTGAATATATTAATTCAACGTATATTTGCGCGCCTCTTAACGCATTTCCCGTGTTAAAGTAACGTAAAAAATTCGGACCGTTTTTAGCGCGAAATTCCTTCACCGCGCATCGTTCATCCCCGGCGGAGGGGTTAATATTTTCATTGAGTTTGCAATATCGTTGGACTTTCGGATACTCAAACCGTTCTCAAGTTCCACGATGGGGAGCTGCGCGACACGGAGGACGCCGCCTGCACCTTCCTCTTGCCGGTGCAGAAGCCAAATATCGAGGACGACGTCGCCGGGGAGCAAGATCGGACGCTGTTGGCGTCGCTGAAGGCCCTGACGTGCGTCGGGACGCGCGTCGCCGTCTTCTTCACGTAATTCGACCTCTCTTTCGTCTGCTTCGTCAGTAATCCCGCGTTCGAGGCCCTCCGCTGGCAATTCGCGTCCTTCCCCGGGGATCCCGTATTTCTTCCGATCTTCACATAGCTCGGCAACGTCGTCGGTCTGATCGTCGTCTTCGAGTTCTCCTTCGGACTGTCCATCACTAGTCCACTTTGCGACTGCGATCTGCGTCTCACTTGCTGCCTCTCGTTGCTGGACGCCGTGAAGTCCGGCCGAGGGTACCTGTTGCGGGACCAGGAGTCCGTTCTCGAATCCTTCCTCTTCTTCGCTTCGACCGGACATATTCGAGAAGGTGCGTTCGCACCTTCCGAGTCGTTCTTCCGCACCTTGAAGTTCCGCACTCGCTCGAACTCCGCTTTGGAGAGCGGCACGGCGTCGTGCTGATCCTGGTGCGTTCTGCGCTCGAACGGAGCGTCCGTGTGATCCACGTTGCTGATTATCCTCCGCCTGGAGACCGGCTCCTGCTCGTGTTCTTGAGACAGCTGCTTGGAGGCCTTGCGCGCGACCTTCGCGTAAACGATGTCATCAGCACCGGCTTCGTTCGCGTACTTGGAGCGGCCGGCCGGGTCGGGAACGGGATCCCGCAGGTGTCTGACGCCTCTCGAGGCCGACTCCGCGCGCTCTCCGCTCGTCTTCGAGAATCTCGCAAGAGAGCTGAACGACGCGGTGGGCAGCGACATTTTCCGCCGGCGAATTCTCCCGTAGATCGGCGCCTCCCTGCCGGCGGACTCCCTCGTCCTCGGAGCGGCGTACTCGTCCAGCCGGGTCGACCTGGAGGCGTAGAGGATCTTCGGCAAGGTCGACGGCCGCGAGAGATCGCGCTCCTCCTTGGCCCACCGGGGCGAACTCTGAAAGCCGGAAGGCGCGAGACTCGCTTCGGCGCTGGCGCGCCTCCGCAGGATGTCCTGCCTGGAGACCCTCTTGAGGAGCGACGAGGCCTGCTCGGCGTCTTGCCGGGTCCTCCTGCCGATCGTCGGCAGGGTCCTCGGTCTCTCCAGCTCCTTCTTCGCGGTGCTCAGCTCCTCCTTGACGCACCTGCGCCGCAGGATCTCCTTCCTGGAGACGGCGAGGCCGCGCGGCACCGTGTGGTAAAGTTCCCGGTCGCTCGTCGCCGGCGTACGCCGGCGATCCTTCGGCTCCTGCCGGCCGCCGGAAGTCCGGTATTGCCTGTTCCTCGGCGCTTCCGCGCCGGAATCCGGGGCGGAATTCGTATCTGGGTCTGGGCCGGGCGCATTATGCAACGCGCGTCCGCCGCGGCCGGATAACGGTTCCGCGCTCGCGTAGAAAGCTTCCGAGGTGCTCGGCGAAAAGCGACTCCGCGAGGTCGACGATCGACCCGCCGACCAGCGCCGTTGCTGCTTCGATCCTGCCGGATCCATCGTAGCGAGCCGCCCCGGTTCACCTCCTCGCCGGGATTTCTCCCTTCGCGCCTCTAACGCATCGCGAATCCTCGCGAGACTTCCGGCCCTCTCTCCAGGCGGGATATCCGATTTCTTCCGCGGTTATCTTCCACGAGTTCCCGTCCTTCCGATGAAACCTCGATCGCTCTCCATTAAGCGCTCCCCATATGGAAGCGACACGTGTCTACGTGTTTATCTTCGCGCACATCCGTCTCGCAGCGAAGCATAAATGACGTGGCACTAGCGGTGTGTCGCGATCGTGTGAGCGCGCGGACACACAATCTCGATTTCTATGGGTTGCAATGTCGAAGGCACGACCGACCGTGTGTGTGCGTGGGTTTCCACACAGGGGGACCAGCGTGTATTTATCCTCGGCCGTCCGATCCACTCCCGCGGCACACGTGAACATTTCTCCGTTTTCCTTTTATAAATATCGACCGCGATACGGTTGCGCTTTCCTACCGGTGATGTCGAGTGCGGCGTTTCGATTGCATTTTTCAAGCTCGCTCACGATTTACATAATAGCCTCCTCGTAGAAGATGAATGCATGCTACAGGTTTCAGGTCAACGCCCGCGCTGCGCAACTCTCTCGGATGCGCCGGGGTATCGAACACACACGACACATATCTCGCACTCGTCGCGCGACCGCTCACGTAAGGCTGCGATTAGCCGTTCCGAAAGTACGTGAAATCCCGCGTGAGACTTATATTCCTCGCCCCCNCCCCCCCCCCCCCTGCAGCCGAACACTCTTCTGGGAGCCGCCGTTTCTCACGCTAATTACCCGTATTTACCGAAACAACACACACTCCGGGGCAATTAATAACAATATTCATATATTCCTATATTTCCAAGTCTCGACATCAGTTTCAATGTGCGAGCATATTCCGCTTGATTTCTTACTTGTAATAATTATTACTTTGCCCTGTAGATTTGCATTATTCGTCGGAGCGAGTCCTTCGGCACTTGACGCACTGTTTCAGCACCGTTCTGTCGCGCCGAAGCGAAGAGGAACTCACGGAGCCGCGAGGCCACGTTTCCCCCGGCTAGGATCTACGACGAGGCGGTCGAACATCTCGACTATCGCCCCTTTTCCGTCGTTTCGCCGTTTCCCTCTTCCGATTTCCTCGCAGCAGCCGCGATCGGGGGGCCCTATCGTGGAATCTCGTCACGATCGCGACCTAAGTCGGGGCCCGCGTGCTCGCGCATGCTGAATTCGGCCTAAGGAAGTTAGGAGGCCACGCGAGCTTCCATCGGGCTCATTGGGTCAGTTGGCAAAAATCCGTGCTGCACGTACACACGCGCGCGGAATTCGTTTAACGGTCACCGCGACGTCTCGTCCTTGGTATCCCACTGACCCTCCTCTCTCTCTCTCTCTGCCGGTCGCATCCTCCGACGACTCGCCCCCGAAACTAAAGAAACCGACTCGGCTTTCGCCGGTGTGACGGATGGCCTCTCCTCGGTGGTGGAGAGGCTTCCGCCGGAGAGAATGCCGCGAAGATGATGGCGCGCGATGCGGACTCGAGGATGTTCGACGCCGCACTGGAAGTTGCGGGGGCCTTCCTCTCCGCAACAATTGCCTCGCGTATGCAGTGGCGTATGCGTTTTTAATTGAGAGGCGCTAATTAGGCCGTGCCAGGAAAGCGGCCCACATTCCCGGATGAAATGTGACACAGCCGATCGTCGCGCGTCTCACCGTCTTTCTCTCTCTCTCTCCTCGCCGTCTCACGTGTCCCCGCACCGTCGAGACACTCGGTCTAACGTATCCGCCTCCGGGAGAGGATGAAAAATCATAGGCTACCGACGCCAGTGGATCGAAACGCTTTGGGGTGGAACCAAGCGTGCCTTTCTTCTTATATAAATTACGCGCTAAATACGCGCGCGCGCGCGGCCGCCCGCGCGCATACGTTGGATACGGGCTGCGAAGGGAAGCGATTCTGCCTAGCGGCCGTGGCGAGTTGCAGAAGAGCGATAGAAATGGTCGATTGTGGCGAGCTAACGCGATGGGCGCAATCTCAAAATGGGACACCCGCGGCTTGTCTAGTTTTCCACCGCGCCGATGTCTCGCCGGCTCTCGTCGAGTCTCTTCCTCGCGTTCTTCCTCGAGCCCCGAGGCTACGAGTCGTCCATTTCCCTCGTCGAACGAATCCCTCGAGCAACCTCGAAGCGGTTTCCCTTCGTCGAAAGAAAGAGGCACGGACCATCTCCGGTGTGTTATTGCGTGTTTCGCGTTAAGGATTCGAGCGGATGGCGGACGAGACGCGAGCGGAAGCGGGGGAGCGCGGATATCCACTCGTTAAATTTCCAACAGCCTCGTGTCTTCGTTTTCGATAATATCAGTTACTTAATATTCATTTTGCTAATGGCCCGCGCGCCTGCGCCGCCGGAATGCTTCCGCAATTATTGCGCAGCGTTCATTATGTGCGATTGGATGCACGGGGAGCGAAGTAAAAGTGAGAAGCCGCCTGCCTCGCGATGCATCTGCATTCCTAGCGCGCGAGCGCGGCTGAATTTTCGCGAGCGCGCCTTCCCATCGATCATGTTCAGCTGCTTTTTAAGAGATACTGATCTCCGTGAAACCGACACGGCGGTGTTAAGTAAGCAAAAACGGCCGAGTTAGTTCTTTAATAGAATCAGCCTTCGAAATTTGCATTCGTCTGAATTCGATTATTCCGGAGGTGGATTTTCAAGATTTTTAAAAACCAGCCGGCTGTACTTAGTTTAGTTTTATATATAGTTACGTTAGAAGCGTGTGATTACATTTGGACCAGTCACAGTGGTCAAAGTTTTGCTAGTAAAGTGACTTCTCTTTGTGCCTCTCAACGACCTGGTTATTTATTGAACTAACCGTGTATTTTCTAGTCCCGTTTCGCAAAGCCGACGTCGATCGGCACGCTGATCGATCGTTGACTAGCAATGGAAGACGTCGGACGAGGCGTTCGAAAGTGGTCGCTACGAGCAGCAACGCAATTGCGTGTGCGCAGATCATTGACTCCGACCACGCAACGATCCCTTCGCGATCATGACTATGTAAACATTGTGTAACGTTATGAAAATCGAAAAATTATTATCCTGTGATCCATGGATTGAGAAACTGCAACGTTTCACTAAGCGATAAATATGTTTCGAAACATAATATTCTTCTTTATTCACGCCTCTTCACTGTTCATATTTTCAGTCATGGGAATATTTTGTCTTAACATTGAAAATTGCGGCATATCAACAACGGACGAAACAGTTAATCCTCCGTTAGCCGAAATATTTTTCACCCATGAACGGCCGCAACGTATCTCGGAGATACGTTGAAACAGTTTCTCTTCTGTTAGTAGAGGCTTGGCTAATAGAACGGGTATTAAAGTACGTAAGAAACAGCGAAGAACAAATTCAAGTATTAGGATGGTGGATATTGCGGCTAACGGAGGGTTAATAGAAAATCAATTGGAAACGATATAACATCGGGATATTACCAGCGATTTTTGGTTCCGGGTACCCGGTTTCTTTAAGTGGTACCCGAGAGGTATCCGCGAATTTGAATGTTAAGTAGACACCCGGATATCCGTGTACGGATACTACCGGTTTACACCGACAGGAGTAACCATCGACTCACCTTTTGCCACTCGGTATACATCTTGAAGCGACGTTAAATGGACCTCCGTGTGAAAATATCCGGCATTTTGCACAATTGGTTTGTTCTGGAACAAAGAGAAAGTGATTGATCGATCGAGTCATTCGAGTGAGACCGTCGAAATGATCGTCGATTTTTAAGGTTGAATTTATTTCGTGCGCGCAGTACACGCTGTTTGAATACGATTTGTTTGTCGATCTTCAATGTCAGGGCTATCTCCTGCGCGCCTGCCAAGAAGAAATGACATGCCGACCGCGTACAACGGAAGCATCGAACACTTTACCGTCCCGCAACTTCCTGGACAGCCGGAAGAATATCGATGATTAATTGCCAACTCCTTGTTACGACGACGCCGCAAGTGCACACGTTCGCTTGTTTATATCTGATCACGGCACGAGTGAGAAAATCCGAATGAACTCAAAGATAATGAGAACTCGAATATTGCGATAATCAATACCGCGATTCTCTCTCGGCGTACCAACACTGATACATGCGACAGTGTTGTTCTATCCTGTGCTTGAAGAAACATTAGTCCAGCGTGCGAGCCTGGTTTGATATCGATCGTAATTACACGTTCGGAAATATGGGAAGTGTCGCAACGCAAGTATTTAACTTCGCAAGATCGAGATATACACATGCAACCACGCGTGTACCTATACTTCTACGGCGCGTATGAGATATCCGCGGACATCACGTGCACTTTCCACCGCGCATGACACCATTCTATTGTCATGAACCACGTGAAAAGAAACGCACTTTTCCTAATGCGTACTAAAAGATATATTAGCCGCGCCATAATTGGAGAACGAGAAGCAACCTCGTCGGTCCCGCGTAATGTCACATGAATTCCTTTGTTTATATCGTTTCTTCACCATCGATAGTCTGATTTTGTAAGGTACACCAGACCCCCCCGTTAAAGCTGTCCCAATCCCTGGGCATGGCGACATCGGAAATTTCCAGTCGGGATTATTATTCGTGCGATTGTTTCTTATTATTTGATAAATCGTCAACGATCCCCCAAAGCGGCAATCATGATGCACAAATGTTCGACAATGACTCGCCTAATCGGACGTTTTCAACGTTACCGGAGAATGGAACGATATTAATAGAGTCTGCTGTACCACCGTTTCTATGCGTCCACGATTTCTTTATCAAACGATATCGTTTTACCCACTAATATTTCTATTTTCACTACCTCGTGTTTCCCAATATTTGCGCCGAAAATTGATTTCTTTCACGAGCTAAGGAGCTTGGGATCATTCTATATTATGTCTCCGGGGTCTGAGGGGAGGCAGTTCCTGAAACCCATCAGCCAAGAGCCGGCCCTGCGCATTGCAGCGTGTGAGTGAACGTATACCGGCGCGCATCGAATGCGGGCGCTCGCCGTGGATAAATCTCGCGGATAAACCTTCCAGTAAAAGTAGCAAGCGGCGTCCTTCTCCGCGTGCTCACCGCGGAATGCATTTCGCAATTTTATGCTAATTTCGTTAGTCACCCTCGATCTGCGCCGCGCTGGCGAGCGCTCGCGAGGAGAACGCGTAGGCCACGTTTGNTGGGAGGGGGAGAGAGGGGGGAGGGGGGACAATGGCGGCGACGGCGGCCGATTTGGCCTTTCGACATCACCGGATTGTTCATTGTCCGTTTCGCGCCGATGTCTCCTATCGTCGGCTCCTCCGGCGAGCCGGCTTACCGGAAAACGACGAAACCGGCTGACCGGTTTTGCCGACGCATCGTCCATGCGTCATCCGCGCTTTCTGTCAAAACGAATGCACTTAGCACCGGTGACGGAGACTCGCGCAAAAAGTGCCGGATGCTTGCAACCGGAGGATTAGATCCGGCTGGTAAATTTAAATTGAGAGGACAGAAACGCCGCACTGTGGACTATCCGTTATAAGTCACTCTACGCGATATCCTTATCGAAAAGATTTGAAATAGTTTCCGGTTAAATGATTACTTTTGATCGAGCGTTACCGCTGAATTACAGAAGGAAGACTGCCCTAGTAGGAATTCGACCTCGTGTGTGTACCAGCCATGAGGTAATACGTTTATTTCTAACGTCGCCACTAACTGGTAATGTAACGCTCGCTCCTTCTAATGGCTGGATAAATAAGTTAGCTGATGGCTGAATGAAAGGAATTACAGTTACGAGATGAAACATCATAACTAGCCGCCAAGCAGTAATGTTACGCTCGTTTCTGCCCTTTTCAGATATTCACGGAATAACGTACTTTATACGTTTTAGAAAAGACAGCGTCATGCATTTTATCGCACGGAAAAAATTTAATATCAATCCAAGACTTATATTCTCACATATAAGCGAGAGTGTGCAGGATGTCCCGATATAAGGAGAATATCGAAATATCTCCTTTGTTTTTAAAGATACGAGGAATGTGTTTATAGAGCACAACTTGAATGATTTCGAAGGAGGAATACCGTGGAAACCAATTTTTTATCGTCATCTTTTTCGATTCTTTTTCAAGTCCCCATATATTTAGATCCCTCTTATAGGCTCCCAAGATATTTAGGTATTCTCTTTATGCTGGGGCAGCTTGTATAATCTTATGCGAAGATAAAATTCACTTACACGGAGAAATCCCACGTACTGTTTTTTCTATCCGATAATTCTTCTTCTCAATTTATGAAAATTATTTTTGAGCAACGCAAGAATAGATGATAATTTTAATGGAACTATATAAAATTTCTTCATATAAGCGAGCTCCATCTTCGTGTAAAATTGTATATTCTTGTTCATATGTGAGTCTTAAATTGATACGAATTTTTCCCCGTGAACATTTGACACGTGATGCCTAGACAACTATCTAGATCTCGAGATCGATTTTACATTTTAGCGAATAATCAGCCGGTAACGAACCGACAAACGAGCGAAAAAATTTCATCCAGCCTGTATTAGCTGCTATCTTTTGACTCAGATCGACCGATTACATTTCTACTCTCGCATGAAAGAAACTCGCTCTTGAAGTTGACGTATTGAATAAAATTACACTTACACGTATAATTTATGCAACTTTTGACACAGAACTAGTAACGTTTCATCCTTCGGTCAGCTTCAAGCTTCACTAGCTTCCCACCGTCTGAAGGTTAACATGTACACGTAGATTGTTTCATTAAGTGACTCGCGAGAGAGACAAGGAGTGGGGTTGTGTGTAAGATTCCAAGGTGTGATAAATATTTTCGTCCTCCTACTCTGTCTCTCTCTCTCTCTCTCTCTCTTTTCTCGTCTCCTTCAATAATCTCGTGGCGAGCGTTCGCGGCGGCGAGAGAACAGAGGCTTCGCGATGCGAGTTATCCAGGTCAGACAGAGAAAGCAGTAGCCCGGCCGCGGTGATACAAGGATCTTATGTAATTCATAATCGCGCTTCTCTCGCGGCTTTTGAAACAAGAGTCTGCCGGGATTGGATTAATCGTGCGCGCCGTCCTGTCACTCGTCAAGCGGCCGGCTTGTCTTTCAAAGTCACGTCGCGAATTCAGATTCGGACTGTTCGATCGACACGGGGCGCGGCTTTTGCGCGAGATCCCCAAGCGCCACCGCGGCCCCGCCGCGACAGGAAGGCAGCTTTTAGGAAGCACTTTCTCTCCTCGAGGTTTTATTAACCGTTCCGTATCATTCACAATCGGACTTTCGTCGACAGCCGTGGCCAGCCACGGCCAGCGCGCGTGCGATCGCGCGGCGTTTCCCCGGATCGATCATTTCCGCCTGTCATTTCTCTCGCATTCTTTCGCAACGCCACGATGCCTCCGAGGTGCGAAGTTTCAGGCAGCGTCGAAACTTCCCAACCGGCCGATTCCGCGATCGTCGCCGGAGCGGAAATTACCGTACGCGGAAAAAGCGTTGTCGCTAAACGGGAGCTTCTTGTACGGGGCTTTTTTTCGCACTCGGTCGCGCCGATTCGACGCGCCGACGTGCGCTTTTTTCCCCCGCTGGGAAACTTGCGGAACGAGCGCGATTAACGGGGTCGTTGTCGTCGTCTTCCACGGCGACGGAGTCGCGGGGGCCGGATTGCATTGTCCTTGAATACTTTCGCCTAATCGTGCATCGGCCGAAGTGTCGCGCGCGCGCGCCGCGCCATTTTAAAGCCGAGCGCGCATGAACTTTGCCTCGACATTTGCGAAACGGACGGGATCCTTCACGGTGTTTGAGTCTCCGTCGGGTCAGCATCGGGTTTTCATATCCCGTTGCGTCGTGACATTCCGCGGAGATCTGCACGCGAGTTCTCTTTTTTTCCCCCTTTTTTTCCCCTTCTTTCCACGTACGCTCGATCTGTATCTGTTGTGACATTAATCTAACTGTTCCTCGCTATTTCTCGTGCTTGCGCTCGCCGGCACGAGCCGCAAGGCTAGAACGCAAGCTAAATTTCCCGGCTCCCCGACTGGTTTGGCGACTGGTCCGAACGCGCAAGAAATGTCCAGCCGAGTGTTGAGCATTTAACCTTCATCCGTTCCTCAAAACAGGTACGCCTATCAGGAACTGACGTCCCTCGCACTTATCTGGATCAGAAACTACTGAAATTCTACACCACCTCGGCTCACGGTGAGAACCATTAGACGCTTGGGAGCTTGGAAGCATTCCAGCTACATAATGACGTCATTGATCCCGCGTAAAAAGAAAACGCGCTCTCCAAGGCCTGTGAAGCGTCTAATGAATCGCATCTTCTCGATCCCACACGCGCTTGACGCGGGATTCGCGAAACTCCGGATGTGATATGCATGCAGGAGATAAGTGTAATGCGATTTTTATCAGCGTACAGGCGATTCTCCCATTCGGGCGAATTTCACTCGAAAAACCGATTCGCGTTACCGCGCACGGAAGAGCGCAAGTTTCGGCATTTTTATCAAACTCTCTCTCTTTCTCCTTCTATCTATAAACACTTCGCACGAGAGGATAATTCGACGGAGAGGGTGATCGGACGGGTTCAATTTCGAATTGATCTCGCACTGTCACGGCGAGCCGCCGATTTCGAGAATGGAATGACGCGCGAACGCGCGCGGAGAGCATCTTCGCGAAAGACGCGCGACGTCGCCCGTGCGGGCATCGATGTCTCCGGAATCTCCGATATCGCGCCTGTGCAGGAGAGATCGATCGTGACGCCGAGCACGCCGCGCGACTTTCTCAGACGCTTCTCGCGCGCCCGAGGCTTACCTCTGACGTCGCGGACGTGTCACCGGTATTCTGAGAGAGGCCGGAATCCTAAGGCTAACCGGTTGGGCCGACCGGCCGGAAGAAAGACGAATCTTCAGTCAGGGGATCTCCGGCAGGGCCCGCGCACGAGAACGCGAGAGTACAAGGTCGTGGATGGCAGCTGAAGGGTCGCCCAGCGACGATCTATCAGACGATAAGTCACACTTCGCGATCACACTTCGGTCTCTCGCGCGAACCGCCCCCGAAATCGCGGTGAGCGACTCCGTGCCCGCGATTTCTATTTCTCGATTCGAGCGTTGCGGACGATCGAGCAGCAACTGCTTCCACGACGCGATTCCGGATCGTGGTATGCGGCTGCTCGACCTCGCCTAAGAGGAAGATAGCCTCTACTGCCACTATGAGGAGCCACCGTACGCGCCGTGTGTACCGTTACGTACGCGCGCAGCGTACAGGTAGTATCAGATCCCACTACCTGAGAGCCGCTTGAGTCCCATCACGGCCGGATGGGAGGTTTCACGGTTTGAAACAGCCTGTAATGACTGGAGACTGCAGCAACGTATCCGTCGTACTGGGATCCTGCGTTAAATTGCACGAGGTTAATTGGAAATGATAAGCGAGCGACAAAGCGCGTTTTGAACATTTACGTTTATTTTATCATAGATTTAGAAAAGTATTCTGTAAATTAAAATCTCGCGTTGTGTGTAATAATAATAATAAAATGAGACGAGAATATGTATTATGGATAAAAGTAATTAAATAGCTCAATTATATTATATATAGTGAATAAAACGTTACAAAGGGGATTAGTATTCGGTATGCATGTTAACAATATCGCTCCAATATTAATGTAATAATGAAATGTTAATATGATTCTCGCACACGTTAAACGAAATCGATGTAATGCATGTTAATTTATTCGCCGACAAACGTATTCAAAGAGGGAGAGCTGAGAAGTGGACGGGAGAAATTTGGCCCACTGAGAGGATTCCTTAAAATACGCTCTGTTTGGGTCGGCGCGCGTTTCATACGCCACGTTGCAGGTATGTGCAGGTGCGTATTTCTTGCCCGCGCGATTTCGTTTTCCAAATACGACACGCAGGTAGAGTTCACCAGAAGGCGGTCACCAGAATCCCTCAAAGAGGTCATCTAATCGACGGCTATTGTCGCCTGGACATGAGGTTCCCTTCTATGGTTCGGCACAGCTTCAATGTCACTTTTGTGAGAGCCGCTTCTCGATCACGTGTCAACGAAATTGACGAAATTCCTGACAAAGGAGCAGAAGGGAGAATGAAAGGAGGTAAGTCAGGGCTCGTGAAAATGACTTTCAATACAAAGTGTGACACGAGCTATCGACGATAGAAAAATAAGAATCAAAAAAGCAGGGCGTTGTCCTTAAGATCATCTCTTCTTTTATTATTATTTGCTTTGAATGGTATCTAAATTTCGATGAGCATCTCTTCAGGGATTTACGAAAGAAACATCGTGGAATATATCAGACGTATTTCTCCTCGTTTAAAATTTTACTGTTTGTTTATATTAGAACATTCACTCGTATTCGTGTAATTTTTTTTATTTTCGATTCTGCTCTCGTATTTATTGAATTACTCCCGGCGCGACATATTTGTCGCTGCGAGATCAATTAACCGGCAAATGTAAGGAACAAGTATATCGGCGCCGTTATTTCTACAGAGACATTCCTGATCACGTGGCGACTAAATTAAATCGAGCCCACTTCGCCGTGGACGTGATGGGAATGCGGGAAATCGGTAATGGGACATGCGTTCCACTAATTCTATCACGTCGGGATGATAAAAATATAACGACGATATTTGCATATTTATTTGGGGCGCCACGCGTTTAGTGGATATTTTTTCGAGCGAGTATTCAACAAAGTTTAATTGAAATGTTAGATTGAGGGATGAGCAATCGGAAGCCGATCGCGACGACGCGTTAATTGATGATTTTCGACGCGGGCCGATGCACGAATCGCGTCAGTATCAAAGGTTTATTCAGTTCGGGCCAATCACTGACGTGATTGCTAAGAGTATCGAGTAAAACATTTGTAAACATACAGGATTTCTAAATCCCAAGTTGAATGGAGTGTGATAATTGTTGACGTACAAAGGGAGACAAACATAACATGGACGTATAATTGAATTCCCTTCGTCACTGTTCCCGTTCAATTGCACGATCCTTTGAAATATTAACGTAAATGCTTTCGAAGTAACGAGAGTTTGATAGCCGATTCCAAGATCCGTTCGGCGGCTACCGATCAGTGCCGCGGGATTTTGTCTACCGTTCAGTAATGCGACCGCACCGTAATATTGCAAGTATGCGAGCAATGCACTATAGGTTTCCATTCACCATTCCTTCGATTTCACGAGTGAAGGATACGCGATAGCCTTCAGCAACCGCGAATAATTCCTCAACTGAAGCGATTCAGCGATGCGTTTCCCTCTTTGGCAAGAAACGATTCGACGCGCCTTCTTACTTGTCCGCGCAACGATTTGTAATGTTTGCGGCACTAGGAAGCGTTGAGTGTGACAAATATCGCGGTAGCGATTTCTGAGAAATGTGGAAGGAAAATTGTTAGTAACATTGTGGAAAGAGTTATGTGCTGTGAGCAAAGCAGAGTTTGCACGAGTGAATATATGAAGATAAGGGTGGGGGCTGCTATATCGCTGGTGGATAAAGCGAATATCATGCCGTTGCTTTACCAACGGGAGATAAGTGAGCCACGGTACGCATCTATTGAGTCGCTGAAAACGTTGGTGGAGAATGACAGTACGTAACTTCTGAAGGTAGGGTTTTCCCTCGTGATTACCGTCGAGAATCAATAAGATCTCACAGAGTGCACTGGAGTGCGGCAAGTCGTGCGTTTTCCCGAGTCCCTCTGAAAATTACACCGGTCGAATTCATCGGTCGGTATTGCTAAGTACGCTTTATTTACAATCAAGTATAGATTAAGCTTCTTGCTGCTTTTAAAGCTTGGCCAACGACGTGCTCTCTGCGTCTTGTTTCTTGCTCTCTATCTCTTTTCCATAAGTGAGAAATTCTGGCAGAAGAAGATAAGGAGCGAGAAACAAGACGCGAGGAGCATATTGTGGACCAGGCTTAAGTCTTGAACGTGTATCATGATGTACAATGATTCTTGCTGAATTCTTTATTAATATTTTACGTGAAAGAAGAAGTAAATATCGATATTCCGCTATATTTTCAGTTTGAATTCTCCGAACGATTTCTTCTTACAAATCACTTTGATTGATTTCCAATTTTAAGTTAATCGATCAATATTTCAGTTCCCTTGCGTTACAGAGAAAATTATATTTGCCAGGTTTTTATTAAATCGTAATCGGGGTGAAACGTCAGAGAGCTCTCGGCGGGATCGCCGGCCACGATAAAGGGTGAGATATGATTTTTTTATCGTTGGTTTTTCAAGTGTTGCGTAAGCGACCGCTCGACGGACGAGCATATGTCGGTTGAGTGTGCGATAAAATCAACACTGAATTACACTCAGCCGCTAAATGATATGAATAAACTCGGCAAACAAAATGATTTGCGCTTAAATACGCTGGGCCACGTGTTCACGAGCTGTGCTCTGACGAGAAATGAATATCCGGTAACGTTTTATCGCTCGGTCAGCTTAACAGAAAATCTCGATCCTGTCTCGACAAAAATGTAATTTCGGTCTTCGTTCTCAAGATATCCCCCACATTTCAAGCTAACGAGTTCCGCAACGAAGAGAACGGGTCCTTCAGTTTCCGTTGGAGCGCAATGGACTATCTAAAGTCGTCGTGTGATTTGCGCCTGGATATTCTCTCGGAGGATTAGTGTCTTCGAGGCGTTACCACCGGGGATCATGGGATGCGTCCTGCAATTATATATAAGAGGTCGCAATTATTTACGCTACTTTAATAGCGCGTACGAGGTTGCAAACACGACCATCGAGGGGGCGAAGATTACAGGAGTGAACGGAGGAGACGGGTGGCCGAACGTGCGGCTCCGAATATCGAACAAGGATTTTTCTATGGCTACGTTCTTGTAATTCCGAGGCGACGCGATACTCTCTCCTTCGATTGATATGGATGAGACGGCCCGACTTTTGATATACGCTCGATTTCAAATGGAAAATCATGCTTGGATTGGATTCGCACGTGAGCTGAAATAAACTTATATCGCCGGGCTACAACCGTCGCGCACTGCACTAGTCTCTTATATGTGTCGTGCAATACATATATATATATATATATATACATATACACGCCGGGATTTATGTCGCACTCTTTCCTCCACGTTGGAGGACATTGCGCTGTAATAAGCGTTACTTCATTAGTCGTCAATTTTTCCCCTCAGCGAGTTTGGAATATATTTCCCCGGATTTGTGCCGCCAAACGTCTCGATGGTAATTTTGCCACGCACTATCGGTTAACAATGAAGGACGCAAATTTATACGTACAAGTTACATTTTGTTTCTCGCATCATCGGCAGGACGGAGAGAGAAGTGAAGCAACGAAATGCGGGAAATTGCACGGAAACCGGCGGAATTTTCGAAATTCTCGGGACGACGAGAGCGCGCTGCTTTTGAAGTTAACCAATTTACTCATCCGCCTGTTTTATCTATTTTTCGTTGCGCTCCCACGCGGCCGCTCTCACTTTATCTCAATTCCGTCCCGCGACTCGCAAGATTCCAGCAGAATGAATATGCGCGGCAAGTTCGGCGTAGAAAAAAAAGAGAGAGAGAGAGAGAGAAGGAAGGAAAAAAGGAGAAGAGATTCCGACAGAAAGAGAAAAGGGAATTGGAGAAGGGCGACAAGCGGGGGGAGGGAGGGCGGCTTGGCCCTTCTACAAACACTGTAGTCCCTCGCCGCAACTTAAATTGACTCGATAAAAGTTCGCGGAATAAAGCGCCACTATATCAGAAACATCTGCCAAACGTTATTACAACTTTGAATAAAGAACGGCGGCCGAGAGGGTGCGAGGGCGAGCGGGCGGGCCACCTCCTTGTCGTCCTCCCGACGATGACGAGGAGAGAAAGAGGGAGAGAGAGAGAGAAAGGAAAAAGTTCCAAGTTCGCGTTCGGCGAAGACCGTGGGAAAGTTCGCCCGTAAATCAAATCGTTATTTTAATTTTGTCAGTCTCGCGTTACCCGCCCCGTTTCCGCCATTCGTTCTCATTTCGTTGCGACCTGTGCGCGTACGTGCGTACTGGTCTTGGAGAACAATCGATCCCGGGGGTGAGCGATCAAATGTGACCAGGAAACGAGGCCAGGACTGATTAAAAACCGGCTAAGGACTCT